TCGTGTTTGTAACAATGAGATCGTCTGAGTCTCTTTTATACCAGATGGAGCAATGATACATGTACCAGTGACATCGTTTGTGTATTGTTAATATCAGGTATTAGTAACAATGAATAGCATTGGAATTTGGCACACATTTAGGAACGTGAAGCAAATTATCCTAAGCACTGGTATATGGTACTACACTCTTCAAACTACTTATTTATGGCATTATTAGTATTTACCGAAACGGACCGTTTAAATCAGAAAAAATATTTCTAGTCTCGAGTTCTCGATTTTTAAATTCTCATTTTATTTTTTGTGAATAATGTAATTAATGCAAAAGTCACTTGGTGTTTATAAAGAGAAGGCCCTTGCTGCCAGACTGTTTTAGCATTTTCACGTACGAGACATTATTCTGGTATACGCAATGTTTTTAAATGATTGTTAGGGCTGGGTTTAGGGTCGGGGTTAGGGTTGTCACGTAAAACAATATTTCATAAAATAATTATAAAGAAACAACTGAACAAGTGATTAACTTGCAAAATGTCACTACCTACCATTTGTAACAGACGTCGACCCCCAAACGCCGATCACCGTCCACAAAAAGTTGGAGACTATAATAATATGTCAACACTTGTAGTGGTTATATAGAAAAAAAGAATGGATAAGATAAGATTGTTCATTAAAAAGGATTGTCATTTACATCCGTCTTCCATCGCACGTGCAACTCACTGAAGTATATGTATCAATCTGTGCTGGTATTAAAGTGAGTAAAAACAAATATCAATGAAATTATGTTTTTTGGATTGTAATTTTGATCATCACCACAGAAGATTTTATTAGAATTCATTAAAAGCCAACTCTTGCAATATGATAGTTCATCTCGACCACATCGGGTAATATTGAGTGACTCATTTGAATGCACATGACTAATGAAATTATTTTTTAATATTTTGCGGGTCATGCCATGTGTGTACTATAAGAGACTGTGGCTTGGCTTCTTGATTTAAATATTTTTAGATCCGTGTGTACTCTTTGCTACGTTTGGGAGTGCCGTTATAGATGAGACCAAATGTCAACAATCAAGGATATGCTAAAATGTATTATAGTTAGAAACAGAGACAATAACAGCTGTCCGTTCGATTTCAGCTTCTCATTTGGCTTTTGTTTTGTTGGCGACTTTGTTTTTTTCTGGTACAAATCGTCACCCACCAAGCAGTCAATATGGTATAACGAAAATGGGACTTCTGCGCATGTTAAAATTTTTCATCAAAACTCAACTTTTGTTCAAGTTGATACAATTGTCTTTCGAACTAGAGACTTACCTCATTCGAAAGATCATAAAAGACTTTATCTCTACTGAAAATCTTAGATCCAAACATAGTAGAATACGCCGTCAGTCCACATTTGATTTTTTGAAGTGAGTTTCGTAGATCGTCAGATTTCTCCGACTGATATCGGGTTATCTCAAATTGGTTCGTTTATAAATACGAATTTCTTTACCGTTGTAAGGCGCATGCGCAAAATTGATTTATAAAACGTTATTGGTTGATGGTTTTTCTCCTGAGCATGCGTGAAGTCTGATGGCACTTATGACGAAGACCGGAGCAAACATTACTAGCTCTCGAACGAAATTCCAAGATTCAGATCATTTCGCCGTGTTTGCTAAGCGTGTATACGTGAATGACAAGCTGTTTTGAGTAGATCAGGTACCTGTTTTAGACACAACATTGATTTAGCTTGACATTGATGTGCTCATTGGCACTTTTGAGCATGTTAATACAAGTTTTTACACTCTTAGCACGAGACGGGTTTTCGAAAAATCTGTTATCTGATTCACTCGATTATCGTATGGATATGTCTTTCTGCTGACATTTCAACACCATATCACATAGAATTACGATGCAGAATGATAATAAAACACAAAACAACGACTAAATTCCACTTGTTATTTCACAGGAGGTAAAAATGCAAACTGCCTAGATTCTTTGTAAGGGTCGTCAGACATCGGATTGGCCGCCATATTTGAAATGAAAATATCACTAAATAGAGGTCTGCGCATGTCTCAACATTTCGACTGCAAGGTTACCAAAGTTGGCCAATCGCTTCACTTTCTCTTGTCTTCGACCTAATTATGAACCACATATCATAGATACGCGGCTGTTTCTTCATTGGATTTAAAGGGTCATATAATGTCCCTTGGAATAATTGTCCCCCTTTTATCGTTTTCATATAATGGCCTAAAACAACGTGTTTCTTATTGGCTTATAATTGTTCAGGGGCAGTAAGGGTCATATGGAAAAGGGACACATTCTGACGACGGTGATGAATTCAGGAGCGAAATATAGCCTTACTTTAGGAAAAAGGAAATTGTCTTTTAAGTCAGGTTCAAAGAGAATGGCCAATGGCGATAGCATTTATTCTGCAGCGTCTCGCAATGGCTGTGAACTTTCACTTATCCAGTGGTTTCCAGGAAGTTTAACAAGATGCTGTAGAAAATAAATTAGCTTGGCAGGCAAAACCTCAGACCTTGAAAAGTCTAGATAACAAAACACATTTAGGTAAAATTAGACTTTCCACGAATATACTAGAGTCGTTCAAAAAGTTCTATCCGTTTACATCTTAAATGTCAGTTACCTGGGGCTGGATCAAGATACTTTAAAGCAAAATGAAGCAAAATAGCCCAGTCTGTTACATGCAAGTGTTATCCCGAAAACGTCTTTTGAAAAAAATAGTATTGATCCACATGTGTCAAGTTTCATGGCTAAGAATAAAATTAATTTTAAAGACAAACATGTAGAACTTTTTGAACGACCTAAGTGCAACAATTAACTTCCTTGTTTTAAGATAATCAATTATGTTTTGTTTATAACATGTTTTGTGCTTGTCAGTGAAACGTTGCAACGCCATTCCGCCAATATTCTGTTTGTTGAATAGATTTTCGAAGCAGGATATTGGGATCGATGTCTGAAAACGCGTTCTGACATCCATCAGATAATAAAAAATCCTTTAAAATAAACACACGCATCAGTAGACTGGTCTATTGTGTCGTTTCCTTTTTAACCCTTTTATATTATTCACTGGATCCCATTGTGGAACTCTAAATAAAAATGCATGGACGTCAGCCTAATCTCATTACAGGGTCTTTAATTCCATTTTAAGTTGTTTTAATTAATTCATTTTAACAATTGAATGGTCTTATATCAGATCCCACACACTTATCATTTCCTCTACGTATGCTGAAGACCAGACTGTCATTTATGATTATATATCTTTGGATGAAGTTTTACAATACGAAAAATATCTAAAATGTTTTGTGGATAGGAAAGAAATATTAGACTCACTGCATATTACATAATAATGTCCTAATTCAAAGTATTTATTAGACAGACAAGGAAAACATGTAGTCAAAAACATTCCATAGACCTAGTTTAAAAAACTGTTTGAAAATGTTGGGTAGCTATTTGATTGTAACTGTTACTCCCGCCTGGAACTGCCGGTATTTACTCCCCCATCCCATCCCATGTGTGGGAGGTAAGTTGTAGGGGGAGGAGGGGGCACAAGGAATCAAGCCAAGGCTAAACATTTATATTTCTTTTTTTAAGATTATAGAATTAGGATGTAAGAAAAATGTTGGCAATCATAGAAATTGCTGTCATTACTAGTATTGCCTTTATACCAGGCTTTACAAAAATAAGTATTCACTGAAGCAGACTATATAAAGGGAATAATTTCATATCCATGATTGAAACAAATGTTAGATTGATGGCCTGCTCGATTGATCACGACTGTTGTACTTTGACCATCGTAGATTAATATAAGTCCCTGGCTACATACGTATTGTTTCAAGTGTTTGTGCCTCTAATTATCAAAGTATGTACGAAGTTATGAACGCAGAATAAAGATAAGGTTTGCAAATGTCCAATTTACGTACATAGGCACCATAATAGTTGAAGTGTTTTGCACGAAATGGACAACGTAACCACAGTGCAAATATGTAACTTGTTAGCTCTAGGTAAACACTGAATGTAGAGTATGAATGAAAATATTTGCATAAGTAACACCGGCAAGGTCCCAGAGAGTAGCAGTAAGTGCATTGAACAAAATGAACTGAATAAAAGAATAAGCTTTTGATGAATTGAATTTAGAATAATAAAATATTTCAATGTTGAATCACTTAAAATATATTGGGCTTGAGTTGATTCTGCTGTGTTGATTTTTAATCATAGTAATGCATTGTTGACTGCTTCAATTCGAATTCCAGCTAAAACTTAATTTTGTATTACTTGGCTTTACTTTTGCAAAGATTTTATGACTGATCAAACTTTAGACATGTTCAGAATTTTAATAATGTATCGCCTGTTTACGATCAAGCTTGTAGTTATACAATATTTTTTTATCACCGCCATTCGAAGAAATGTTTATCAATGTATTGTTCCTTTAGGATGTTATTCTAAAGTTGACAGGTGAGACGTCCAAAGTTTGTTGTATTATCATTTTACAAATGTTGGTACTAGATTTAAACATCACCTGACATGTTTATGAATGAATTTTGCACTTTGTACGATTTTCATAGTATTTCTTAGAATACTATGAAATTATGAATGGAGCAAAGGTTCATTGATGCGATTGGTCGGACTAAATTACATGACCATATAAGGAGCGCTAGTACCGGGTTAAAGTTCATTCATAAACACAGGTCTACCTAGATAAAACTTGTTTATTCCAATGATTGGCACATTTTATGCATTAATATGAATTCAATGTCAGGAGGGCAAATCAAATCCATTCAAATGCAAATAGGCAATCCAAATAAAATTTGGTAAATCAGTGCAAATCCTATTGAAAACCATTGAAAAGAAATTGTATCTGAAGTGTTTTGATGATGATGACGGTGATGACGTCATTTACGTCATAGGTTAGGCCCGCCTTTGACCCTTAAATCATTTAAAGCAACCAATCAGCGGCCAAGTTGCCTCATAAATATGTAAACATCTTGTGAGGCCATCATTAACAAGGCACGATAGAAAAGTGATAACACATATATTCTAAGAACAGTTTTACAATATTCATAAGTTCGCAGTAAGATAACAATTTAAAGTATAAAACCATAGTACACATTAGGAGGAACTTAATTGCTATTATCGACCTACGAAGGTGGAAGTATTTACCTGGACAAACCTGAATAATCATAGCCCAATTTGAGAACGTATACTGAGTGATAGGTGGTCTTAACGACGGGTAAGTTGAATAACCAGCTTGTATAATTTTCTAATCATCAATGACAAAAATGAATTATACTTTTACTGAATTAATATCCTAAAGTTAAGTTAACGTTCATTTCTTTTGAATCAGTTAAATTCACTTGTAAGTCTTTTGCATACTGGTTTACATAAAACATTCCTGCGCCATTTTATTTTTGGTAAGTTTTAGTGGGTTGTACTCGTGACTATTGCTTTATCGTACTAACTCCCGTTTCGTGATCTTTATCATGTAAATCATGTAATCGTTAATCGTATTTGGATATCAATAAACAATGATTAATCGATCAATCTAAATCCAGAACTAGATCAATTGCGGTTGGCCCTGGTTAAAACCCACACTTGCCTAAAACAAGGCCATGGGGTGCAAATTATGAGTCATACCACTTAAACTACATAAACAACTATACATCATGTATACTGGACCTTTACAAGTTCGTTTTGCCTCACTAACTTTAACATTTATCGGGTACTTTTTATGTTCCCATTTCGTACATGTTATAGTGCAGCATTAGGATTGGTGATACCTGGTTAATAACACGAATTGTATTTTTCATATGTGTTTCTCAAGGTTGCTCGATGTTCTTAGCTTAACTTAGGATTCATAGGGATTTCTTTTTCATCTACATTTATTTTCGATTCCCAACACCAACTTAAGTTTATCTTCCCCAGGAAATTCGATCGTTTTGTTTACTTTAATTTAGATTCAGCAGGGTCGAACTCTCAAGCAAATGGAAAACAACTCGAGTAATCTCCTTCAGACGCTTGATAAACTCTACAACACATCTTTCCCAAGTCTGGTTCTAGTTTGTAGAGTTCATATACTTCTGTAATCTAAGAAGGCTATAGCAGGGCTCCACAGAATGCCACAATTCACATTTGCTAGTTTTATCACTTCCCTGGATGCTACCGTTGACAGTTCTGCGATCTTGTGAAAGTTTCTCAAAATGTAATATGATACATGCTTTTGGTTTTGAGTTTGGATAAATATGAGAGAGTTTACCAATGTAACATTGTAAAAGCATACGAGACTGTGGAGTTTGAACTTTCAAGATGTATGATGCATCTGCTTGCGAGTAGGTATTGGAATTGGATTAAACTCTGTGGCTTCATATGTTTCATATCAAATCAACGTGTGGTATACAGTAGGTCTACATCAAATACCCACACCCCAAACGCTAAGTAGTTAAACCATCATACCAGATTACCATACCACCGAGGTCTAAATCCGATTTTCTCCTGTATTTTCAGGTTCCATTTGCGATGGAATTAGAATACTACGATAGTCTCACCTTTGATAGCTTAGACATCGATTTCTGGGAACACCACGACTTACAAAAGAAAAACAACGTGCAGGAAGACGACATTAAACCGGTGTTTGATCAAGTGTTCGACATTATACCTGAGTACGTAGGTACCGACCTAAGGACGGAGATCAACAGACTGAAGAAAGCTCTCCCACAGCCTAATTCCCTTGCTGAGCTCCTCACTGAAGAGAGTCCGACTCCTGACATTTCACGTATGCCAAACTCATTCAAACTGGCTCCTAAAATTGGGCAACAGGCAGGAGGACGTAAAAATGAAGCGACAGACAACGTACAGAAAGTCCCATCGCTCCCAAGTATCTCTAAACTATGCAATGACAATCTGCTCACGGTGCCGGCACCCGGCAATGACCTTATGCTTCAAACACTACCACTTTTCACCCCGGGGACGAACCGAAAGATGTCCCTTGCGTTGAAGTCAACTTTTGGACAATTTGAAGAAGAACGCCAAAAGTTGAACATTCCTCAAAATCCTTTGGCTTGGTCCGAATACCACGTTCAGCAATGGCTTGCTTGGGTGTGTCAAGAGTTCAAAGTCACAAACATTAGAATAGAAAACTTCAGGAAATCTGGTAGAGAACTTTTAGAACTCGGGGAAGAGAAATTCTTGGAGATCGCCCCTCCTTTCACAGGTGACGTCCTTTGGGAACATCTAGACTTTCTTGTCAAAGAAAATACAAACGCTGAAACTGAAGTTTTGGATCAAGTATTCGGGAATGATTTCGCAATGTTAGACACTTGCAACGAACACATCCAGTTAGACGAAGGCAATCATATTAGTAACTCTTACCAACTCCTTAATAATATGGACATGGACGCCGATATTTTCCTGACACCGGTAGAACAGGCGAGCCTCAATAACTCCGATCCACCCTCCTACTCTGAATATAACTTTACAATGGGCGCCCTCCTCCCACCAATCAACCAGTCGATCCCCCAGAAGCAATACCGACCTCTATTGAGAAAATCTGGATCTATGAGTGGTGGTTGCCTCATTGAAAACGACCCCAATGACCAAACCGTCCCGTCCATTAAATCAGAACAATGGGACGCTTTGTCCAGTAGTTATGGGTCTCCAGTGAAGACAGAAGTGCAATGGTCCGAGATAAACAAGCCTGAGATTCCGGGATACACCCAGAATGGACCTATTCAATTGTGGCAATTTCTCCTAGAAATGCTCATGGACAAAAACAGTCAGCACGTAATATGCTGGACTGGGGACGATTGGGAATTCAAGGTGCTCGATACTGAAGAACTTGCTAAGCGTTGGGGTCAACGCAAGAACAAACCTAAAATGACTTATGAGAAACTCAGTAGGGGTATTAGATACTATTATGATAAAAAGTTAATCAGGAAAACTTCTGGTAAAAGGTACACGTACAAATTTGTGTGTGATATGTCTAGCATGTTGAAACACACGCCTACATCTTTGTTTCAAGCATGTGGGGTCACTCCTCGATATGATGACGACACCTATAATTGAACATAATCCACTCGTTGTAGACAATCGTCTTCAATTTGAATGTGTTTTTGAAGGTATACTTCTTGTTTGAGAGATACCAGAAAGTTAGGGCATTCCCACACAAAAGTTACTACTTGTTTTCAACAACATGTGCGCCCTTAACACAATATTGACAAGCCAAGCAAAAGAATGTATTGAAAGTACTTTTATCCATTGTTGTACAGTCTGAGAGAAAGTTTGTTCAACTTATCGTATGTTCTAGAAAACTTTTATCTCAATGTCAACGAGGTCACTGAATATGTTTTTAAGGCTTGTTTTTATGGTTTGTGTCAACGCTAACTATTCACAGGTGACGTATAGGTCGACTTGTACGTGATGTGTAATATTCAAATCTCAACTGCTCACCCTGAACAAATATACGTCAGCTTTTGAGTTGATCAAAACACTTAAAATATCTGAGTGAGAAATACAAAACATGTGTGTACGTTTTGTCTCATACACTGCCAGTATTAGATCATATTTCTATTGTTTCAAGTTGATCTTAGCCCTTTTGCTATTTTGCTTGAAAATCAAAATTTTGTAAACGAAAATACTTATATTGAACTATGCAATGTCGAATGATTTAAGTAATTCAATCATGTATATATTTTGTAAATACCATGTCATATATGTTTTCTGTATTTTTATACATTTTGTATAATGTAATTACGAAATATGAAATAAAAGAAAATCAAAATCGAATATAAACAGATAAATATAAAAATACGTTGTCCGTTCAGTATTCACTAACGACTCGTTAACAGCTCAATAAACCAACTTGTATCTAAAATGCACAAAAAATAACTCTGTAAAAATCACTTGAAATATCTTGAAACAGGACACCAACGGTGTTAAGAACCCAAACCACAGGAGGATTGGCTCCCTGGGACGCAACTCAATATTTTCCAGCAATGAAAATGTCAGAATGTCGTTTTCTGTCTGATATTAAGCTGGTTATAAATTCATAGTCTCAAACCCAAAAGATCCGAGCTAATATCTTGATCCCTTCTTGCGTGTCTTGAATTTTTTGTTATGTAATTGTAATAAGACCAAAACTCGGATTTATTGTTGGAAAATATCAATATTGCTTTCGGGGAGCCCCTGACCTCAGGATGGCCCACTGCAGTCCATTTCGATGTTCTATTTTCGTCAATAAAACCTGAAAAATAAGGAATCAAAAGATCGACCCTGATTAGGCCTGATATATGGAAAATATATTCACGCGAATAAAATTTTGTATATTTCAGATTAATTAGTTTTATGTGCAATATATGGGGTTTATTTTAATGTGGTTATACCCACGTTAATTTTTTCGAAAATAAAAAGGCAGAAAGGCATCAAAATATAAAAGACAGTGCATTTGATTAGCCAAACCACAATCAATCCAGGATATACAAATGTCATTTGTGTATAATATGAATAATGGTCATTTGATCCCTTATCTCTTAGATTTTACTGACGAAAATAATAATTGACCATAATTCCCAGTTTCACGTTGTTGTTGGAGATATTTTCTAGTTGGATATCAAATTGAGCCCATATTTCAGAATCGATGGTATCTCATTAACGGTCTGGTTTCATGGGTTTTGCTAAGCAACAGGAATAGTGATACACATTGTAAAATCATTTTCTTTGGGTATGAAAGAGTAGCCCATGGGAGTTATTTTGAAAGTTCAAAAGTTATATAAAAAACCGTAATAATAATTCATCAATAATTAAAACTGACCTTTACATGATAGATGCATGTTTAAAGAAGTAAGTCTACACTAGGTAACTAACCAAAAACAAAACGCAACTGAGTATAAAGTGACAACTATAGGCCTGGGGGCAAAATCATAAAAAAACATGTTAGTCCTGTATTTCATCACAACTTTTATCCAATAGAAACCACGGTTAACAATAATATTACGTACTCATCCGGGTTCTAGTATGGAAACAATCATAATATGAGTTTCATTTTGCAATTCTTAGAAAATAGTATGTCATCCCAGAGTTTCTATTATGTGATTGATAAGGACGGCAGGATGTAATGGTGTGCACACAATAACTTACTACAAGTTCTGACCCCCCCCCCCTCCTTATCTCCTTCGAATACAATGTTTGGCCGGCTAGGTGCTAGATGCGACATTCAAAACGATTTACTCTTGAAAAGAAAGGTAGAGGCTCTACATGTGCTGATTGAAATCGTTGACTTGCGTCTACATGTGCTGATTGAAATCGTTGACTTGCGTCTCATGAACTTTGGGGGATAATGAACTTTTTTCAGACTAAAATGTATGAATGCCTTTTCATCTTAAAGTACCAAGTTTCTTTTGTAATTTTCTACGTTCTGTGTATTCATCCAGTCTCGAGAATTGGGTCAAAAATTGAAAAGAAAATATTGTTTATTGCTTGGTTATGAAAGTTGTTCTATCCAAAATACTAACTTATATAAGAAACGGTTAGAAATAAAGTCAAGCGTTAAAACTGCTAGCGCTGGCCCGTGCTGGGAGTAAGGGGCAAAATCAGGAATTGTGAAATATGAAAAATCTCAAGTGGACTGGGACCTATCGTCTACAAAATACAGTTCTCTTCTCTAGCTGTTATATTTCATGTATACATCATTGACATCTTTTAAGTAGCACACTCAACATTCGGCATGAATGACTCGAAATATGAGAATAAGAATATTACCCTTCTCAAGAGTTTGATTTCCATCTTATCTTTCAATAAATGAAAAAATATCCATTTATATAGCTTTACCAAGATATACAGCTCACCCCCACCCCCCCCCCCCCCCATTGCAGTCAGTGCGGATCAAGTAGCTGGTATATTTCATATTCATATTAAAACTCACATGAAAGCTACAAAAGCTTGTATTGATAGATACACATAATTCAAACATGCCATCAGATAGAAGAAAATGTTAAGTCTTCAATAGTTCAGATCTCCTGAAATCTCATTAAAACGAGACTTTAGCGAGATTTCAAAGCTATATGGAAAAGGACAATTGAGTCAGATCATTGTACAGATCTTACATTGTATTTAACAGATCATCACATTCCAGATCAGGAGTAACCATGGTCATCTCTTGGTGCATGGACTGTTATGGCACAATTCTTACCCTACACAAAAAGGGTTGTGTTGTAATCGACAAGTTACTTTCTGAATTGACATTCTTCCAAGCACATGGATTAAACGAACTTGAGTAAGAAATGTGCTCCTGTTCAACCAGATCATAGCATTGTAATTAGAATGATGCAAGGAGTATCAGAAGTATAACAGACAATGAATCTAACATACAGAGCTAGTTTATTTCAGCAAATTTCTAAGTCACACATAGCAAAAATATCAAAATGAACTTAGTTTAACCAAGGATGCAATACTGCTCCTAGGCACCCTTGGTTTACATATACAGCATATTCCATAGAGGATATTAAAAATAAAGAGAAAATATATGATGTTTAATTATGTATTTCCATCCCCATGTTAAAATATAACTGGAAATCCATTTTAGTTTTATACACCGAATCCAATATTTTGTGAAAACATATTTCATGAAATGCACTAATGTCCTAGTTTAATCTAGCACCTCTTCAGAAATGTCAAAGTTCTAAAAATGTCAATAATAATATCACTGAACAACATAATCAAAATACTCATGTTTTTTTACTCAAAATGAAATCCAAAAGAAGTTAGATAATAGGTTCTACCAAATATCCTAACTATAGTTGGAACTTGGAATATCTAAGCTCTGAACCAAAACATGGTCATCACAGTTGATTTGCTGAAGATTTCGAAAGGTACATTTTATAGAAGAAATACAAATAAGAAAAGAAAATGAAGCCAACAATTGAGAAATGTTGGATAAAGAGAGAATATTTGAATATTGCATCCTTAATTTATACAGGACAAAACAGTCCTTGTAATTTACAACTTCATTATTTAATAAATTGTACTATCTTTACATCATGTATATAATATTATTACATCTTGTATATATGAATTGTGAATTATCAAAGTACATGTAACGCTATGGCCTTAAATGTATGATATATAATATATAAGAATAATTGATATTACATAGTGTATTTACAGGATCCACTAGACTGTACACTGTCTGTCTGTATGTATATATATATATAGCTAATAATAAAGCATGTACAGTAGTTCTAGGTTGATCTGTACAGTTATAATATTGCAAGTAATCTACAGAATTTGTCTCCCTTGTTACAATATATTGCCAAGCCCCATTTCATGATAGCTTCTATTAACAGAATCCTGGCTCATCTTTTTTGTGGATTAGTCATTATCTACATCATGAAGCTAGTTAATATTTACAAGTTATCAATTTGACAAGCCAGATTCGCCCAGTTTTATATTTTTGTGAACTGGGCAAAAATGATAAATTAATCTTTTACAGTTCTTCTATCAATATTGATACATTCCCTTTTGGTGCATTCCCCTTTGACACATTCCCCTTAGATGCATTCCCCTTTGTTGCATCTTGTCATTATGATGTGTCTGATTGCAATTTGAAGAGCACTTCAACATAATAACAAAGTGCATCTGGTCACTATCATAGTGTATTTAAATAATGCCATAGTGTAACTCTACAAAATCTCTATGCTTGGACTGTTTTAATATATTTTTGTGAGTGTGATGCTTGTTGTGCCAATGTTTCAGCTAAAGAGGCCAAGACCTTACTATCAACATATTTGGTCAAATCACCAAGTCTGCTATGAACTACATTGATTTGAGCCTATCACCTGAACAAGTGTCTGCTTTTGCTTCAATATAATTCCCATGTTCAAAAATCCTAAACATAGTAAGTTAATTTTTAAGTGAGGATTCTTCATTTTGTTCCAAATGGCCAGCTGTTTTAATTTTCATCGTTTTCTGCGTGTTGAATTCGCAACAGTGGTAGCAACAACAGGTAGTGTGATCTCCACATCTGCAAGATAAAACATGAAGTCTAAGTAAATGTTACTGAAAATCATCAGCTATAAAACACAACAAATACATTAATGGAATTTTTCACATGCAATCTAAATGTTTCATTATCATTTACTAGGAGGCTCTATTGGTTTCTGCATGATTGTCGAAAGGTCAAGAGTTTTAAGAAATTTGAACGATTTTTTCCACCTTTGTTTGAATTGTTTCACCTGTGCTATCAATATAAATCTAGGGCCTTCATAGAATCCTCCTATTCAACCTTTACTTTATTCAAATCAACAGATCTCTTTTATTGAAATTGTTGAAATTTTAATCCTTGTCATACCTTTAGTTTTATTACAAGACCGGGTTGATCTACGTGTAACTCTGTCCGACTCCAGGGACTCTTTAACAGGAGAGTTTGCATTCCATGTTTTGTTCAAAACTTTCTCTTTTGTGTCTTTGGTGCCACCTGGAACAATATGTGATAATATTATAGCTCTATAAAAACAAAAAATCTCCAAAAAAGAACAGTTCTGGTACAGGATAAGTGTTCACTTTGTGGGGTTCTCATAATGTGAGAGCTGAAGACATGGCTAAACAGAAACTGAACTAAAAATGACGATGCTCTTAATTTACTCCAAGAAACAGTGTGGCAATTATCCAATACTTAACCAGAACAACGGCAACGCCAAAGCGTAGCGAATCCCATCGAACAGCCATGGATGGCATTTTTACAAACAAAGTATATAACAAAAATGGCAGCCATTTTCAAATGGCCGCCTTCTACCAAAAGTGTCATAGGACAGTGTGTCATGCTTATAGTATTCACATACCAAATATGAACAAAATCGCTCCACTACTTTTCGAGTTATAGTAAAATATGTTAAAATGGCGGCCATTTTGAAAAATGGCCGCCTTCTACCAAAAGTGTCATTAGACAGTGAGCCATGCTTATAGTATTCACATACCAAATATGAACAAAATCGCTCCACTACTTTTCGAGTTATAGTAAAATACGTTAAAATGGTAGCAATTTTTCAAAATGGTGGCCATTTTTCAAAATGGCCGCCTTCTACCAAAAGTGTCTTTAGACAGTGTGCAATGTTTATAGTATTCACATACCAAATATGAACAAAATCGCTCCACTACTTTTCGAGTTACAGCAAAAATCGTAAAATAACGAGAAAAGGCCGCCATTTTCAAGATGGCTGCCATGTGCTTCTTTAATATCTACATTTCTAGCTTTATTAATGTCCTATATAATTTTTTTTACATCTAAAACATACTGCTATTACAGTTTTACATATTGCACCTAAATTACTGTAAATTCGGCACTAAAATGGCCGCCATTTTGAAATGAGCGGCCATTTTGAAAATCCGCTGTCGAGCAGAACTTCTACCCCCATAGGGTATATGTGTACAAAATATGAACAAAATCGGGCCAACGGTATTTGAGTTATTGCCCGGACGGACAGACGGACGGACGGACGAACGGACGGAGGCGTTCCCTATATCCCTCCGAACTTTGTTCGATGGGATAACTACTGCAATATAATTGAGATTGAAATAGAAGAGTTCACTTACTATCTATTATCTTCTGTCCTTTCACGATTATCTTCATGTTGTTGTCTTTTTTATCTTCCGTTATTTGGCACTGTGGTTTATTAGTCCTACTCCTGGTTTCATGTATTATATCCCCTTCCGTGATATCCTCATCTTTAGTACCATTCTTATTCTTAGCTACTACAGGTTTGCTTTTATTACGCGGCGAGGCTCTATCAGGGGCAGGGACATGAGGGATGATCTCGTCTAGTTTGCTGCCTGTTTGCCGGTTACTCCTAAGACCAACTTTGCCCTTTTTGTCATTTATCTCACTCAGTGGTACATTGTCCTCACATTCTTTGGTCTCACTCTCTGACTTTGTTTTCTTATTTAGAGTGGTTGCGTTGGCAGTATTAACTGGAGTGTCTGCAACAGGAAGTTTGCGCTTGGCACCACGTAACGTTGGAATATTTCTCGGAGACTCGGATCTCAATTCATCTTTAGGAGATATTGAGTCAACAGTCGTGTCTGATGAAGTACTTCGTCTATTTCCATTTTTTGGTGTGCGCAGTGAATAGTTCAATGTTGGTGAATCAGGTCTTTCTTTTGATTTGTTCCGCAAGCTTTTCTCTGAGGAACATTCACTGACATTTCTTGTACGTGGTTTTGTAATTTTAGGTGATTCTTCATCATTTTTCAAACTGGCAGTAGATACATTGGAGTCGCGAGATCCTCTGCTAGATCGTCGTGTGATCCGCCCAGCCCTGGGGGTAGTTTCTTTGTCCTCCTGAGAATGGGAGTCGGGTAGGATGGGAGTGGGGGCCTCAGCGCTCTTCTGCTTTAGCACCTTCACTTTTGGACTAGCCGGGCGCTCATTCTGTTCAACTTTTACATCATTACTATGCTGTCTAGTGACACGTGTAGCAATACTGTCTGCATCAACTTTATCATCTGCCATTGTGTCCACTGCTTCACTGCTTGAAGTCCGAGCAACCTTGGCAGGAATAACTGGATCATTTTCTTCCAGGTTCTTTATGTCAATTGGTCGTTTAAGAGGAGGACTGCTGACTGATGACTGCTGACTGATAATTATATTAGGCTCAGGGTTTTCAGAACTGGTAGCTGTGATGGTCTCTGGCTCAATGGGTTCTTTGGGTAGAGGATCCTGAACAGCATTATCAGCAGAATGGTCCATATCAGGTTTATTATCTTTCATCTCCTTAGTAGGTGAGCTCACAAAAATGTGGATCTTGGCAGGGCCTTGTTTAGGAGACTCTAACTGTTTGATCTTGATCACATCACCTCCTGGTTTAGACTCCTGTTTTACTACAGAGATCTGGATCTTTTGTTTAGCTGCAATTTGATCATTTGTTTTTATAATCATGGATGGCTTTTCTTGGGGTGGCGGATCTAGTTTGGTCACTATAATAGTTTTTGATTCTGATGGTTCCTTTAGTTTATTTACAGTTCTGCTTTTAGACACATCAATAGTGTTTAGGCTAGACGTAAGTCCCTTTTGTTTTGAGATTTGAGCAATTGGTGATGAACACTTCACCTCAGATGTAGATAGAGCATTCATTTCAGGGAAATTCCCTAGGTTATCCGATGACACTTGCATGACAGGAGAATCAACTGTTTTTGCACTCAGCTTTGTTAGGCTGATAGAACTTGGCAATGATATTGGTCCATTCGAACTGACAGGGGTTTTAGATATGATTGTATATGGAACAGAGGAGACCAAAATTTTAGGATGGGGCTTCTGGGAGATGGGGCTCTTTGCTGGGATTGTGCTCTGTATGCGAATGACTTTGTTCAGTGATGGATTGTTTATTGATTGCACCACTTTATATGAGGACATAGGTAACTTCTTATCATTGATTGGCTCCAGAGTTGTTACTTTAGTCTGCTCCCCCTCCACTATTTGAGAATCACTTGTATTTTTTGATAAATTAATATTTTGGTCCACATTGTCTTTTAAATTTTCCTGCTTGCTTTTCACCTCAGGGGACACTCTGTCTTGTGTTAAAACTGGGGGTTGGGGTCCTGTGTCAGATTCTTTAAATGGTGGCATTACATCTTGTGTATTATGTGGAGGTTCAATGCCAGGTGCTAATTGCGAGGGCGCAACATCCTGTGTATTATGAGGTGACAGACTATTAGCTGTTATATGTGCTTTATTGTTAACTATGACTTCCTCTGCCAAGGTCCTGCTTGGTGTAGGGGTATCACTGGTAGATGTGGGATGATTTTTGTCGGGCTTCATCATGCTGGTGGAGTTAGTTCCAACATCATTCATCTGATGATGACACTCGTTTGAAGCCAAAGAAGTCATCAGACATGCCTTGTTTTCTTCTTTCACGATCTTAACACCATCTGGTTCAAATGAGATCCTAGCAATGGCATTATGCGTACTAGTAAGCTGACTGGGGCCTGTATCTGGCAACAGGTTCTCGGACATGCCACCATCAACAGAGAGGAGTGGCTTTACTAGCTTCTGAACAGAATCAGTCAGGTGAGAGGCATACTGTGGGGCAGTGATTGAATGTAAAGTTGAGTTACTAGGAGTACGCATTGACTTCTGCATGAAGTTAGTTAAATGGTGGGCATTTGGTGGGAAATCATCCTTCAAGCCATCCACCTGTACTACACTCTGATTAGACTTCTTGGTTTTATTTTTAGGCAAGGCAGAAACTTTAGGGGTGCTATGGTGCCCACTGGCAACAATTTGGACAGATGCTGACTTGTGTCCACTGGTTGCAACTTGGCTTGGGCTAGCAGCTCTAATTTGCTCTGATGTTGAATTATACATGCTCTCTATGGTCATATTCATTAAGGCATCAGATTTGGCAGTTTTATTAGCAGCAGCTGCAAGAATGTCAGCTATAGTGTAGGACCTGCCTTTGTTGTGAGGCTTCATATTTTGTGAGTTAGGTAATGGGAGATGGTCTGTGATGTGTTCTGCACGAGATCCACCAGAATTCCTCTTCTTGCGTTCTTTCTGATTATCTTTTTGTTGTTGATCTCTCAAAAGGTCTTTCTCCATTACAGGACTTATAGTGCGCACTTCATCAAACTTATTACGTATTTCTTCATCACGTTCGATCATCGGTTTCAGAATTGAGATTGGTCTGGATTTGGTGTGGAGATGTGCGGAATCACTTGGAGCTGATGCTGCAAGGGTCTGAGAGGAGGTAATGACAGCCATTTGCTGTTCATGGACATTCTGCTCCCGGGTGGTGACAGATCTGGATGACAAACTGCTCTCCTGGGTTGACACACTTGACCGAGGATCAGACACCCACGTTGGTTGTGTAGTGGTTGTTACACAGGTGGTCACGCTACTAGTTACATTCACTGTGGTCACAGATGGCTGAACCTGGCTTGGTAATCCAGCTGTAGTATACTCGGATGTTGCAGAATGAGTTCCCGAGGTGATTCCCAGTGTATAACCTGCATTTGACACAGAGCTACTGGTGCTAACAGATGAAACGCTACTGGTTACAGGTGGGCATATATTGGTTGTGGGAGGGTAGCTACTGGTTACGGGTTGGTGGTCAGTTGCTGAGGTGACAGTTGTGTGTTTGCCCGCACTACTGCTATTCATATGTCCAGAATGCCCACTAGGGTTTATATGGTGCCGTGCATACTGAGTTGGAATGCTGGTAGATGTCAATGTTCGTGATTTGTCTCTATTAGGTGTATTGTTAGGTTTCCTGGCCATATATTGGGCCGTAGCTTGCTCTAAAGTTTGAGCATTATTATGTCCCCTTAGCTCCAAGTTTGGAGAAGTCCCACTTCTACTGTGTGTGTTTAACTCTAAGCTTGGTGAGCCAATATTTCCACGCACTTCCAATCCTTGTGTGGTGGTAGGATCTTGTTCTACGCCTGGTGGAGAGGCAGTGTTGCTTTGTGTGCGTAGCTGGGTGAGTAAAGCAGCTGGACTGGATTTTGCAAGAGGAGATGGGTCTTGACCTGAAAGAAAACATCAAAATACAATCAATAGTCAATCAGTTCATTGAATACAAAAGATGTCCACTGGAGAGAGTTCAAAATACAATAAATGTCTTAACAGATATAGTTCATAATACAATAGATGTCTTTCAAACAAAATTCAAAATACAATTTTAAAGTATACCAAATATAGTTCAATGATGTCTATTACACAGTCAAAATACAATAGATATCTATCATACACAGTTCAAAAGGCAATCAAACAAACTAAAATACAATGCAATGTTTTTCCAGGTTCTCATAACTAGCAACAGGTCATTTTCTTGTTAATTTTACCAAAATCAAAAATTTATCCTATATGCAGGGGTTGTGCCTCAGTCTCAGTAGTTTGACTTTTCAATTCAAACAAGACACAGAGTGAGCAGAATCGCACCCTTGAATAGAATAGACAGTTTTCAGTTTTCATAGAATATTTTGATTTTTTCAGTTTTTAGTTTTTAGGAAGGAAAATCCAAAATGGCCACCCTAACATTTACCCAGATTGCCCAAAAACGAATCAGTTCTAAATCTTCATATGTAGAAACATTCCTAAAATTTCAAATGAATCCATGAAATGGTTTGGCTGGAAACCTGTAGACAAGCCTCAACAAACAACATTTTAGGATGGAAAACCCAAAGTGGCCACCTTAATTTTTTACCAGAATGCCCAAAAACTAATCAGTTAAAAACTACTCAAACTGTTTGGCTGGAAACCTGTAGACAAGTCTTGACTGACAGAATTTTGGGACGGAAAATCCAAAATGGCCATCTTAACATTTACCCAGAATACCCCAAAACTAATCAGTTCTAAACTATTGTAAGTAGGTACATCCCTGAAAATTTCAGATGAATTCCTCTCGGTTTGTTTGGAAACCTGTAGATGACAAGATTTATCAGGATCCTGCCCAGCCAATCACCCACCTGGCAAACTGATCACAGTATAGCACCCAAGGGTGCGATAAAAAGAATTTCTGAGAACATGAATTGAATCTACCAAACTAATGTTTACTATATGAGATTCATACTCCAGGCATGTTACTTAAAACAATGTGAATGAATAATGTATGACTTCCCGATAAAGCTCTCTATAGATGGAACATATGCACTGGCATATTTACTACATCTTTCATTTACATGAAATCTGAATCAACATTTAGCTAAGATAAACACAGACCTTGTCATTTCCATAATGCGAGATATTTTCAAATGTATAATATGGAAATGTATGAAATGTTCAAATGTCCCTCAAGTATTGTGAAAAACAAGGTAAAACTTAATCACTGGTACCCACCTAGTTACGTTGACGTTACGTCAGCGTAACAAGATGGAAGAACTTCCGGGCTTCGTTTTCAGTAAGATATTTTTATTTCTCGATTCTACACCACTTATGAGTCAAGTTGTGGACAATAATTTGGCTCAAAGTTAAGGAAGATAGTCTAGTTTGAGAATATGCAGGCGGTTCTATGTTTGGTATATTAACGAAGACGCAATTCACATATTTAGTCCCTTGCTTTTGTTACATTGACGATCATGAATATTGTCACATTGGCAATATTTATGAAGATCGTCAATGTAAAATGTAAAAAAGGCAAGGGACTAAATATGTGAATTGCGTCTTCGTTAATATACCAAACATAGAACGGCCTGCATATTCTCAAACTAGACTATCTTCCCTAACTTTGAGCCAAATTATTGTCCACAACTTGACTTATAAGTGGTGTAGAATCGAGAAATAAAAATATCTTAACGAAAACGAAGCCTGGAAGTTCTTCCATCTTGTTACACTGACGTATCGTCAGCGTAACTAGGTGATTACCAGTGTTAATATTACATTCCGTACTATTCAGTATTCTTGTAAGTTTACTAGCTAACAAAAACATTTTTTGTCAATTATTGGAAATAAAGTAAGAGAGATCATTCTTCTATATTTCAAAATACTGTTTTGTTGATGAGATGTGATACATGAGAGACTCATGTCATGACAGACACACAGATCAAAGTAGAAATGGCATTGTATTTAATAAATAATAAATACGAGGCTTGTTTTTGTAGTTATATTGAACAATCTATAGACTTTGATCAAAATAGAACCTTTGTCTTACCCATGATGTGTGATGTCTTAGTTGGTTGTCCTAGAATAGCCTCAGGGAAGGAGTTGCGCCTGCTGACAGGTACCTGGCCTATGTTGAAAGGACTTCCTCTGCTGCTGTGGAGCACAACTGGGCTGCTTCTATTGTTACCTGTAGATCCCTGGGATTGGCCGGGGATATGAACTCCATAGCTAAGCTGACTGGGGCTATTGCTTACCCCTGGATACCCTGGATGTTGTAAACTAGTACTGACCCCTGGATGTTGTAAACTAGTACTGACCCCTGGCTGTAGAGGGCTTGTGTGATTCTCATATACATGTCCATACACCCCTGGAATCAGAGGACTGTTTCTATTGGTACAACCTGGACTGTTCCGACTATTTCTTTCATTCTCATTACAACCAATTATTGGACTATTCCTATTTACATGAATTTTACCTTTCTGATAGTCTGAATCACAATTCAAAATTGTTTTTGTTCTTTCTGGATGATCCTGAGGTACATGCCATGTAGGTCCATTCAACATTGGAAGTGATTTCTCAACTTCAGTTTTAGTGTTTTGTTTCTCCATGAAATCATAATGTTCAGTTTTAGGTTCTTGAGAAAGTAAACCTTTAGAGAACAATTTCCCATGGCCTAACACTTCCTCCATTTTATTCAAACTCTCCTTTAAAAGTCCAGGAGGGGGTATCTTATCAGTAAGTTTATTTGAAGTAAGCCTTTTACTTAGATCAGGGGTATTTTGATCCAATGCATATGCCACAGTTATTGAGGTGGCTGGCTTACCAGATTGAACTACAGTTTGTTTAACACTTCTACCCTCTTCATCCTGATGTAGGGTAGAACTGGTTTCATCGAAGGGGTAATTGCCAAGGGATGTATGTGCGCCCTGAGTGCCATCACTAACTGATTTCAAAGCATCTTCTGGAGGTGAATTATGAGATGATTCTGATGTCATTGACACTCCAGAGTCAACTGATGGATTTGACATCCCCAAGCCATTGTCTGATAACTGTAAATGTCTGACAGTTGGGTCAACTAAAGGGCCGTTAGTGGAGGGTGGTGACGCTGTGACTGAACTAGGCACAACACAAACTCTGGAGGGTGACCCCATACTATTAACACTTGATGTTGCAATGTCACTTTCATCATTTTTTGTTTCACTTGTTACATACTCCTTGCTATTTTTCCGCACCAGCTTAAGTTTCAGTTTCGGTATTTCTTGCCTTGGCATTGGAGGGCTAAGCTGTTCCTCTATTTTTGGCTTGGTAGGTTCCTCTGACCGTGGAGGTTTGGGATGGGTAATTGGAACGGCCATTTGATTTTGAGGTGTTGTATTTGCTATAGGTGGTCGAGGAGCTGCTATTGTATCTGTAACACTAGCAGGCAAACTGTTTGTTGAGGTAACCTGGTTTTGGACATTAGATGTAGCATGGAGTCTATATTGGGGTATGCTGGTTGGGATGCCTCTAGCACTTGGAGGAGACCCTTTATCATGTGCATGTTTCTCTGGGCTTATCAATTCACCTAATTGTTCTACTTTTTCTCTTGGTTCTAACTGCCCTGTGTAAGGGTTTATAATACAATCCTGACGTCCCTCTAAAGTTGATCTCTCAGTCGTATAGGGATTCGGAACAATATCAATGCGGATACCATCATCGTTGGAAACTGGTTTGGGTTTTGGTTTCCTTGGCTTTCGTTTCCGCTTAGGTGGCTGTTGTGGTACATCCAGTCCATGAGGTGGAGGCATCCTGTTAACAGGGAAATTGTTAATATGCATGTGAGGGGGATGAGGGGGATTTCCCTGGTGTGAAACCACATGACCTCCAGATAGGTCTGTCTGTAACAGGTTAACCAAAAGGGGACTGGAATTTGTTATACTGCCAGTACTGTCCATACCTGGCATAGGTTTGCCCTGTGAGTGAGCCACAACAGGGCGTTGATGTCCATTACCATGAGGGTAGGGATGAGGGAAGTGGATACGTCCACCAGGGGAGGGTGGTCCTGTACTAGGCGATCCGGGGAGTTTAGGGCTCACTGGACTTGATTGTTGGCTGCGACTGGACCCGGGTGAGGAGAAATGCTGTGGCGTGGATGATGGTGAAGGGTAATTGGTTGGACTGCGTCCTGGTGGCAGTAACATACCACCTACAGCATGGCTTGGACTCCTACCAGGTGACGTAAAGCTAGTCACACTAGAACTCACAGGCCTGAATGGTATAGGATCAGTCGTAGTTGCAATTGTATTTGGTGATTTAAATACCTCCCCAGTAGTTGGGCCTGCCTGACTCACAGTAAACAGAGAGTCAAATAAACTTGTTGCTGGTCCACCTTGGCTCAGATACTGAGCGATGTTCCTACGTGTTGTATCACTTGGCCCAGGCACACTGGGACCTTCCTCAGAACTTGACATATCGAACACAGAGCCTGGTGCTTTAGTAGCCTTACTAGGCCCAGTTCTAAAAACCAACTCAGTTGTCTCATTGTTTTTACCAGCAATTGTTAAACTAATGGCACGATCTCCTTCTATTTGCACAGCCATAATCCCTAGTTCTCGCAACGTCCGATCTCCTTGCTCCGCAAGCTGCTTCAGTCGCAATGCTGCCTCTTTTGGTATGTTAAACGTTACACGGACACTATTCCAGGGTTCCACTTTCTTGATGATCAGTCTTCTTTCTTTATCTGGAAGAACAGAACAGTAATTGTAAGTTGCTTTATAAAAATTACTGGAAGGTTTTCTAGATGAATAATACTTTTGAATGCAGATTCTGTCTAGAGGGGAAAAGATTATATGCTAGAAAAAAAGTATACCAGTATCATGGACAATTTTTTTTGCTGGAGATTATCATTATTTTTTGTTATGATTTCATTATTTTCCAAGTGAATATATCCAATTTCTCATTTTCACACAACAAAACTATTTGTTAAATTTTAGAAGACACTTTCTTTGCTCTATACATATATGAGTATCAGTCTTATCTATTTTTTCTATTTGCAATTACGCACATGCGTTAGCACATCTGATAGTCTATAACACAGTGTGTATAACACAATCCCAACTCAAACTTTTACTTGTAACATCTATCACTCCTTTGTGTATAATAATTAATCAAAGTACACATTGTAATAAGGTTAATTCCAACCATCCCTGTACAACAAATGCACCAGGAAATGCCTTTGATACCAGCTATATCAATGTTGGCCTACCCTGAATCAGCAGAATGTAGACCCTACCCTCTGATTGGAATTTGTTGTTTTACAGTTAGGATCAAATCAGTCAGCTGACTATCTTTGGCTTGAGGAGTGGAGATATTTATTAATGATGTGAAAAATGTGCAGTGACACAAAATTATCAGATTACTTTTGCAAGGTGTAATCATATCCTTATAGGCTCTTAGTACGTAAAAATATATAGTCTGGATCTCAACAAATGTTCATATTGAAACTGAAATAAGAGCAAAATTCAAATTTAAAACAAAGCATTAACATGACAAAATGTCACCACCTAGTTGCTCACAATACTATAAGTTCAATTTTAAGTCAGATTTGAATTTCTGAGAAGATGATTTTGGAAAAATAAATTGGTCAATTTGAAGCAAGTTGAAAAAAGACTTTTTTCATCCTGAGGTCGTTGAAGGTGAAATCTCATATCTAAAGTTGTACTTGAACTTCTGAGAATTTGTAGATGATTTTGAAAAAAATTGGTCAATTTGAAGCAAGTTGAAAAAAGATCTTTTGACCTTTTTTGACATTGAGAAGGTAATAGAAGGTCAAATCTTAAATCTACAGTCAGATTTGAGCTTCTGAAAACTTGAAGATGATTTTGAAAAAAAGTAAAGCCAGTCTAAACAGTATTTGTTAAGTTATTGGAAGTTGTAAGAATTTGTTACAGATGCCAACCGCAGATCACCAACCGCCAATTGCCAACCACAACCCGACATCACAAAAAATTGAGACCATAAGAATTTGTCACCAATTTTTGGTGGAGACATATTTATAAATATTATTTCATATAACAGGTGTTTTGATGTGGTGTTCACGAGTTCACTAGAGTCTGAGGTATTCACTAAGACGGGCTTTACTATACATTCAAAACAAATCAATGCAATTATCTAAGGCATCTTGAAAATTCTATGTTTATGTTTATGTTTATTTCCTTTTTTAAATACATACAAATATACAATACATGAGTGGGTGACACTTTAAAATCGTTCATATCTAGAAACAACCCTATAAGATTGTAATTAATTTCACTGGTAGATATGGTAGTGGTATTACATTCTCAAGGACAAGGACTCAAGGACAATAACATCAATTTGGTTATTTCTATTTGAAGTTATCAAACAAAATTCTGAAAGTTTTATATTGCAACCTCTATTTTATTTTTCAGGAATTGCCATATTGGCTAATCTAAGGTATGATGGTTAAATTGGATTAACCTGAATTACATTAGATTCCCATCAAAATAATTGGAGATTTGAGAATCAACATATACAGTACATGCATTGAAGAATGAAAAACCTTGGTGCAAGTCATTTAATTACTTTGCAGTGACATATCAATCTTAACAGTCTACTACTATATGTACTATCAACCAACTGACAGAAAAAAATTTTCTGTAAACTATAAAAAGTCCTCCTTAGTAAGCAGCAGAGTAAGTTAGCAGAGAACTCCTTCCAACATTTTCTAACAATGCTTTAACACACAGGATGTTGCATTGTTTGCCCATATTGTAGATGTTCCAGCCCCCAGTAGGATGACATTGGGGGATCAGGATGCATATATCTTGATAGAAGATTGGTCATTCTACTTTTACTTATACTTTTTGTGATGCCAAATTGCTTAAGGCAAATAACTTCAGCCAAGGTTATTATTTGGTATAATATATTTCAAATTATACTTACCAGTCTGAATCAATTGCTGCAATCTATTGCTGAGGGATAACAGTTGACTGTGGAACTCTGGGTCATAGAAGTCTCCTTTGCATGTCAACTGTGCCTCGACGTATTCCTCATCGTGAGGACCCATGATGACCATGCACCTCACACAAACCTGAAATTAAACAAAAGCAATGTAATAATAAATAGCTCATAAATGTCATAGCTTATAGGTGATGAATTTTCAACCAGGGTTTAAGTTCTTTGATTGTTTAAATTACATTGACAGAATTCAAAAAATGATAAAACTTTACAATATATATGTTTCAAAAAAGGTAGGTCAAATGAGGTCAAAAGTAGGCCATATTGAGCTGAGGGGTATCTTTAGTTTCTAGAATTTTTTGCAATGGGGCATTTACGATGAACACTTGATAGCAGACACTAGTGCAAGTAGCTGAAACATGTTGAGCATGTTCTTATTTAAAGAACATGCTAAAAAATGTATTTTCTAATTGTGGTTCAGACTTAAGGCGATTTTGATCTGTTCCCTAAATCACTGGTCTGATAAACAAAATTAAAATAGAAAAATAAGAAAAATGGTAAAATAGAATGGAAATTCTTACCCTCCTACCCTGGGTTTATATATCTTAAATTCATGTGAGATGTTTTGTTATTATACAACAACCTTTTTCTAAAATGTTTGAATATATATGCCGGTCAATGTGCTACCACTCGAGGTCAACATGACATATTTTTAACACTTTCATTCTACTTAATGATAATAAACCAGATTTACAGTAGCCATAAAATTACATATCAATTTTTTTTCATAAATTGCTCCTATGCTATTAATCAAGGGTCAAATAAAGGCTGATGATCCTCAACTCTGCAATATGCAATATATTTTTTTAATATATTCATTGTTGGCATTACGTAATTGGGGGAGCATTGTTAAGATGCAGAGGGGGAGAAACACCAGGGTTCAAAGATGACATACGCTTATAATGTAAATCTGTATTGAGATGACATCGTCGCTGATTGGTCAAAAGTCGACAAACAAATGTCGTCAACAATGGCGGTTTCAAAATTTTCGAAATACGCTTCGAATAATATTATGTTCATTTCTGGCACGTAAACCAATATCATAGCTTCTCATTTCACATCAAGATAAAGAAAGGTGTACGGAATATGCCTATATCAATTAAAACATCCCATCGAAGTGTAGTATTTGATAACTTGCCGATGAAAATTCGAACGAACGAAGGTGGTAGGCAAGAGAGGTAATTATGTCTGTCATCTTTAAACTCTGGGGCTTTCCCTCCTCTTGTTAAGATGGGTGAACATTTAACTAAGTTAAGATAATGAGGATTATCCCGAAGCAGACACCATGTGAATGATATATATATATTAGTCACTAATACGTAATGGTATGATTAGTGGGAGTGATAATTATCAGTGGTGAATTTCACTTAACTATTAACCATTACATAAGTACCAAACTGCATGAATTGTAGCCTATCATCAGAATAACTTTTATCCAAGCTCTTTTTGCAGTTCCATTTTGGAATATGCCATAGATTTCCATAGTGATTTTTAAAAAATCCAATATCTGATTCCATCTCAGCCAAAATCCTGTATCAGAACTATTCCTGGGATTTGGCTTGATACAATTTTTGTCATATACTTCTAAAACTTATTAATACACCCTTGGTATACGGAGCTAACGGAAATGGATCGGTATGGACGCAAAAGCTGAATCTGTTTAGAATAACGCTTATATTTGAATTTAAAACAGTCATAACTTTCTCAATATTGACTTATGCGTGTCAAATTTGAAATCTATGATTCCCCTGAATAATTTGAAGTACCCCAAATTTTTACTGATTTTTTACATATGGAATAAACATATAGATGGTCATGATTGAATATGATTTTTTTCATTGCGATAATATAATATTGCCCCCTCAGAATAAAATTCATATTCTATCCCTCCCATTAAATAACCTCTATATACTCTTTGTTTTTATTTGAAATAAACAATTTACTACTTAGTACTTATAAGTCATGCGGTTTATACACATGCCTATATGGAATAATATATATTTATTAGAGAGGTATATAGAGTGGTTTCGTGTTGCACTAATAACTGGCATATGTCCAAAGTTGCATGCTTTCTACAATCAGGATAATTAATTATCAATGGCAGTAATAATTATCAACTACAATACTATAAAAGAGGGGGATTAACCCTAAAGTTCAAAGATGACGTACGCTTATAATAAAAACCTGTATTGAGATGACATACGTCTCTGATTGGTCCAAATCGATAAACAAAAATGGCGGATTCAAAAAATAACGCTTCAAACAATATCATATTAATTTCTGGTGTTTCACATCAAGATGTAAGGAATATTTTTACATCGATTAAAACATCACTACAATGCAATTTGAATTGATGTGTGAAATGATTAGCCTGAAAATGCTTGGACAAGACTTTCCAGACACAAATTTAGGACAGAAAATCCAAAATGGCCATCTCAATATTTACCCAGAACACCAAAAACCTAATCAGTTGAAGTTTATCATACTAAGAATCATCCCTGAAAATTTGAAATTGATCCCTTAAATGATTTGCCTGAAAAGGCGTAGACAAGGCTAAACATCCCTGAAAATTTGAAATTGATCCCTAAAACGATTTGCCTGAAAAGGCGTAGACAAGACTTACAGACACGATTTTACATAACCGACGCATTTCGACTCTTTAATCACTTGGTCCTCGTTTCATGGAACTTTATCGTCGCTAATTCTGTGCATGTGCTAAGCTCGTGTGCTGATGTATTATATGAAATCCCGATTTCTATCAAATGGGGTCGTGAATCACCACAATATAGCGTTTTCGATATCGTCAATGACAACGGAATCTGAATTTGAAATAATCTACAAAGACAACGGCATATGGTAAGATGTGACAACGGACTATGGTGGATGTGTTGCATTGCAACATAGAAAAATGACAACGGTAAATAGACATTTTACTGTTGTCTTTATATACACCATTGTCAAATATTACCGTTGTCAACTCGATTTTACATCACATTTGACCTACACCTATCGTTGTCATTTATACAGTATCCATTGTCCTGTGTCATATTCCGATCGGTAAAATTAAAGCCTTTATTTCAATTGTAGAACATATTTAACTATATGATCAGTAGAAAAACACTTTGAGTGACTGCAGTACCAACGGAATTTAATCTAGTCGCTCTATCAAACATGCAGTTCATGAAAATCTAATTGAAGCGACGGTAATTTTCGCCATTTGTGACAACGGTATCTGACTTTACCGTTGTCAGGCTATTCCTGAATATGTGTATATATCTAAGAAGGCTGTTTATACATGATATTCAGTATAAGGATAAAATGGTCATCTTAACCAATACCAAAACAAACGTTTCAATCATTTAGAGATTTATATTCCGTAATCGCCATAATAAACCCCTACCCCGCTTCACAAAATTCAAGAAATATTCTGATTTCTGATGAATCAAATGGGTGATAATAGAGTACTCACACAAAACTGCTGTAAACATGACTTATTTTGTAATTTGATACATCCTCCTCATAAATATCTATCATTGGGTGCTTCCCATATCATACTCAACTAATATTATCTCAAAATGGTCCATAATGAATGAAGGAAATGTTCAAATATAAGAATTTTGTTTCGTCATTTATCCAAGAAAGCTTCTGCACAGGTTTCATGCAGATGTAAAGAGGTCATTAGTTTTCATGTTCTTAATATTTCTCAACCTTTACACGACTTTTACATGAAAAATTATGATCTGTCATCAAATTAAAAAGATAAGATATAACTTTAGATCGATATCCAACAGTCTCTCATGGAAATATTGAAGATAATCTGGGGAAAACAATGCTTTCAATTTGAGGGGCTCTGCTGGGGATTTCCTCAATCACTGTCGATATTGTCTAGTTAGATTCGTGCAAGATCCTTGCTTTATCTTAGCGATCTTTACCGTCATCTCTCCAATAACAATTAGGGTAGATCAATTTTTCAACTTTTTCTCAGATCTTAGGGCTATTTAAAGGAAATAACCACTAATATGCCCTAAACTTATAACATTTTTTTAGCTCAATCCGTCAACGTTTAGACACCCCCCCCCCTACCGCATTTTCTGATGCCTATTCGCTATCATGTTAAAAATCATCAGAAAGTCGCAGTTGGTAAGTAGTTGTTTGTGACCCGAACCGTGTCTTCCGACCCAAGATTCGGCTTGGTGTGACACCTTTAATACCTAATACTTTCTTAATCTGTTTTAAGAATTCAATGATGTACAAATCAATATCATATAGTTTTGCATTATACATATTGCATTGATATGAAACAAAAAGTTTGTTTGGATTGAACAATACTCATATATATATATATATTTGTTCTTAATAACACTTGTGCTAGACTTACATCTTTAAGTCGATGGGATACAAACAAATTCCATATTTTTTCTTGAATCACCATTCAAAACATCCTAAATCATAACTTAAAAAAAACCTTTATCTCAACTTTTGGTCATAATAATGTACCAATAAATTATGTTTTATATTAGATAAAATGCTAGATTCTGACTGATCAAAGAGATATAAATAGTTTTGACGGTTGGCCTTGACCTAGAAACACGTCAATTTGATGTATTTGGCTTTAAGAATCAGGCATCAGAAAAGTCAAAGGAGCTCAAGATGACAACATATGTATATTCAGTGTTTTCAGTAGGTTTGTCCAAGTTTGCGTCCCTGGGACGTAACGATTTTCAAAAATACGCCTCCCCTTAAAAAACTGCGTCCCTTGAAAAAATGTTCCCGGGAATTCAAAGTCACGCTTTTACACTAACCGAAATAAAATTGATAAAATTTTGTATCGCTTTTGCTATTTATCGGTCTATCTGTGTTCTGGCGAGTCTAGTATGCCATTGAATAATACAGATACCATCACTTGTGAGGTATAACTTATATTCAACCATTAGAAACACATTTTCTTTGCGTATTTCGAAGCAAATAGCTACTGATTTTGCTTTAGTTTAGGGGCAATCTGTGCGAGGTTCAATTTTTTGATTCAGTTTCTTGCGCATGCACATTCTTAACCTTTACCATGCTGCCTTATTTCAGCAAATATATCCCACGCATCTGGCTTCTTTTTCAAAGAGTGCAAAAAATGATATGCCTGGACTAAATAATTAATATCTCAATAACTACTGAATGAATCTGGATAAAATTTTCACAAAGGGAAAAAAATGTTCTTATGAATATTTTTCGTACAATAACATGACTGGGCATAAATATACCATGAATACTCCTCCGAAATCCGCCGCTCCGCCCCTTCGTCTGGTCAGAATTCAAATCTGAATTTGCAGCGATCGAATGTTCAATTTTTCAATTCAGAAAATATTCTAGTTTCTATTTTCGATGACCATTATCGGCTTCCAAGAGCCTAAAAAGCTCGAAATCGTAGTCCATTTCCTCCACATTTTCGTTGTGATCGTATTTGTCCGCCATTTTGTACGATTTGTTCACTTAAAACGACTAAAACACTGTTTAAATTGTTGAATTGAGAATTATTTTTCGAAATATCGCCATTTTTAGTTCAACAGGAAGTCATGTTAGGCACTGAATAAATCGGGCAATCTAATTGGACAATACGAATGGTGGGAAAAAGTAAAGTTTTTAAAAGTTTGAAATTGGGCGTACGGGTCCGCCGGCAGTTGTGAGAGACATTTTAGCCTCGGCGGACGCGTACGCCGGCAGCACGCTAAAGGTTAAATAATGATCTTGTGATCGCACTTGACCAATAGAAAATGGTTTAAATTGGGTCTTCAGCTAGCAGCCAATCGTAAGAAGTGTACTGATTACTGCTCGGATATTGAGTATTGGATAACTATTTGTCCTATCACATGCCTCATACTACATCGATCAGAAATCAACTTCCGGGAAGGAAATTTCAAAAGAAAATGTTATTTCTTTTAGAAATAGAATTTCCTTCAATTATTTAGTGGATTCACGAAGTGATTTACGAAATTCAAATTGCGTCCCAAAAACATAATTATTTTTTTTAATTTACGTCCACCCAATCTTGATTTACGTCCTCTCCATTGAAGGACGCTGTTAATGAAATCACTGTATATTAGTGTTCCAAATGATAGTGAAAACTGGTGTCAGTACTACTGCGATCCAAGTTACTGTTAACAAATACTGTGATTTTGGGTTCACGTTTCCATATGCATTAGAGCTGGCATCAAATTGTGGAATGGTCGATTGTCAGTCGAATGCTCTCTGTGACACCCATGTCGACACAACACCTCTTGATCGACAGTCGGAACTCACAACATAATAAGCTATTTCCCTATGAATTAAAATCTTTGTTACTACCTGTGTATTTTAGTGAAGTTTTACCGCCTACATTTTCAAATTTTCTTTTTTGTTTTGATCGACTTCCTGCTCTCGAATTAGGTCTCGGGGCCCCTCGAGATTTACCCTCGAGATTTATTTTCAATGACTGCCCGGAAATAACAACAGAAATCGTAGTTTTATGTCTATTTATTGCTTTTTCGTCAAAGACTGATACTTGAAGATGGTTTACCTGTAAGTTAGATATAAAACATACAACTGAGGATGACTATTGTGCATCGTATTGCTATTTACAAGCCTAGAAAATCTTAAATCCAGACGGATTTTCTTCAAAATTTTTTTCATTTTTCGAATATCATTGGACCCGACAATGTCGATATCGTTGTCGATCGAGAGCTCCGACATGTCGACATTAAAATCCTATTCGATGCCAGCTCTAATATGCATACATTTCTATAGATGTCTTTGATGATCAATTTGGTCCCTTTTATACAAATGTGGTTTATAATCATGATTTATCAATGTCTTACGTGATTATCCATAATTCCTACATTGAATAAAGACATCTACACCCAGATATTTAACTAATCATTTCTCGAATTGGAAAAAAAACAGATGGCGCCCCTAACTCTCCAAAAAGAAAAAACACAGAAATATCTCCACTTGTGAACAGATAACTTGTCTTCGCTTTTTATTGATGTTTAGCAGTTAAGCAGGGGGCTATGATTATATGAAAGTGCTGTCCTATCTACATCCAGATATTTAACTAATCATTTAAGATGGCGCCCCCAACTCTTTAAAAAAAAAAACACAGAAATATCTCCACTTGTGAACAGATTACTTGTCTTCGCTTTTTATTGATGTTTAGCAGTTAAGCAGGGGGCTATGATTATATGAAAGTGCTGTCCTATTCATCATTCAATTAGGAAATCAGATACCAAATTATGTACAGTTAAGTAAATCGTATTTGCATGCCCTCTGCTATATTAAATTTAACAGATTCTATGACAAAATAAAAAAAAACACCTGACAGTATCAGGAAATATTTTGATACTGTTAACATCTTTCTTCACAATTTTCACTTTGTCCATATCTAAATGGAACACTCATTCAATTTATTAAATGCATGGAACTGTTCATAATGAGCATGTGACCTATTTTTCTAATTGTATTTCTGAATTCTCTAAAATAACAATTGAAACACTTTTCTGTGTTAAACCTTCTCTAAATTTGCTTAAAAGAGCCGGAAGCCCAGAACGGTGTCAATATCAGGCCTGCTTACACATGTTGATTGACAGAAGTTTCCCACCTCTGTTAGTTTTGAGTTTGAATCATTTGTTGCATTTCAATGTTGATATCATACTCTAAGATTCCAGTATAGATTTGTTATAATTTATGCTTATTATAAATGATCAAAGGTACTTCATCAAGAAACTCCATGAAGTCTATGGTGTGGAGGTCTAATGCATCAGTGAATGACATTTTCGGCCATTTTATATCCCTAAATAGCATAATAATTATAACATTAGGAATGCTTTTTACTTCTCACCAGCTATCAATATGCATATGTCATGTACCTCTTGCATCCATACTAAATGAGTAAAATATTCTTGAATTTATCCCCTTATTCGAATCCCGAGGATGCAAAATTTTGTAACAACCAAAAACAGATATTCATATGGCATATCAATCATGTAAATGTTTCGATCACACCTGACACACTTCAACTTGCGACAATTTGTTGATTTCAACTGAATACATTGCTTTGATAATAATGCAATTTTATGATTTTAAATTGGAAAATAATGAAAAAAGAAACAAAATATATGTGAAAAAGCTGGTTTTTGAATGGGAGTGACCAAAATGGAAAAAAATACTGAAATATACATGGATATATTTTGAACAAGCAACGATTTCGAGAGCTTTCAAATGAGTCTGCAACTTCATGCATGTCCTAACATCACCCAGAGCATTCTAGCGGTGCATCTCGACATGTTTAGAACGCTTTTTTTAGTTGGAAAAGTTGCAAAAAGTCCCTATTTCAAGGTTATGGAGGTCGATACCATGTGCATTCAGCTCACATAAATCGGTGTAAAATCATCAAAAACATGCTTAATCTATGTACTAAAGCAAAGATAAAGAATCGATGCAGTATAAGTCATAGGGACAAACATCAAATACATACCTAAAGGTTTGAAAATTAGACCCAAATTCGCCTTGGATTCATGTACGCCATGGAACAATAACACGGGCCGCCATTTGCAATTTGTTTGCGCATGCGTCAATTATGACGGAATGTTTTGTTCGTATTTTCACCGTAAGATGTCAGTCAATGATATCAATCTTTATTCAAGGCTGAGAAATTCATAAGAATAAACAAGCTGACCACCACACATCATCTGCACCGTGGTCTTGCTAATATTCTAATTTCATGGAAAGCAGTAGAGTAGTCCATTGGTTAAACTATTTTCTCAAATTAATACAAATATTTCCTGAAAACCATGATCACGGACGATTGTAAATTTGGATTACAACAAATATGGCAGAATAATTAAAATATACATATTATATATTTTGCAATAGTTTCCAATCTCATATAAAGAGGGCTGCATCGCAATAAATGTACAGTTCATATCGCAAAACGTGCTCTAATATATACTACATTCCAACCAAATTTAATTTACCTATCCCAGAACTTTGACCTAGTTGCCAATGACGCATGCGCACATCAATATTGCATCAGGTTTTCACATGTGGCTAGAAATATCAACATAAATTCATACTTTCATCGTCCAGTGTAAGATTTAGCCTACTGATAGCATATTTGTTACAACAAACATATTCTCACTGATCCGTAAGTATAGGCTAATTGTATTTTAAACCATGAACTCAGAGAAAATACGTAATTTATTGCAACCGGAAGTACAGTTTCTTTTGATTTTTCTTCATTTTTCATCTTTGATTTTCATGATAGGCCGGATGTCAGAGATCGTTTAAGGGGTGTAGTAGACGGTGAACACCGCCTCTAATGCGTTGGATTGTCGTATGGACTTGCTTTAGAGGCGGTGTTTATCCTTGTAAATTCATGCCAATCGAAAGTTTTTCTTGACTATTTTTTGACGGTTCACTTTATTTTAGTCATATAAATCTGACCCTCGTATGATGTTATCTGTTGTTATTTTTTCTGATTTGGATATTTATTTTTTCTTATTTTCTTGCATACGAGCGTCATACACACTTCCCTCATCTAAATTGCGGGAAATGCTTTCCTGGCCTGTCTACCCAACCAAATTCACACAAATGATAAATAAATTTCTTTGCTTCAACTATTGAGTATTTAATCTTACCTTAGGCACGTAAACCGCTTGGTAATTGAAGAAATATAAGCATGCCGCTTGAATTTTAAAATTTTTTCATTTTGTCATACCAAGGTCACTTCCGGATTAATCTGAGTCTAGATGTAAAACTATATCAAACGAAATCATAAGTATTTGTTACACGAAGATTCAGTTGAAAGGGAACCAGTGTCGTTAAGAAGGGAAGTTATTTAGAAAAGTTATTTTTTCAAAATGAGAAAAGTGATAAGTATGAGAGAACGGCTTTGGAATCGATCTCTGCGTAATAAATAATTATGATTCCGTTTCGATACATGTTTTACATTTAGACTACCGGAAACAACATTTAGCAACATGGCGGGCGATAATGAAAATATAATTCAATTGAATATATTTCGTCAATTATCAAGCGTTTGACATGTCTAAGGTAAGATTTAACACTTTGATGTTGGAGCTAAATAATTACTCGATAATTTGTGTGACTTTGGTTGGTATGGTAACTATGGTTACCCAGACAGGCCAGGAAAGCATTTACCGCAATTTGTTCCATATAATATCTACGACCGTATATGCAAAGAAAATGATAAAAAATAAATATCCAAATAAGAACTTGGAATATCAGAGAGAAGCATATAACGGTCGGATTTATATGACTACTTTATTTTAACTTCTGCTTAGAATCTCTGCGTCATTTATAGAGAAATATAAACAAAGTGGATACATTGATGATTTATACAAAAACTTACCATACCTTTGTGGTTGTAGAAGGTTGAATTGTGCTAATTTTGTAGCAAAATCGCCGTTTGTCGCTAATGTTCACAAAATCTTTAATGTCGTTCTCTATTCTCACGAGATTTTGCTGCCATCTAATTAACTATACAGAGTTTGTATCATTCATTCGACCATCATGTATTCGACGGAAGTCGGAAATCAATGATCTCTATTCGCATAACATAAAAAAAAGTTTGGATTTGATTTGAAGCCAGAACTGTTACAAGTGATAACAAACATATTGAATTAGTTTCCGGGTTTCCTCTAACTGAATTTACATTGTTTATAGAGTTCTATTAGTGCTCAAGAATTGTTACATTATTATCAATGTCAGTGACCTCTATTTTTTTGTAATCAGGTCATCAGTCATATCCTTTCACGCTCCCTAAGAATGAAATATTAAAATTCACCACTTACCTTCTTTCCCCACACTCCTATATTATCAGCATAGCTTTGCCGTACTCTGGAAACTACTCGTATAAGGGCACTTTGAACAGTTGAAAATCTTGTTTTATCACTTTCTTAAATATTATCTCCCAAGGAAAAAAAAATGGCGCTACTGGAAACAAGATATAGTGACAAACTATTTCTTTAACAAAAGATAAAACAAGCTCTTGAATCACACAAAGTTCCTGATAATTTCCAGAAAATGGCCAAGCAATGTCACTAATTAATGTATGAAACATTTGAGGGTAGAAGGCAGTGGCCTCTTATAATTTGTGACAAGAGGCATCAGGTACTGATTGACTTCATTCAAAAATTTTATTCAGATGTTATTTTGTATTTTCAGATTCAAAATGCCGCTTTTTTGTCGATACTTCGAGCATCGACTACCAGAAATTGAAGATGTTGTTATGGTAAATGTGAGATCAATAGCAGAAATGGGAGCTTATGTGCACCTGCTAGAATACAACAATATAGAAGGCATGATATTGCTCAGTGAACTGTCACGTAGAAGAATCCGATCAATCAACAAGTTAATCAGAGTTGGAAGGAATGAATGTGTTGTTGTGATTCGAGTAGACAAAGACAAAGGTATTGAAAAGGGATATCACATATTTCCCGTATTGTGATGACTACTTCTCAACATTTTGTAAATACTCATTTTAATCTTGAGTAAGAAAGATTTACTCAAGTTACTTCAATTTTTTATTTAGCATTATATTGATGTCCACAGAAAATATTATTTCAACATGTTGCTGCTAGAGTAATTATGTCACGTACCTCCCAAGTGGTGACATTTTGTTATGGTCTCCAACTTTTTTGTGACAGCACCCGATGGTCAGCGGTTGGCATTTGTAATTAATGGCATATGGTGACATATTGTATGTGAATGCCTCATATTTTCTTACATCTTTATGTGGCTGCAATATTCTTTAGATTACCCAAGGAATAATTCCAAAATTATTTCCTAGTCGCACAATAAACGTTGATTCAAAATTATAGATTTCTTGGTTCAGTGTACTTTTTACATTGGCGTAAATACATTTGCATTTTTAATTGGAATTTCCACATATTCAAGTATGATTTTCTACTCTGCATGTGGTAATTGTCTTTAAAGTTCAATCTTTCTGAATATTCAGGCTACATAGATTTATCCAAGAGAAGAGTATCTCCAGAAGAAGTGATGAAATGTGAAGAAAAGTTTGCTAAGGCAAAAGCAGTAAGTGCAGTGTTTGATAAAAATAAATTATTTTCCTAAAGTTTAAAAATAAAACCCAATATATGAAGTTAAATGTTTAGTACAAGAGTATTTTGAAGCTAACAACGAAAAACTTCGATCTGAGATCTATAAGATAGAATACTGTAGATTGGGTTAATTTGGCGCCCGCTTTAATTTGGCGAAATTGAAAAATTCGCCAATATAAATCTTCGTCAAAATTTAGAATGAATCCCCGGGAATTATCTAGGGTATTTCGTCCAGTGTATTTAGGTCATTTCCGGTTTAGTTTTTTCCAAAAATATGAAAAAATGTCTCTCATAAATTGGCTCAGAACTGGTCCGTCACTCATTAATACTCAGGGAAAAACTAGAAAGGAAAAGCATGGTAAAGTAGCAGCATCGATCAAGGTGCAAAATGTAAAGGATGATCTCACAAAAATGTACAAACGTGGTGAATATCGCTAGTGGTCCTCAAAAGAACATAGCCAAACATGCCCATTTACATGGCAATTCGCAAACTGTGCGGCACGTAAGTAATTAAATTTTTTTGCATATCCGCCAAATTAAATAGCCGCCAATATGCCAAAAATGGCAAAATCGCCAAATTAAGTAGCGCCAAATTAACCCAATCTACAGTAAGAGAAAAAATATTTAGTAAAGACCCCGCAATATGTCAATAAAATGAAAGAATTTTTCAGGTTAACAGTATCTTGAGACATGTTGGTGAACTATTAAATTACACCTCAGACTCCCAGTTAGAAGCACTATACAAAAAGACAGCATGGCATTTTGACGCAAAATATGGCAAACCTGGTGCAGCTTATGAGGCTTTCAAACATGCAGTTGCGTAAGTATATCACCGGAAAAAATTAATGGAGGGGGAGTAGCCGATTTCTGCTAGAAAATTCAACATATCTGCAAGATTATTTTTCACAAGAAAGTTTACAAAAGAATTGCTTATGCAAGTTTCAAGAGAAAACATTTATCTACATCGCAATACCAACTTTACACTTCTATTTTGCTGTTTCATAATGTTACCACATTGTGATATCTCCCTCCATTGTCTTATCCAATAATCTTCCAATTTACAGTAATCCTGAGGTTTTAGATGAACTAGATCTGGATGATGAGACAAGAAAAGTTTTAGTAGACAACATCAAGAGGAGACTCACTCCACAGGCTGTCAAGATTAGATGTGGTAAATATCAACTATTTCATCATTGCCCTCTCTTAATTCATTATTGCCATCCCTTGATTCATATTGCCCTCTTTCAATTTATTATTGCCCCTTGTTTTAATTTTTCATAAATGTGCAGAAATTTCCTGAATGTCATCATTTCGTCCATTCTTACTTCTTGAGACATATAGTCAGGATTCTATGTTTCATTAATGCTTCATGTGTGGCTTTATAACACTCAATGCATATTAAAGTAATTAATCTTTGCAAAGATGTAAAATTTCTTAAAACAGTGTAAATAGCGACATTTAAGATTTCAGAATCTATGAGATGAATGCATGTGGAATATTTAGTCTTCAACTTGATATTTACAGGTACATGTACATACAAGTTACTGGTCATCATTTATAATCAGAGTTAGAGGTTTAGCCCCTTAAATCCATCTATTCCATCCCAGAAATGATTAATGTCATTGCTTTTTCAGATATGAAAGTAGCTTGTTACGGATATGAAGGAGTTGATGCTGTGAAAGCTTCACTGAGAAAGGGTCTAGAAATGACAACAGAAGAAATGCCTATCAAAGTAAGTCCATTTAGTCAGTTTGGGATTTTATGGGGATTTCAATATCCATTATTCAGTCAATATTTTCATTTATATTCTGGCTTGTTAAGGCATAAAAATATTGGAAAGAAATCATCACTTATTGATCTCACTCATTAACATGCTCCAATCAGAAAGAGCGAATCAATTTCTTTGTTAGGTAAACATATTACCCACAATGCAGCTCTGTGTGACCAATCATATTGTCCTTTGAGTGGTGCAATCTGTAAAAGCATTCAGTTTGAAGAGTTCAACCATAAATAGGAGAATTAAAGACACTTTAAGCACATATCTAGTAATAATTTATACATTTTTATTTGATTTCTCATTGCAGATAAACCTTATAGCCCCACCATTATATGTTATGACTACAACAACGTTAGAAAGAACTGAAGGACTAGCCAAACTAAATGCAGCACTTAACTCTATAAAGGAATGTATAGAGGATAGTGGTGGGGTATTCAATATAGAAATGGCAGTAAGTAAACAAATGGCCCAAAAAAATATTTGTGATATTTTCTAAACAGGAATTGAAACTGTTGTGCCATAATCACCAATTTCTCAAGATTTATGTTTTTATTATCCCATCGAACGAAGTTCGAAGGGATATAGGGAACGCCTCTGTCCGTCTGTCTGTCTGTCCGTCCGGGCAATAACTCAAATACCGTTGGCCCGATTTTGTTCATATTTTGTACACATATACCCTATGGGGGTAGAAGTTCTCCTCGAAAGCTGATTTTCAAAATGGCTGCTCATTTCAAAATGGCGGCCATTTAAGTGCCGAATTTACGGTAATTTAGGTGCAATATGTAAAATTGTAATAGCAATATGTTTTAGATGTAAAAAAATTATATAGGACATTAATAAAGCTAGAAATGTAGACATTAAAGAAGCACATGACATCCATCTTGAAAAATGGCGGCCTTTACTCGTTATTTTACGATTTTTGCTGTAACTCGAAAAGTAGTGGAGCGATTTTTTCATATTTAGTATGTGAATACTACAAACATTGCAAACTGTCTAAAGACATTTTTGATAGAAGGCGGCCATTTTAAAAAATGGCCACCATTTTTCAAAATGGCCACCATTTAAACGTATTTTACTTTAACTCGAAAAGTAGTGGAGCGATTTTGTTCATATTTGGTATGTGAATACTATAAGCATGACACACTGTCCTATGACACGTTTGGTAGAAGGCGGCCATTTTGAAATTTTTTTGAAATTTTACTATAACTCGAAAAGTAGTGAAGCGATTTTGTTCATATTTGGTATGTGAATACTATAAGCATGACACACTGTCCTATGACACTTTTGGCAGAAGGCGGCCATTTTAACGTATTTTACTATAACTCGAAAAGTAGTGAAGTGATTTTGTTCATATTTGGTATGTGAATACTGTAAGCATGGCACACTGTCTAATGACACTTTTGGTAGAAGGGGGCCATTTTTCAAAATGGCCGCCATTTTAACGTATTTTACTATAACTCCAAAAGTAGTGGAGCGATTTTGTTTATATTTGGTATGTGAATACTATAAGCACGGCACACTGTCTAATGGCACTTTTGGTAGAAGGTTTTTTTTGTTTTTTTTTTTATAAAATCAAACTTTATTAATAAACATATTTTACATTACATGCATACAATTAGATAAAATACAATTATAGAAATTTCAAGTGACATTACATCTTTCTGATCATTATTTCATTATCAAATATAGCTTTTAAATTACTAGCTGTATTGACCCTTTTTTAAAATCATGTATAGCTTTTTTAATTACCAATGTTTTAAGTAAATCTTCTTTTTTAACAATTGCATTTCCAATTTTTTGATCATTTGTAACATTTACATCATTCCAAATTGATTTAATACAGTCACAATTGATAAAGAAGTGGTCAATGTCATCTTTTACATGTGTGTTACAAAAGTTACAGATGTCAGAGTTTTCTATGTTACATTTCTTCAAATAAATATTTTGAGGGTAAATACCATGTAAAATTTTCCATTGAATTACCAAAAGGGTAGTATCAGTTGTACATTCAAAAAATTGAGACCAGACTTTATCGTTTAGAATCTCAGCATTAAATTTTATGTCACACTTTCTCTCTAAAACAATTTTTGTTCTCACAATTCTTGTGTTTACAAGATGGCTCTCAATGCCTTTAAAAAATTTTGGTAGAAGGTGGCCATTTTGAAAAATGGCCACCATTTTAACGTATTTTACTATAACTTGAAAAGTAGTGGAGCGATTTTGTTCATATTTGGTATGTGAATACTATAAGTATGGCACATGATCTAATGACACTTTTGGTAGAAGGCGGCCATTTTGAAAAATGGCTACCATTTTTGCTATATACTTTGATTGTAAAAATGCCATCCATGGCTGTTTGATGGGATTCGCTATGCTTTGGCGTTGCTGTTGTTCTGGTTGGTATTTTGACCTTAACTAGAACAATCCTGGATATATATTTATCAACTGGAAAAGCATTTTGCATCTATAATGAATCTGAGAGACTGATTCCATCTAATATTACATTGAGATATATGTTTTATGATCTTTTGTATCTTATTCCAGCCCAAGGTGGTATCAGATAGTGATGAGGTTGAATTAAAGAAACAACTGGAACTTCTAGAAGAGCAGAATAGGGAGGTTGAAGGTGACGACTCTGCTGATGAGTATGAGGATACTGGTATGGCTGGACCTAAGGACATTGTAAATGATGATGAAGACTAGACTGTATAATATGTAGACCAAGCTTGCAGGGTGTGTTATAAGGATATTGGCCCAACTGGTCAAAATTGAATTTTCAATGATGTGTCATGTTATTTTTCTATGTTGAAAATCAGCTTGTCCAGATCAACACAACTGTAACTGGCTTAAGGCCTCTAGGACAGAGCTTACGTCTCCTTCTTAAATCACACCTTGTGGACTTCTCATAACATTCACAAGGTTTTCCTTATTACATCTCAATGTTGAAAAACATGATGATGTGATGACATTATTGAATTAAAATTCTTAAAACTTAAACATTTGAATTCCCTGAAGCATTTGGAATTTTATGTAGCCTAGTATTTATAGATTAAATGTATTATGTTACTTGTATAAAGTCTATGTAATAGCTGATGGCGTGTAACATAGAAAATCTGAGTTGCATCTGAAGTTAATGTTTCTAGTTGGAAGTCTATGTTTGAAGTCTAAAACAAGAACAGCAATATTTGAAAACCATAATATGTTATCAATTTATTGTGTTGAATTACTGAAAAAGATTGCTAAGAAGTAATTAAGTATCATGGCCAGAATCTTTGCATATGAAATAGTTTTATGAACATGGATATTCATGGAAAAAATAAACCAAAAATATATTATATGTAGATACGATTATTCTGTCAGTTACTGAGTGAAGAAGGGAATTAAAGAAATGTCCTACATCAAAGTTAATTTTATGATTCTACAAGTTTTACAGGATTTCATCCAAACACAAAAATACCAGATACAAGCAAACCTTTGTGAGGAATTTTACATTGAGCACAGAGTCATTGCACCCATAATGGCTTTACCCTCAAAATAGCGTTCAGTGTGTACAGATTTTTGATATGCCTTTTATTTATACTTTATGTTCAAAAGTCTATCCAAAATAGAGACTTAATTTGCCATTTATTTACTCAATATTAAAATAATTATTTGATAATCCCCATTTCCTCAGGCATATTAGCAGCATGAATTGCCTGAAGGTAAGAGCACTGGACTCTGGTAGGGCATAAAGCTGATATCACATATTACATGTATGTACTGTTGTTATCATCTACCTATCAGGTTGAAAAAAAGCTGCCATTTTTGTTAACCAGAAATGATTTGGTTTTATTGTTCCTTTGATCCATCTAAATGCTCTAATTGATGATTTGCGATCACCGAATGGATTCTATATTGTAGTGACGTCACAATTAGGCCACCCAGCTCTTATTTTTCATGAAAACGTTCGATTTGACTAGATCAACATCCATTCTAACCACATACCAAGTCTAAGATCTTACTGACATGATTTAGATAGCGGTTCAGCGCCCCGCGATTTTGACAAATATGGGGGGCGCTTATAGGCATCGATGTTTAGTTTGAATTTCACCCAAACTTCGCACATATATAGAAATAATCATGATCTAGTCAAATCGGCATATCTGGTAAATATCTGAGCAATGGTTTTCATAAAAGAAACGACAATATTTTTTGCTAAAAACTGCCAAGTGTCCGCCATTTCGTGATTCCATCATGTCTAATATCATTTCTATATGACGTCACACCAATAAGACTAAATACATGACAACAGTATCCATAAACAAAATTCCTGAATTCTGATCGCAAAAGGTCAATTAGAACAAGACAATGATAAGCAGTAACTGTTGTCATTTTAGTTATCAATTTAGTTATCAGAAATTGTATTTTTTAAAAATGAAAAGGGGTGGCAAGCCATACTTGCCATTCATTGGCAACCCTTTTCTTCTCAACAGAGGTTCTGAGTATTGTCTCTATGGCATCAGCATATAAAATTTGAACCAAATCTGAATTAACAAAGAATAGAACTAGACAACAGCAACGCCAAAGCGTAGCAAATTTCATCGAACAGCCATTGCTGGCATTTTTACAAACAAAAGTGTCATTAGACAGTGTGCCATGCATATAGTATTCACATACCAGATATGAACAAAATTGCTCCACTACTTTTCGAGTTACAGCAAAACTCGCAAAATAGCGAGTAAAGGCCACCATTTTTCAAGATGGCTGCCATTTGCTTCTTTAATATCTACATTTCTAGCTTTATTAATGACCTATATAATTTTTTTACATTTTAAATATATTGCTATTACAGCTATTCATATTGTACCTACATAACTGTATAATCGGCACTAAAATGGCCGCCATTTTTAAATAAGCTGACATTTTGAAAATCGGCTTTAGAGCAGGACTTCTACCCTCATAGGGTATATGTGTACAAAATATGAACAAAGTCGGGCCAACGGTATTTGAGTTATTGCCCGGATGAACGGACTTATGTATGGACAGATGTACAAACAGCATGACAGATGGACGGAGGCATTCCCTATATCCCTCCGAACTTCATTCGATGGGATAATAAATCTCTTACAAATGGCCATGGTGGCCATCATGAATTGAGTGATCATATTGGAAATTCATTTTCGAGCAGAGGTCCCATGCCCGTATGGCATCAGTTTCTCAAAACAAGGCTCAAGTATCTACATGAACAGTTAACACAGACAATTAGTTTTCACCTGGTCACATGACAGACCAGAAGATATTTATTGGTCATAGTTATCAAATTAGATATAACTAGTGATATCCACTGCTCCCAAGTAATCTGGTGAATACTGCTAGATATCCTTGATCTTTATGTGATAAATAAGACAAACATTTCATATTATTTTTGGCGAATAGCTGTGGCACTTTCACAAGGTGATATTTGATCATATGTGTGTATACATACCTGCCAACCTACCGTATTTTTACGGGAATCTCCCGTAAATTTTTTGTTTTTCCGTAAAAAAATGACAAACTACCGTAAAAAAATACCATTTTTTCCCGTAAAAACGCCCTTAAAAAAATCTACCGTATTTTTCTCGTAATCTACCGTAAATTTTCTTTTTCAAAAACTCGTTTATTCCATGAGAACGGCCGTAAAATCTACCGTAAAGGATGAGTCTGGGAATGAGTCTGGGTATCGACTTAGGAAATATTGAAAATTGTAATGTCTGAAAAACCAACTCAATTACACATATTATTAATCTTCAATATCTTATCCTTCTTCTGAGATTACAAAAATATTAATTTGTATCACAATTGATGAAGAATATTGGCATCAAAGACAGTGCATATCACTTTGTCAGAATTGAAAAAAAATCAATGGCAAATATTAAATGAATTAATTATGCAAAAAATTTTAAAATTTTCTTCCAAAACATTGGTTACTTTCTTTGTATAGACATTGAATGGTATTTCTGGATAAGTGAATTGGTGTTTATCTGGGTAATCAAGGGATTATAGTCACTCAAAGTTACTGAGCATCCAGTTTTGAGACTTCAATTGTGTTGGTGAAGTTACACATATTCCAGTCAAATTCATGCTGAGCACAACATTCCGGTTTCAATTTTATAATCTCTATACATGACCCTGGTGATGAAGAGTCAGAATCAGTCAAAAAACCTAAACCGGAAAACTGTGCTCATTGTGAAAACTAAAAGTGAAGCAACTTTTTTTCTGATATTTCTCATATCAAATGGCAACCATCTTGTTTTTCCCCCTTCAAATTAAACTGGCGGGAAATTCAAAAATTTGAAAAAATTTTAATCCTTAAATATATTTTTCAAAAATATGATTTTCTCTTTAATTCTTCATGGGTCTTAAGTTATTTCTTCTTTGTATGTCATACATGTTGCCATTGGTGTTTTTTTCTATGATAATGACTATTTTTTTGTTTGTTAAGATACTTATTCTGACTCTCAGTAGGGGGTTAATTATGCATCAAAACTTGTGAAAAAGTAAATATACTTATCAAATATAACTAGGTCAGTAATAAAAACCATATTTCACATTCATTTGACTGAGGGACCAAAAGGGCATATACCCAGACACATCCTTTTGAAAATCTACCGTAAATTTTCGAAAATCTGACGTATTTCTGCTAAAATCAACAGTATTTTTTTCAAACTACCGTAAAATTTCCCGTTATTGTTATTGGGAAATGCTGAAAATTGAAATCTTCCTGTACTGTCCCTGTAATATTCCTTCAAAATCTTCCGCAAAACTACCGGTTTTTCAAAAAACTACCGCATTTTTTTCAAAATCTACCGTAAAACTACCGCATTTTTTCAGAATCTTTCGCAAAACTACTGGTTTTTCAAAAAACTACCGTAAAAACTACCGCATTTTTAAAAATCTACCGTAAAACTACCGCATTTTTTCTAAATCTTCCGCAAAACTACCGCTTTTTTCAAATTTCTACCGCAAAATTACACTTTTTTCAAAAATCTACCCCAAACCTCTGAAACTACAGTATTTTTTTAAAATCTACCGCAAAAACTACCGTATTTTTTAAATCTACCGCAAAAACTACCGGTTTTTTTAAATCTACCGCAAAAACTACCGTTCTTTTCTAAAATCTACCGCAAAAACTACCGCAATTTTGTTGAAAAATACCGCAAAAACTACCGTATTTTGAAAAAATCTACCGCAAAAATACAGCAATTTTAAAAAAATCTACCGCAAAATTTTGGTCTTAGGTTGGCAGGTATGGTATATAATAAACAGCAAATACAACGCGAGATGACAAAAACTAACACAGCTTATTAATTTAAATATACACATATAGCATCTTGTATTTATTTTCAATATATACAAATAAATTTACAAATATCTACAAATATAATTCCACAGGGATATAAATAAAGAGAATGAATAAAACTTGATCATCATTCAGCTTCTGTTACTTATCATATCAAGCTAAAAGTGAGAAATATCACGAAAGAAAGAGTCTGAGTATGTTGTCTTTTAGGCTTGGCCAATGTATTAATGTACTTCAAATTACCTATTTTGGTTAGGTTCAAGGCTATTTTTTGTTGTTATTGCTGTATCAACCGTTAGAGGTGTCACGGATACCTGATTTTGTTCTGATCCGCAGAATTATGCCCTCAGAACGGAACATGGAACAAAAATTAAGAATTTCGGTTCCGGAACAAGAACATTTTACCCTTTCACAACTTCTGGCCCTTGAATCTCCACAAAACAGCATTTTCTTTCAATATTTTGTATCAAAAGAGGTTCATTCTTTTTACTCCTTCTCTTTGAAGAGTTTAGAAGAGCTTTTCGCAACCAAATAGACCTAGATGATCAGATTATTTTAATCTAATACACACAGTCACTCTGTTCCGAACCGTTCCGAAGCAAAATGTTACAAACCGTTTCGATTTTATTTGTTCCGTGACATCTCTATCAGCCATGCATTTGTGTAGCATCTGAGGGTTCATTGAAATATAAGGAAAGAAATATTGTTTCTTTGATGGACATTAATATATTAACAAAAGCCATACCATGGACGGAGGTGTTTTTTTAATGAATTGGGACTATTATTCTTCATGCCTTAAAGTAATCATAAGAAAAACTACTTCTATGATGTACTATATAATGATAACTTATAGGCAGGTATCATTGTCCATTCAATGTATTCATTGAGTGTACATGCATGTCCAAGTCGCACTACAATGACAGCAAGTCTTGTGCCAAAGTGAGTCACATTTGGACTGTAGTTGATAACCAGAGTGAAGTAAAGCACTAAGACTACTGAGTTGATGATTGCCAATTATCAGATCAATATTCAGGAAAATGTATCTGCGCCACCCCCTCCAAATCCCCCACCACCAAATTGTGCAGTATCCACATCGCTTTCCTGAAAGAACAAAAGTTACATTACATTATTTAAAACCACGCAGGCATGGATGGGAAATTTGACAAAAATAATTTTGGCCTGTCTAATTCCTTAAACTGGGGCCAAATATATTGTGTCAATTTCCCCACTTTCTTAAAATGTATACTGGTTGAAACAAATCCAGTCAAAAATCCCCACTCCTGGACACATGCAAATCAAATTCCTCACTCCCAGGATAAAAGTCTCCTACCCCTGGCCTGGGGGCAATATTGCGAATCAAATTCCTTACCCTCCCCGCCTTGGGGGTCTCACACAAACTTTTGAATGGTGCATAACTTACAAACAAGTCAAGAAGGCCAAGCTAGTTTGAATTTTTATATCAATTATAATTTATCTATGACTTGCATCACAAATACTTTTAGGGAACTTACCTGATTCAATTTTTTAAACTCTACAACTTGATGAAGCACATACTCCAATATATGTTTTGCGTCTCTAGAGTTAGCAGGTAATTTGTTTGAAACTCCAAATACTTCTCCACATTCTCTCACATAATATTCCATATCATCGTCAGTACATTTGTTTGTGATTTGTGCCATACGCACTTTTTCAGAGGAAAATTGTTCATCAAGATCAAAAAGATCTAACGCTGGAGGGGGAAGTTCCCGAAAAGTTGGAGGAAATACAGCAGGCTGTAACGGGGGTAGTGGTGTCTCAAACTGAGGTGTTATCAATGTCAAGGGTTCATGCTTCACATTTAGCTGTTCAAAGGCCCTGGAATGACAAAATGAGGTTAAAAAGTTTTGTAAAAGTCTTCTGAAAAACAACAACATATTTACCTTCAAAATGAACATGCCAAAGAGAATTAAATCCAAGCTAATAAAACTTGTTTTTAGAAAATACTCAACATTTTGAATGTGAAAGACAAGATTATAATTGTGAGCTACTTTTAAACACATTTCATTTGAATATAATAAAGAAATACTATCTAATTACTCGCTTTAAAACATTTTACAATGTTTAAGACACATCTTAAAAAGCATATGTGTGATCTATTGCTTTTGTTTTTTTACCTTTCATTTATTTTGCAATGACAAAAATTTGAGGCATTTTCATAAAGCAATATTAATTTGTAACATGATATTAGTCTACTATGAAAATGAAGAAACATGAACATTTTTTCAAGAAACCTAAAGCAATTTGTCCAATGTTTCACATTCCAACAGTTTTTTTGATTTACGCATATATAAATCTATAATTTGCAATATAATATTTCATTACATTTTTGACCCACCCTGGAATACCTTCTAATATTTGCATACAACTATAGTATATTAATATAATGGTATACTATCATCCTATATCCCTGGGATGAATCTGGAGGGATGTAAATATTTGTTATTTATAATCTCATACCTGATAGCCCTTGGGACCATGCTTGTATCTAACTTGAATAAAGAACTCTCAAACAATGTAGTGATGTCACGGGGAACTTCGTCACTCTCTTGTAGACATGTCTTCACCTGCTCCGATAACTTTGCAGTATTTGGGAGCATGTTGTAGTCAAATATCTAGGAAATACAAAAAATCTTTCTCATAAATCAATCTGTACAGTAAGTAACCTAACAGCCAAAAGTAATTTTTTACAATTTTGTTTTCTAAATTTTGTTTCGTACTGTTTAATTTCTTTAGAAGACTGTATGACAAATGCATACTAGCGTCATCAGATACATTAAAGCACTGTACATCATTCACAGAATATTCCGATGATATTTTACCCTAATTCTGACTACTGTCACTCAATTAATAGATTGCAAATACTATACAGTAACTATTGCATCTGAAATGCTAATTGAATTGAATAACAAAAATAGCAAAAATATTGAAATGACAAAACGTATTATTAAGTGATCCCAAATGATTTCTGGAATAGCGTTTTCTACCTCTGGGTCCTCTGCATCTATCTGATTGAGTTGGATGTCATCTGTTGTGAGAAAGTTAAACAGCACATCCATTATCTTAGAGTTCTCCTCTCTATCAATGTACTGATCACAAAGCATATGTGCTGAGCCAAGCACAGCAATCTTGCCACCTTGATTTGACTGAAATGTAATGTTAATTTATAACAGGAAAAACATAAACATGTACATGTATGATAAAAATTGAATCTGCTATAATGGGAGTGACAAATGAAAGGAATCTTAACTATTTATTTACCGAGCAGTATTTATACCAACTATCTAAACTAAAACATATCCATTCCATCTCATCAGATGGGGAGATATTGAAGAAGTTTACAGATTTATTGTTTCAAATATTCATTTAAACCTGTATTTTAACACAACATACTGAATAATAACCCTGTAAGTGTTTATAGTTTCTATTTTTATGAATTCCTCTTTCAAATGATTGATAAGGATTTGATTTCAAAATTTCTATTGGAATTTTTCATCGGAAATATTTTCTGAGTAGTATCATCCTCAAGAAATATCAAGAAGGCCAACCTTAGATTTATATATGCCACAGATTGGTCTGTTCACTGGAAATGAGACAGTTCCGGTAGAGAGTATTGCAGTGGCTGGCTTGATCACATTTAGAGTGGCTCCATAGGGGTACAGAAATGTCAATGCCCTGTAATCAAAATTTTCATTTACATGTACAGTTGAACAGTGTATCAGGTTGAAAAGTATACAGTCAATTTAACTGAATATCTGACTCAGTTTATACAGTTGAAAAAATGTTATCATGGTGAAAATTATTCAATTCATTGGGTTTAAAATGCATCAGGATAAAACAATTTAATAGGCTGAAAAATTATATATGGCTGTAATTATACACCTGAATATAACAAGTTCATTGTACCTGAACAAATGCCATAGTTAGGCTTCATCAAAAAAACTCATATACAGTAAAGCCTGTCTATCTGAACACCTCCCTATTCCAAAGGCTGGTCCAAATCCTCCCATTGACATTCAAAGAAACATAAAATATGAACAATCCTAACATTTGGCAAGTCCCTGAGGAGTTTGGAGGTTTTACTGTAGATTAATAAGCTCTTGATCAGTATCTTTACTATTTATATTTATATTTATTCCAAGGGACCAATATCATTAAGATTCCTACAGATATCACTTACTGTGCATTATTTTCATCTTCATCACCAACCATAAGCACTTTGCCAGCAGCTTTGCTTATAGCCCTGTTAAACAAGAAGATACTTTAGTATACAGAGTATGTATAACATTACATTAGACTAAAGAGAGAATCAGATCTAGCAAGCAAGCTTAACAGAAATTGTTTCAAATTTACAACATTTTTGGCTCTGAGTTTTGAATCTTAATAACTTCATCAATTTATAACATATCTTGGATCTTTTTGGAGATATTGTATTTTATTTGAGATTGTAAGAAATAGATTGGTAGTTCAATCATACATGTTGCTTGCAATTTTGAATATTTGCTGAAAAAGAGTTTAGCTTACAATTGAAGCTTGTAATAAATGACATTCTACACAAAGAAGACTTTTATAAAATATTCATATTTATTCACCTGTTTAAAACTCCATTAGAAACTAGTGCTTCTTTCGGATGGTAGTATTTGTAAAATGATGTTCTAACAACAGCATCTAAAAAGGAATAAGAGATTAAATCATTTAAAGTGCAAATATATATATGAGATAGCAAGAGTGAATGGGATCAGAAATGTCTCACCTTACATCGAAAAATTATATTGCGCCCATTTTCAATATGTACTTGGGTCACATTTACAGTAATATTGTTTTATGAATAACTTTTCACAATTATAATCAATAATACTCACCATTATTAACCATGATGCCATAATCTTCTAATAGGAAGTTAATATTTGTATCGAATCTGCTCTCACCCCCCTCCCCCAACATCACCAAGATGCTTCCACCTTGCTCCACATATTTCTTCATTGCATCAAACTCTGATGAAGTGAATTTCTCTCTTGATCCTGTCAAGACAAACACCCGACCATCACATAGCTTCTCCTCTGTTATTTCTTCTTTATTGCTGAAAATAAATGAACATTTTATTATACCTTTATGGGTTTTTAAAGGCAGGGTTTTTCACTTAATTAAGTGGAATTTATTTTCTGAAAGGATATACTATAGGATAATACCAATAACAATCAAAATACTTATACCATTTTTATCGATTTATCTTCTAGCACATTCAAGATTCATGGTATATGTTGCCATTATATTGTCTCATTTCTGTTTCCTACATAAAGTTACTTACACCAGGATTTTCCATTGTGTTTTCAGTTTTCTGTTCAATGTTTTCATTCCATTGTTGATTGTAAAAAGTTCCCTCTTTGACGCATTAAAGATCAGTGTATTTTTGAACTTCCGCTCTTCCATGTTTCCCTGAAAGATATTTTTTATATAGTTAAAAATGGCATTACTTCCTTCACCTGTTCATATCACTACATTATCAAGCACAAGAGATATGATGACAGGAGCATTTTAATCATCAATATTTATTTGTTTCAAAATGGGCTTTCCAGTATACGTAATAACTTTGTTTTCATGTTGCCAACTTTGGGAAGCCCCTTTTAAAGGATCCCACCAATTTTTATGTGTAAGAATAGTTTGGTTTGTCAATCAACGATCCTCTCCCAAAACTTGAGCCCTGTTTTTGAAATTTGAAAGAATTTCAAGAGAGCCCATGGTAGCAGTCTTTCAGTTTCAAGGGATGATCATTGGATTTCAGTTAACATGCCTACTACTGAGCAGTTTGAGCTGTCTATGTTATTCATCTCTGTACATTGCTCTAGGCCATTTCCAATTAGCCTTTGGCTTATGCATGTGGATCCCTTCAGAGGCTAGACAGCTTGATTTTTCACCTAGGGCAAAGGGGTTTAACGTTGAAGTGTGGGGTAATGTTGACATGAGAAATGGGGTAACATTGACACTTATAGTTAGAATTTCTGTTTTCCGCCATGTTTGAATTATGGAAAAATAAAATCTCGCAAGATCTCAAACCATGCAAGAAAAAATGGCTTCCCCTAGATCGGAAATTAGAGCAAATAAACAACAAGGTGTCGAAGTTACCCTATGTTGAAGTTACTCCAAAATGGTGCAGATCCTTCGCCCTAACCAACAAAACGACTGTTGTCGAAACCAGAATAGTGAACACTTCAATTGTTATAGGCCTAGTAAAATATCTTCTACATCTATCTATCTAGTTTATAAGTTTTTTCCTTATTTGAAGTTTCAAAAATCAAAATAAATCAAATGAAAAAAAATCAAGATCAGAAAAAATGATTCAACAAAAACCTCCAAAACTTGAGTAAATGTAACTAATATCATAAGAAAAAGGTACATCTCATTCTTAATTCCTATCTCGTTAGGTCAGATATGTAAATTATCCAGTAAATGAGCGATCTTTTCTGAAATACAAAGAAAATTGTTTAAAATTTGACAGAATTTACCTCAGCAACAGGCGCCATATTAAATATTTGCTTCGCGGAATCAAAATGACAAGTGTAAAATACGGATACCAGAACGGAAAAAATGAAGTAAAAATAACGAAAAATAAAGTGTTGATGGCGTGTACGGATTCTTTCTGAACCAAAAATGTAATTTAAATAGGTGAAATTGAACAAAAAATCTTTTTTGTTATTTGAATTGTCACATGTGTACATTTTGGGGGAGCTTTATAGCAGATATAAGGCTGTTACTAAGCATGTGTTTACATGTTGTTAAAGAAATTGCCCCGCCCACATTTTACATGTTATATTCATACGCGCTGTAAAAGTAATTCTCTTTAATTGAATGTTCATTGAAAGATCTTGGTCAAAAACATATTGCTTTTATCATTTCAAACAGTGCTAAGTCTATTGATTTTGTGATTTTAAAAATCTAATTGGATTAGTGTAGCTTCATTGAAGTACTTTATTCTATTGCGGATGTGTATTTACGTGGTGTGACAATCACATTGTCAATGTAAACATTGAACTCAGACATTCATTAAACATCACATCACAGCCAGCCTAATTCTAGAGCTCAAGATAATATCAAAATGGCAACTGACTTCACCAGTGTTCCAGACTTTGTGGAGAGAAAGGGATCTCTCTATTTGAGGTCCGACCACATGAATTATAGCAGGGCAACTCTAAACTCAAACTGGTAAGTGATTGGTGTTTTGGATAATGATCAGTGTTTTTCTGATTTTGAGAATTCATTGACTAACATTACTACTGGCTTGTAGATTATATGAAATCAGATGCTTTATTTAATTTTGATTTTAAAATCAATGGTGTCAGAACTGACTCATCCTCCGATCACAGGGCTTCAAAATCCAGAACAAATTCTTTCTTTTTACCCCCTGCGATAAGCAGTTACCATTTCCCCGATTAAGAACTCGCAATCTGATTGGCTGTCGCAACACTGCGACAAAAATCATGTATAAGTCATTGCGCATAATTAGATCACGTGATTCAGTTAAATCGGGCGCGTCCAAATTGGTTATAGCAGGGGGAAGAATGAGGTACGGATTCTGGATACCTGCTTAGGAGGATGGAACTGACTGTAGGAACTTAGGCTTATATCTCATTCTAGCATACAACTCACTGGTAGGCACTAATTAGTGAATAGACTGTATATTTTAAACTTCAAGATGCCCCTAGTCCTACTATCATCATGGCCATTGGGAAAGGCTAGTATATTTGCATGTTAGAAACAGTTGACTTAGACAACACGTCACATTTGTCTGTGGATGTATGATATACACTTCATTATTATATTCCAGGCACCAGGCTCGTGAATCAGAACCAAAAGATTATGACATCAGCAAAGCCCCTGAGAGGGATCTATGCAAAGCTACATATGGCAGGATAGGAAATGTTACAAAAGGGGTATGTGACACTTCTAAATCATTAATATTAAGCTATTAAGTTGTATTGGGTGTGATTGAATTGATAGGGCTCAATACAGTCTTAATTATTTATCAAATGGATTATATCATTCCCACTTCTCCATTATGATTTGTCCTTTTAGCAATATCTCAGGTACCTTAATCTGAATAAATATTATATTCATTATTTCAGGAACTGCCCCAGACTACATACCAGGACCATTCAGGCCAGATATTCTTGAAGAAAGACTTTCAGGAACAAGAGACAAGACATCCAATGATCAATCCAAGCACATTTGCACATTCTGATCTTGATAGGTAGGTTTAATGTACTTCATGGGGGAGGGGGATCTATTAAAATAAGGTTTAAGGTACAAGAGCCTCAAAACAGGGTGAAGTGTAAAACCCTCAAAAATAAGGTATTTGATTTACAGTTACTAATTTTGTAAGAGTTGACATAAACTCGTACCCTCAAAAATGATGTGAGGAATCTTGATAGACCTCCGCCTTTCTTTTGAACATTGAACAATGAACATTGTGTAATTGATCAGAGAACCAGAATCAAACTTACCATGCAGATTATAATATGAAACGGAATGTTACAATGAAAATGCTGTTCAATGTAATTCAATAGTTTACATTTGTTTTTCAGTGAAAAAATATTGAGGTAAATTTCAATACTGTACACAGTTGTAGAGTGGATTAAACATGATTGCATTAGTTGAATTTGTTACAGTTATTGTTTTTTGTTGTTTTGGAATAATTATCTTCACTTTCCTAACATTGTATTCCATTTGATCTCATTCCAAAAATGTTTGTTTGTATTCTAACTAACCCAGTGTTTGTCACATTGACTTTTTGTTTGGTGAACTTTAAATTAAATTATTGGACTGTCCAAGGAGGATAAGCACCATTTTTTAAATACATATCACTATAAAACACTTTCACCTGTTACTAAAAGATGTACTTTGTAAGTGCATTTGTTAACCATATTTAAAAGAACTAAAATTATCCAATGGAACTTCTCAAAATAATTTACTTAATAAAATATTCGCAACAATTAAATACAATTCATTTCATTTCACAAGATTGAAAACTATATCAATCTACAATATTGATATAAGCACTATTAGACTTTTAAAATTTCAACCTGGTGGTGACATTTTGCCATGCTGATGTCTTGTTTCATTGTTTGCATTGCTTAGCTTTTTCCCCATCCCCCCATCTACTGATCTGAACCATGGCAAATATCATACATAATCTTGATTATTATATTTTTTCTAATTCAGAGAGACTGGGGCCCCTGACACAGGATTCGGTTCAATACTTCCCCGCCATCACGCAGAGCACAACAAACGCCATCTTCAGACCACAAACAAAGCTGACTTTAAACCTCCATTCCCATATACACCAGCAGAAGAGAAACCACTAGATTTCCCAGATAATTCAGTTGCATATAGGAAATGTCACTCGCAGTTCACAGACACTAGCGATTACAGGAGGCCTGGTAGAAACACTTGGCAGGATGAAAGTGGACTCTATTCAAACTCACATTATAAAGAACAAGTATTTAAACCAACCAATACCATACCAGAGAGACTAGAATAGGAACCTATACTGATCCATATTTACAAAAATACAGAGAAGTCCTACCAAGGCATTTTCTCATAATTTTCGCACTAAATTCTACAATCAATTTTTATATAAAAAAAATCTATTGGCAAAAAGTTTGTTTAACTAAGGTGGGTAGTGTAGTAGTTAGTAAATGGATTGTTAATAGAATTTGGTGTGATACTTATGAAACAATCCCTAAATGAAATATTGTGATAGATAAGTGATCTAAATACAAATGCAATCATTGTTCAAAAACATTCCAAAGAAGTGTTATTTGTTATTGATATCAACAAAGACTGTTATTTTTTATTGATATCAAGGTGCTTAATGAGGATTTCAGATCTGGTACCATGTGTCATGTTATTTTCTACCCTTTTCAAGAGATTGATTATGTTAATGTATGACGCTCTGACCATCCTTGATGTACTCCTCAAATTAATTTTTGAAAACCACAATCAAACCTACATCATATTTTTCGCTTCAAATCAGTTAATAGTGAGACCGTACACCTAAAGTGTACGACGGTATATCTTGTCACTGTACGTTGTCGATGGTTAGGCGTGATAATGCCAGTTTGTCTTTGAGCAATTGCGTTCCAGTTACATTGAAAGGTGTACATGAACGTTCTTTCTCTCCATACTTCTGTCACACTAATTGGTGAAGTAATCACAGTCCGATTAGGATTAATTTTATCTGTTAAAGGCATTTCCGTTCTTGGAAGTGAAGTGAAATCTCAGTGAAGATTCAAACATTGGCATGCTTTGATATACAGTGTCTCGTAAAAGCACAAAACCAGTGATAACAGCATTGATTTCATTCAATGCACCTTTAAGCCAAGTGTCTCCTCTTTACAATGATATATCATTCATTGATATTTGGTCATGGTTGGGCGAGAAATCATTCCATTTGTAAAGTGGGCCAAAATAAGCTTGTGACCAAGTTATAAACATCGCAAAAGTAAGTGTACGGAGCCTGATGCAATATTCGGAAGAAAACATAAAACCAATGCTAACTCCATCGTTTTCATTCAATGTACCAAAAAGCCAAATTACTCCTCTTTGCAATGGAATATCATTCATTCACAGGGAGCCATGGCTGGCCGAATAATCATTAATTTTGCAAAGTGGGGCAAAATTCAGCTCGGATCCAAGTTTTAAACATTGCAAGAGTCAGTACATGGGGCATAGGGGCTAATGGAAGGTGTGACAGGTGTGGCATAGACAGTAAAGTGTTCATACTCATCCATCACTTCCTTGCACATAAAGATGTGCTCATTTGTCACCGTCATGCATGGTTCAGCCCCGAGTCATCTGTGGGTTAAATCAGAGAAAAGCAGACCATGGGCAATTCTTTCTCGAGGTTTTGCAATATCTGGTGGAGGAATTGTGAGCACAGATGCTCCTGAGATAGCTCCAAAAGAAAAAGTCACAACAATTCAAGTCAGGGGAACTTCCATTGGCACTTATCCCTTGCACTGATTTTTGCAATATCTCAAACTTGGCCCAGAGCCGATTTTGACCCACTGTGCAAATGGAAGGATTTCTCACCCAACTATTACCACGTGTGAATGAATGACATACCATTGCAAAGAGGAGAGACGTGGCTTTATGGTACATTGAATGAAATTGATGTAGTCATCACTAGTTTTGTGATTTTACGAGGTAACTACTTGTTGCGTTTTTTATACGCCCTGTAAACTATTTAATAAAAACTCTTCCGGTTTCCAAACTTATGGAGGGGAGTGTAATGTAATTCCATTAATCTCCGATCCCATCTGAACAATTGCAACGAACATCAAAGCAAAATACAATTTATCAAGTACATTTAATAACATAAAAAATCACAGACGGTGCATTGTTTTGTGTCTTGATTTCACAGATAATCAATACATCGCATTGTGGGATCCACATCAAGTATTATCCTATGGAAATCAAAAAGAATACATGGTACACATTCTTGATCTGTTAATCATATATGAAATTATATCTCTACATATTTGGCTGGATGCCTGAATAGTACTTGCAGATTCAATTTAGAAATTAAATCGTTGAGTACCTTGCACTGCTAATGAATAATTCTGAATGATGACACCGAAACAATCATGGTTATAAAAATGTTACACAAGGAGAAGAACAATACTCCAAAGTAAATACTCCGCCGTAGAGCTTGAAAGGTTTCAAGTTTTGGTTATTCAAAAATGGACAAGAGAATATTTTTGATGTTTTAAAAATATATTGATGCCACAGAAATATTATATACGTAGCCTAAAAACCTGTCAACTGGAACACCTGTAGAACACGTTCAATACCCCGATGACCCATTGACCCATTTATGTAAATTGAACCTTTATAAGTGGAACATCTAAGTGGAACACTTTTCTATGTACGACATACTCTCGTACCATATTCTAGTTTCTGGAAACAATTGACCACTAAAACCTCAGTCACATTTGCTACGGCGATCCTACGGTCTATCATTTCTACGGCCAAGAGTTATTCTACGGCTGCCGTTGAAATTATACGGTCAGATTTCTTAGCAGTCACATTTGCTACGGTAGCCGTACGTCGTAATTTGATTTTATGGGGACATAAAGACTTCAATTGCCGTACGGCCTTTTAAATTATGACGCACGGTCACCGTAGGGGCGTAGTTCTCTTGATAAATGCAAAGGTAGACGCAAGGTGGCCGCAGGGGCCCCTACGGCGATCCTATAATTGCCTCAATTACGGTTCACAAAGGTCCGTAAAGCCCTAAGTTAACCGCAAGTCGACCGTGCGCCTGACGTACGGCCACCAGGGAACCCCTTGTACGGTTTGGCTACGGCTTGTCAATTTCTCCGGTGACCGTGGGCATGAGAAAAGTTATAACTGCTAGTCATAATTTCCGTAGCACGGAATAGATTTTCTCCGGTTGCTGCATAAATTCTCTGATTTCAGGGAACTACGGTAGATGTACGGTCGCCGAAGAACAAATGTGACTTAGGTTTAAAGATCCCCCAATCACAGTGCCAACAGAATCAAAGAGAATAGCAATTTGTCAATGGTTCCGTCCGTCTATTGTTCCGTCTGTCTCTGATAATTAACAATGTTCATACGGTTGTTGATATATTTTAATAAATCATGTTGATGGTTTCTCCTTGTCGGATTACCTAATGGGTCCAGAGTGACATTCGAACAATACAAATCTTAAAATAGATCACTTTATTCTAAAATATTGTGTAGGCATTAGCTGTATCCATGGCATACCATTATGAAACATAATTTTTTTTAAAATCATCATTGTTTCACGATCGGTTTTGAAAATACATTTTGTCAAAATCGTGTACAAAACCCGATAGAGTCATGGGGGTGAGTTTTTAAAGCTGACTTTGTTTAGTGTCGATAAATTATTCTGCACTAATGAACTATATTATGATGGGCATCTCAACCCAATTTGTATGTCACATTGGAGCAGATTCAAGGTAGATTTGAATATATAACTGGGATGTTCCAATAGAAGTTCATCTGGTACTACGTGATGGGCCCCTTGTGTTGCAGAGTTGGCAGCCATAACAAAAAATCGTTGATGAAACAATACGTGTAAAATGATTTGCTTAAATTAAACAATAAATGTATTCGATCCAAAATTCACTGCATTATTGAATGAATTACTCCTTTGTAACGATTGAGCTTGAGCTCTCTCACTAGTATTAACATTAACGTTATCAGATGTATCATTAATGGTCGTACCGTTACTACAGTTATTTGTGCTTGTATCTAGATCACTGAGAGTAGAATTGGTACCATTACTGACCAAACCACTAAAAATCTCCTTCTTGAAATCCTCGGTTGCATACGAGAGGTCGTATGTTCCCAATGACGAATCCAGCGAAGGGAGTCTAGTGAAAGCATTTCTGGATTTTGAATCCGCGCCAACATTCGAAGAATCTGGGGCAGATTGACTCGATCGTGAGCTCGTGGAGTCTACTAGTAAGGAGACTTCTTCCTCGATACGTGGTATGTTATTGGTGTTTACTTCACTGTTTTGCCTATGGAGTACTTTCTTCACGGCTTGTTTGGCTATTTGTCTTTTCAACTGATCCTGTACGCTGTTTATATGGACCCACTGTCTTATATCTTTCTCTGCAGTGTGCTCTTCCTTTCGTTTCGTAATAAGTGATCCTATAATGAAAGCCATTGATAGACCATACACCAATATAACAACGATGATATATGTGGCTGCAGATGTAGGACCATAGTCTGTTAACAGTGTCGAGTTTGGACTTGTGACATTTGAGGCTTCAAACGTCTGAACGTTTGCCTTATGAGATTCAAGAATCCTCCATAATGGAGATTTTGGTCCAATTAAGTGTTTCAAATCATCAATATCTTCAATCCTATAATAACGATGATTTTGATAACCAACTGTGTTGTTGATAGATTCCATCGTGTCCCTCTGTAAGTACGGTTTGGTTTTTGACGAATCGAAGAGATGTGGTATTCCTGTCACATAAAAAACAACAGTACTGTCAGACTCGTTATTTGTTTATGTGTATCTTCTAATTGTTATTTACTGCTCCTATTGTCTCAGATCTATACCGAAGTGACACGTATAGCCGCAAGTTATGGATATGTCCAAGGACCTTTACTTCAGACATCCGAGCTATATCGTCGTTAAATATCAGTCTGCAGTGACATGTCTGACGCGCTTCCTGTACAAATACAAATTTTAGAATTATACAACAGAAATTCTTGATTGAACTCTCACAACAATTCATATTTAGCATAAATGTTTAAAGACATAATATTGATTTTGAAAGACGAAATTTTCGTCCTAACAAAAGTGTCAACAACAGTCACCATAGCAATGCAACGCGAATTTAAGTACAAATGTGGTTCCATCTGAAGCAACTCGTCGCATATACATGTTAGAATTTTGAAGTAGAGTTAAGCGAAGCCCCACTGAACCAAATATTGAGATTAGAAATTGTATTGAAAAAAAACACGAACAAGTACAAGTTTCATAAATTGTTACAACCTTTGAAAGAGTACTATTTACAAATTGAATTATTTTCAAACCTCTTCAAACAAATTGTTCAAACAATCACATCTAAAATCCAAACAATCTTATTTGCATGAACAAGATCAACAACACTCTGAAACATCAGGAAGTCATGATACAAACACTATTCGTAATATTCTAAAATTCTACGTTTACCTTTGGAAATATACTAAAATTCTAGGTTTACCTGCCCTCAACTCACCTGCTAATTGGTTCCATGGCTCAGAAACACAAAACTAAACTGTTTTCCACAACTAGTATGATATATTTTCTAAAAATAGGTTAACGTTTTCATCGTGCCATTTCCAGAAATATTTTAAACAGCTGACGTTGATGAGCCTCTTCTCTACCCAATATATACTGAACCTGTCAAACCAATTATATCAATGTGGTAAACGTTATGAAGGTAAAATGTATCAAAACCTAAGCATGATTTTCAATTACCGTCCATTTAAATAAGATACAAGACATTATATTTTAATATTTCCAAATCTGTCATCATTGATATTCATCTGGATATTGTGAATACATCCTTTCTTGGTAGAAAATGTTTTCCTCAACAAGCCTGTATCTGTTGAATTCAATTCCCCATATGTCAGGCAGATGTCGCTATGATATACTGCCAATTCCCAGTCTACTACCCCGCGCGCAGAGTCCAGTTATAAACTGAAGACGAAGCTCTTTTTAAGAAGTGAAGTCGAACGAATGCAAAGGGTACAGTCTACAGATAGGGATAAGGAATTACCATCACAGTAAGGAAATAGTCGGAGATTGTTCCCGGAATGGGATGCGAATGCGATGGGTGTGATCGTACCCCCCCCCCCCCCCCACCAAGAAAAAAAGCAATTTGTTGAAAAACACATATGATAGTTTGAAATGCTTAAAATGCACCGTATACACAATGTACAATGTAAATTTAAAAAATCCCCGTACCCCCCCCCCTTTTGTCTCGCTTCGCTCGCAGTGATGCATATCCAACAGTCTCATACCCCTTGATATTTGCTGGCTATGCCCCTATTTTTCAAAATGTTATTCTAATTACAATATTTCAATTAATATATGATTTCTCTTAATTAGAAAAGACACAAATAGAAAATCCCCGATTGGCAATTCAAATCAATGCAAAGTATACGGATACCATCACTTCACCTACTAGTCCATGGTATGACTTCCGAATATGAAGGATCCGTAGCACACTATAGCGCAGCAATATTTGAAGCAATACTTATGGAGGTGCATATGTCTTGATTCTTTTAAAATACCATTTGCTGAAAAAACTTCCGGCTTTCGGGTCGAAAAATGTCTTTCATCAGAAGGGGTCAAAAAACATAAATATTTCGATTCGAACTTTTATACATTTTATAAGACTCTGACCGTGATTCTAAGCATACGAACAAAAATAGATTATTGTAATGTAAAAATATACTTTAATTTTACTGTGGATGTCGGTGTTTAATTAGTGTAATTACGCAAGTGTGTTTTTCAGATTTTGTCTGATTTTTCAAATATGAGCCAAGCAGATTAAACAAAAATTGTGTGGAATATTTAGATAATTTATGATTTGGAATATATTAGTTTTCTTACCATTTAAAACATTTCATAATCAGATGTTTTCCATATAATCGCAAGGGGTCAAACAACAAATTATTGTTCATGTTTTATAGAACATAATACAATAACAAATAGGTAAGATTTATATCAAATTAAATGTTCCAGAGGTATTGAAATGTTCATATATTCCAAGGGCATGTCTAATAATCAATTATAGTCATATGCAATCGAACGCCTTACAATTCTTCCTCGACGTTCCTTGTGGATATCATCAAGTTTTCTGATGGTTGTTTCTTCTTTGACCTTACCGCTGGATATAAGCAGATTTTAGGAAGATAATGATAACCATTTTTCTCAATCATTCAGGAGTTCGACCAAGTCTTGGTGTTTTTTATAAGCAACTGAGCTATATCTAAATACGAGAAAAATAATTTCCAGCTATAGTCCCAATTAGTCAAGGAAGAGCAATATGCTCTCCTTTATTTTTTATGTTCACCGCTGAATAAGAGTCCATATCTCAAAACGTATTGAGACCTATTTTGTGAAAAACTTACATAATTTAAGCATTTGTAATTCTAATATAAAAGTGATTCATTTGTAGCATTAATCTTATTAATACCTGAGATACAATACAAAACGTCGATGCACTGATTACAAAATGTTTTGGTATTGATAAGAAAAATAACCTCAAACGTATAGCGTAGAAACCTTGATCATATATTTAAAATAGTTTTGTATTATTTTCTGTTGCATTGTGTTCTCCAAATTGTGAAAAATTGGGATTTTATTTTTTGGTAATTTTTTGACCTCTGTTAATGGCAGGCATAATTCACCCTAAAAGCCGGAAGTATATTAAACGGTTATAATAAAAATTATTAGGGAACATATGTAGGTATGTTAATGTTAGGTCAAATATCGCTGCACTATAGTGTGCTACCATCTCCTTTATTAAACGTCCTAGAGATTTCATACCATGGACTATACCGTAGATAGCATATAAAGAACAAAATGTCTCAATATAAAATCCTAAACCTAAAAGACACGTTTGCTGTGGTTTTATTAAATATGAAGTTGAATGTTTTATTCAGGTTAGATATGGTTCATCCCAAAACATGTCTTATTATTATCAATTTACATACAAAAGGTAAATGAAACTTACATTTTAAAGCAGTCAGTTAAAACCTGACTTCGTCAGTGAAATTGTTGATGTTCCGTTTACAACAAGATTATCAGTCACATTTCTAACAAATATACGTTCCTAATAGGGGCTCAAACTGATCCTATTCTCGTGTGTATATGTAACTCAGTTGGTCAATGCTTGTTAGAATTGGATTAATTTATTTACAGGTTAAGCAGGAATAACAGGTTTAGCAAAATCTAAATGAAAAATGTGACAGTAACAAGAAGAATGGCGTTTTGAGACCCCAATTTCGTATCAACGTCGGACAAAAATCAAAATTGAACAATGCAAATGACATTTCCACCTCCTCTAGCTAGTAGTTATATTTTAAAAGATGGCATGGGTTTACTAGCACAATGAATTGATACTTTTGATTTAAGACCAAGCATTTTAGGGTTTGATAAATCAAAACTGGACAATGATTTTATGGAAAAATAGACTTATCGAGGTTACATTATAGTCATACATTTCAAATTTTGAGTCGGCGAACTTAAACAACAACATTTTATTGAGTTGCAACTAGTTTCAAAGCGTTCGGGTAAAGTCTTTGGAGGGGAACGAACGGAACCTGGATGACTGATCTGCTTAAAGGCACTACAAAAGAAGACTACCGTTAAGTCTGACTAATGACTTCGGTCTCTATGACTATACAATTTTCACCCTAAGACGAATATCGAACCATTAAAGCTAGTAATAATGATTCTTTTCCACTCAGGACCCAGCGTAATTCAAGTGATGCGTGTAGGACAAGTTAAGGTGACTCGACAGTTTCTATTATATACAAAGGCGTAAACAGGATCTGAGTTCTCGGCATACGTTGGGGCAAGTTTTAATTTGTGAAGCAAAAACATAAGCGAGACAAAAAAGCTGAAGTGCATATAATAATTCCATTCGACTTTAATTACACTGAACCAGGTAGAAATAAACAATTTACTATTCGCTAATTTACTAATGAAACGAAACGGAACTAGTTTACCATTTATATTTTTCATGAACAATGCTACTCGTTGTTTTCTGCAAAGATAAATTCATAACCATATTAAATTCCATATTTACATTATTACCCCATAGCGAGACTAGATTAATTGAATTCTCAGTGAAGAACGTAGAACTAAAGAATACGTGGATACTTGATAGTCTGTAATAAATTGACGAGGCTGATCAATACAGACTCAAATATGTAATCAAATATGTTCTAAGTAAACCAAATATAAAATCACTGGAAGACACACGCACCGTCGTACAAGCTGATGTGTCCAACACTTACGTTAGGCTGCTGATGAAAATAACTCGGGTAGTGAAGCTATCCATGATACAAATACCCATCGTAGAATTTAAACGGAGAATAATAAATATGTGATTTAATGCGTTGCCACATACCTCGAAGGAACATCAACAACGTGAACGCTCTGATATAAAATTAAAGGATGTCGATTGTCGACAGTCGCTCGGATAGAACAAAAGTGTAGGTCAACACAGATTATGCAGATCGTTGACATTGACATCATAAGTAATAACCGATTTAAAAGTAACAATTAAGGAATGTTATTACAGCGGCAGCTGGCCTCACTTCTGTGACCAAATAGGAAAAAGCTGTTAATGGTCGGAGTATTTGTTTGATGATGGGCAGGCTTATTACACAAACGCTGAACTGATATCACGATATTGTGGAAATGAAAATGCAGACAACAATGAAATCGAATTGTTGTTTAGACATACCACCGTTGAACATTTCGGAAATCGGTTTTCAATTTACAGCAATTATAATATTGGATGTTCTCTGCATCGTCGGTAATATTCTACTGATTTTAACAATTTCTAAATCTCATCAACTGCACACAATTAGCAATGGCCTTATCCTTAATCTAGGGATTGCTGATCTGTTAGTAGCTGTTCTAGTGGTTCCATTCTGGGCCGTGACAACTTTGGCTCAAGTGGCGACTGTACCCAATGAGTTATGCGTAATGGTTGGATTCTTTACGGTTACGCTATTTCTGGAATCCATGACAACGCTAGGAGGAATTGCATTTGATAGGTATTGTAGTATATGCCGCCCATTGCGGTACCCTATCATTGTGACTAACACAAGAGCCATTGTGTTTGTCGTCTACTCTTGGGCCCAAAGTGCAATATTAGCAGCCGCTCCGTTTTTTGGATTTGGTGAATATAGATTCAAACCGTCAACGTTGTCCATCTGCACGATGGACTTTCTCCACGACACATACTACTCAGTTTTGTTATTTTGTGTGGCAGTTTTACCTTCATGTTTGACGATTATAATATGTTATTCGATTATTTTTAAAGTCGTGCGAGATCAAGTTCGAAAAGTGAAGGAATTAGACCACAGTAGATGTTCCGCTGATGTGGGACCGGGCTTATCGGGTCCAGGGGTAACATCCGGAGTAAGTAACGGTAGCAACCGAATGGATAATTTTTCAGAAACTACTGGATTGGATAGAAACAACCCAATCTGTATATTTGCTATGACCGTTGGTAAGATTCGACTAAAACCTACAAAAATTGAAAAAGGAATTAGACCAGATGAAAGCAGTAACAAGAAAAGCACCTACGATGCCATTGACTTCCGTTTCATCAATATTGATAATGATATAGGTACGATGCCTCGGATTCCTGTTGGGCAATCTGTCTTAGCTCGAGCGGCGGTTAGGTTCAAATCATCAATCAAACAATCGCGAGGTCTTAGAACTATTGGCTTAATCATAGGCTGTTTTTTAATATGTTGGACTCCTTATTGCATTCTTATAATTCGCTCAATAATTACAGGGACGGCTCCCGACTATGACGTTGAATTTATCATTACGTTTCTGGCTTTCGCTAATTGCTTTGCGAACCCTATCATTTGCTTGGTTGTTAATAGAGAATTCAAAAAAGCGATGAAGAAGATATTAATGCCAGAGAGGCCGAGGATGCTGCACCTGAGGGAGATAATGAACCTGTTCAACACGATAACAGCGGTAATTGCTCCACAGATACTTGAAGATGCAACCCCAGACCCCGCCTCGGACACGCAAAATTGAAATGAATTAAATGAACAAGCACATCGAAACAATAGGTGTTGTACAATGTAAAATAAAGACGCCAATATAATTCTTCTGAGAGAATCATAAATATTTCAAGTAAGGATTATCTCTGGATTGGTCATTAAGTTGGTTTTATATTTCCATAATTAAATACTCATTAAGCAAGAGTACCTCATTCGGTCTACCATGGGAAGCTACCATGAATTTATGAAATAAATATTGCATAAATTCACTGTGTAAATCGTTCACTTTTGGGAAATAATCCATATACCGGAGATTAAATGGAAATGATTTTTAAATGCATTCGCGGAACACAAAACTTGAAGAAACTTGAGTTATTTGGAATTAGACCAGATCGTTCAAAAAGTAGACTTTAAAGACCTGTTTCTCATATTGTAGCATATATTGATCAATAACAATGCCTTAAGGTCAGGGTGCATGATGGGAAATTTTCTGCATTCCTCAATTGAGTCACATGTTATTTTTCAAACAAGAATCACTCCTTCCCCACATTGTCTATATCTTCCAGTTTTGCACAAAGAGTGCACTTATGTGCCTAGAAAAGAATTGTGAGAAGAATGTTTTGATAAAGTGTATAAGAAATAAGAAAATTCCGTGAAAAAAATCAGAAAATTTTCAGAATTTTTTTTCACTGTATTTTCTCATTTTTTATACATTTTACAAAGCAAACCTTCTCACAAGGCTTTTCTAGGCACATAAGTGCACTCTTTGTGCAAACTTGAAAGATGTAGACAATGTGGGGAAGGAGTGATTCTTGTTTGAAAAATAACATGTGACTCAATTGAGGAATGCAGAAAATTTCCCATCATGCACCCTGTCCTTAAGTTTGAGCTGTCGACAACCGACATGCTTCAAATGATTTTTATGATGACTGGACGTGAATAATCCCCGGGTTATATAAAACATTTTGAACATCCTTTAAGGTAAAAAACATGTCAACTTCATCTTTTCAAACTATATTGGAATACATTTGAAAACAAACATTTTAAAACATTCAACTATTTTGGAATACATTTAAAAATGGAAACAAACAATTGAAAACAAAACCATTTTATCTTTTTTGATGATGACAAGTTGAGGCAATGGTATATTATTTGTATACCCTTACACAATACCCATCTTCGTACTACAAAAACCATCTCTGTTCGGACAACTTATAAATCATATTCCCCTTCAGTACTACTCGTCTCGACCCTTTGACAACACTAGTCTCGAGCAGTGTATTCACTGTGGTATTATCAACCTGGAATTGTCAATACCTGTTTTGATACTATATTTTGAGAAGTTCGTTAAAACTCAACAAAATACAATTGTAGACATCTCTTGAGGTCAACTGGCAAAATTGTATACCGATACTGTAAACCTTGAAAGTACTGTTGACAGTCTCGGTCAACTGTACTCTCAAGGTTTACTGTCGAGGTATACACTTTTGCCAGTTGACGGAATAGAGAGGTTAACAATTGTTTTGTTAGTCCGAACATGGGGTTTCAAATAATTGTCCGAAGAATATAATAATTGGAAGGATACATGTATATTATCGAATATCACGTGAACATATTTGATAAGTGTAGGTATCATATTTTAGCCAAAAATCCCCAAACCGTCGAATATTTGTAATTTTTTCACAACTTATTTTTTTCAATTTTTTTCTAAATTAAAAAAATGTCAACATTTGAAAAACCCTTTTTTCAAAAGTAGCGGTCAACTGTACATAGTAGCGGTCAACAGTATACAATTGTTGACCTCTCCAGAGGTCAACCGGCAAAATTGTATACCGAGACAGTGGAAGCTAAACTCTCTGTTTTCGGCACACAACTACGTACTCACCAGTAAATTAATGTTAATTTTGCGTTTCTATTTGTATTGTTGCTATACTCGTCGTGTAGAAAAGTCAAAATATCACTTTCATCAATGTGTACAAAATGTCCGACTACCATGTTTTTTCTGTAAACATTGTGACGTCATATTTCCCATAATTCACAAGTGTAGTACAGTAACATACGCGGTCAATAATATGATATCCCATGATGCACAAGTGAGGTACAGGCAAAAATGTTGACCGCTAATTGACCAATCAGATGCGAGTATTTACACTGAGGTACTAACAATACATACATATTGTTGACCGCTCATCAACTAATCAGAATTGAGTATTTCAATTGCGTACATTACAACATTGACATTACTGTTGACCACTACATTTATCGTGTTAAAGAGATCATGTTATAGTTGTTGGAATCTTAGCTATAAGAGATTCTACTGATGTCATCTAAGCATTGTTTGAGATTGCCAAGCAGATGTTTTCTAATTTGAAAAACTAGTGATCGTGTTCATTTCAAAACAATTGATAAGAAAGATAAAAGATGAAACAAATGTCAATAATACCATTATCATAATTGATACGGACCTATTTAGGTGAGCATACATTCCAAATCTTTGGATTAACAAAATATTTGTTTATGTCTCAATCACATTTGCTACGGCAGTCGTATGATCTATCATTTCTTCGGCCACTAGAAATCCTACAGTCGCGGTAGAATTTCTACGGTCAGATACTTTAGCGCTCTCATTTGCTACGGCAGCAGAATAACGTAGTTTGAATTTGTGGCGACAGAAACCCAAATGTTGCCGTACTGCCTTTTAAATGATGACTCAATGTGACCGTAGAGCGTCTCTGCGGCAGGCATGGTTTTTGACAAATATCAAAGTAGCCACAGGTGTCCACCATGGAGACAGTATGTGATCATTCGACTTGACTGGTACGTGCCAGAAGTCTACACCAATCTACGGTTGTCGAATGGTGGCCGTAGAGCTAAATGTGATTGGTATGGTTTACAGTTGAAGTGTACAATTTGAACTCAAGAGTGGTCTGGAATTGTCCGCTGGGAATAAATAATCTATATTTACTATTTTAATTGTGAAGTACAATTCATCAATGTCTGCTCAGCGATTATTATAATTTCGCAGTCATCAACATTCCAATGTTAATAGCGACCCCAGATCTGTTTTAAGTTTATATTAGGTATACAGTTAACCAGGACAGGTGAACAGTTGGTTTGTTATACGTATATGCACCAGCTCTAGAGCTATTGTATTTTTATCCAGGAACTTACTAAGATTGTTCCGTTTGAGGAGGATGTTCACCACAAATAGCGTACAATCAATTGAAATAAACACAAAGGCAGACGCAATGCATCTAAAAACATCCCTGAGAAACAAAACATAGATTAATTTGATTGATTTAGACAGATGTTTTATTGAAAATAGCAAAGTATATTATTATGCATGATGTTTATTATGTCACCACCAAAAGTGGTGACATATTGTTATGGTCTCCGTTTTTTTGCGACGGCGTCCGGCGGTTGGTGGTTGGTGGTTGGCGTCCGGCGGTTGGCGTCTGTAACAATTTCTTACAACTTCCTATAACTTAACAAATACTGTTTAGACTAACTTCAATTTTTTTCTAAATCATCTACATGTTCTCAGAAGTTCAAATCTGACTTTAGATTTGACATTTGACCTTCAATGACCTTCTCAAGGTCAAAAAGGTCTTTTTTCAACTTGCTTCACATTGACTAAATTTTTTTCAAAATCATCTACATGTTCTCAGAAATTCAAATCTGACTTTAGATTTGACATTTGACCTTCAAATCTGACTTTAGATTTGTCATTTGACCTTCAATGACCTTCTCAAGGTCAAAAAAGGTCAAAAAGGTCTGTTTTCAACTTGCTTCAAATTGACTAAATTTTTTTTTCAAAATCATCTACGTGTTCTCAGAAATTCAAATTTGACTTAAGATTTGACTTGAGATTTGACATTTGACCTTCAATGACCTTCTCAAGGTCAAAAAAGGTCAAAAAGGTCTTTTTTCAACTTGCTTCAAATTGACTTAATTTTTTTTTCAAAATCATCTACATGTTCTCAGAATTTCAAATCTGACTTTAGATTTGACATTTGACCTTCAATGACCTTCTCAAGGTCAAAAAAGGTCAAAAAGGTCTGTTTTCAACTTGCTTCAAATTGACTAAATTTTTTTTTCAAAATCATCTACGTGTTCTCAGAAATTCAAATCTGACTTAAGATTTGACATTTGACCTTCAATGACCTTCTCAAGGTCAAAAAAGGTCAAAAAGGTCTTTTTTCAACTTGCTTCAAATTGACTAAAAAAAATTTTCAAAATCATCTACGTGTTCTCAGAATCTTAAATCTGACTTTAGATTTGACTTAAGATTTGACGACCTTCAATGACCTTCTCAAAGTCAAAAAAGGTCAAAAAGGTATTTTTTCAACTTGCTTCAAATTGACTTAATTTTTTTTTCAAAATCATCTACATGTTCTCAGAATTTCAAATCTGACTTTAGATTTGACATTTGACCTTCAATGACCTTCTCAAGGTCAAAAAAGGTCAAAAAGGTCTGTTTTCAACTTGCTTCAAATTGACTAAATTTTTTTTTCAAAATCATCTACGTGTTCTCAGAAATTCAAATCTGACTTAAGATTTGACATTTGACCTTCAATGACCTTCTCAAGGTCAAAAAAGGTCAACAAGGTCTGTTTTCAACTTGCTTCAAATTGACTAAAAAAAATTCAAAATCATCTACATGTTCTCAGAAATTCAAATCTGACTTTAGATTTGACTTAAGATTTGACATTTGACCTTCAATGACCTTCTCAAAGTCAAAAAAGGTCAAAAAGGTCTTTTTTCAACTTGCTTCAAATTGACTAAATTTTTTTTTCAAAATCATCTACATGTTCTCAGAAATTCAAATCTGACTTTAGATTTGACATTTGACCTTCAATGACCTTCTCAAGGTCAAAAAAGGTCAAAAAGGTCTTTTTTCAACTTGCTCCAAATTGACTAATTTTTTTTTTCAAAATCATCTACATGTTCTCAGAAATTCAAATCTGACTTTAGATTTGACATTTGACCTTTAATGACCTTCTCAAGGTCAAAAAGGTCAAAAAGGTCTGTTTTCAACTTGCTTCAAATTGACTAAAAAATGTTTTCAAAATCATCTACTTGTTCTCAGAAATTCAAATCTGACTTTAGATTTGACTTAAGATTTGACATTTGACCTTCAATGACCTTCTCAAAGTCAAAAAAGGTCAAAAAGGTCTTTTTTCAACTTGCTTCAAATTGACTAAATTTTTTTTTCAAAATCATCTACGTGTTCTCAGAAATTCAAATCTGACTTTAGATTTGACATTTGACCTTCAATGACCTTCTCAAGGTCAAAAAAGGTCAAAAAGGTCTGTTTTCAACTTGCTTCAAATTGACTAATTTTTTTTTTCAAAATCATCTACATGTTCTCAGAAATTCAAATCTGACTTTAGATTTGACATTTGACCTTTAATGACCTTCTCAAGGTCAAAAAAGGTCAAAAAGGTCTGTTTTCAACTTGCTTCAAATTGACCAAATTTTTTTTTCAAAATCATCTACATCTTTTCAGAAGTTCAAATTTGACTTTACAAGTTCTCAGAAATTCAAATCTGACTTAAGTTTGAACTCATTATATTGTGAGCAACTAGGTGGTGACATTTTGTCATGTTAATGCCTTGTTTACAATATGGCACAGTGCAAAAATATATACAAAATACAGCTTCACCAACTTTACAATTATATACAATATTCACAATAATCAATTACAATAACATTCATTGCGTAATATATTAATACTATGTGTGTAAAAATTAAACAAAACAAAAAAAATATTGAACTACTTCAATAGTAATACAAATTCTTCAAATTTACAGGCTTATCCATGAAGATTCCCAATTTATCTCAACAAAATGAGACCAATGTCAATTTATTTTATAATAATCATAGTTTCTAAAGTCAACCATGTACAGTAATGGTCTCTGTTCAAAACTGGGACTGTTATGTAGGTTAAATACTAGCTAGACCATATAATCAAAACTTCATATTCATAAGCGTTTGAATACTCGGTTTAAAATCGACCCCTTGTAGAGAAATGGCTCCAAGGAGATATTCATTATGTTATAATATTTCTAATTAGAAAGCTGGGTTGATGTTGAACAGTTGAACCTATGTTCTCTTGTAAATGTAACAGGCTTGTTAGACACCCTGTACTAAGGTTTAGCTTACAAGTTATTTAGTGAATTAAGTGAGCCATACAACTGTTCTCAACCTCACTTTAGGGTTCAATTTTCTATTTCAATAGGTACTTTCTATGTACAAGCTATTTTTAGCCCATTGTATTTTTGTATTGACTATGTATTTTCAAACCCTGCTGTGGCAGTGATTTGTAGTTTTCATCTGTAAAGCTCAGTTCACTGGCTGAGACTGTCCAAGCAGGACAACTGGGTAAATATTGTACTATTTTTTACATTTTTGTAATGTCATGGTCCAAAGTCTCCCACTTTGTAATATTTTATAGCATACATTTCTTACTTATTTCAACTATAATGACCATATTATAAACACTAGTTGAGAAGTAATAATTGTTAGCTTCATCTTCAATGTAAACCTGTTTGTAATATTTAGTCCATGTGTCACGCCCAATTTGTGTCCAGCTTTCATGGCTGTACATTTTGGTTTCTATTGATTGTAGAGTGACACGTTATCTACTGTACCATGCTTAGCCAGTGGGCTCATAACCTCATCCCCTAGGGACCATTAGTAAGTTTTTTATCATAGCCTTATCTTACTTAGTAAACTTGTAAGTTTGTAATAATTGGATGTGATGTAAATTCAAGATGTCAATGTCATATTCGCAAGAGCTCAAATACTTTTAGGCTTCATGTTTACTCTAATGGGACATTTTGTCTATGTGGTATTAGTGAATAGGATATCTGGTAATTTTGTTATTTGCTTTAGTGGCAAACATTACATTTTCCAATTTTGGCATTTGTTATATTTCTAGTACTGAGTGACCCACAATATTGTGACAACCTTCAGTCGCTGACTCGCTTAGTATAATAGTCCACGAGGGTATGTTGATGTATTTTATATGCCAGTTGCATGTATTTTAAATAGTGAATAATGTAAGGTTATAGCTTCAAAGCATCTGAACAATGTTAGTTTGTAGTATGAGTATTATAGTTCACACATATTTTGGTACCATTGTAGCTTATATGTATTGCGTGTATTACAGTTGATACACATTATGGTACCTTTTGTACTTTCAGGGAACTCCAACTCCCCGTTGTTGTGATGTGATTGAAATGAATATACCCATTTGACTGATAAACATATATACTGTTGCGTTTGTGCTTATTTTGCTAATATAAACCCACGTCGACCTTGCCCCCGGTCACATTTGGTGTCAGATGTGTTTGCGGCAGCATCAACCTACAACCTACAACCACTTGCAAGCTACAACGTACCACTAGCCAGTATACAGGTTTAAAACCACAACAAATGAATGTGTATAATATAAGTAGTGTTAATATTGAGCCATTAATGCTTGATAAAGTGACAGTCAGATAGTCACTATAGATTCAGATTCAGATAGTTTAGGTAGTTCTATAAATATCAAATATGCTCTAAAAGCAAGCGTTTTTTCCAGTTCATGTATTTACAAAGGTGAACTTATGCAATTGAATCTGATGTCCATATGTAGTTATATTGTGTTGGGAGAACTCATGCATATTATGTTGATAATGGCTGAAGAATAAATGCCATCTATAGTGGAGTTATTAAATCAATTACTGTTCAAGTGTCACATAAAGTGACAGTCACATAAAGTGACAATCAATGTACATATAGTAGACTATGTCTTCATAGAATTATCAGGTTTCTAAACTTAATTAAGGTTTAGGGTTTATTGTTGCTATATTGCTACTGTGTTGTCATTAAAGAAGGTATTATTATCCTAACTTACAAAATCTGTTAGGGTACAGGTATTATTATCCTAACTTACAAAATCTGTTAGGGTACAATCCTACACATAACTACCTTAATAAATATTAGTGTTTGTTTATATCTATAAGGTATTATCCTAGCAAAAGCTTTTTGATAGGGTACATATATACTTATATAATTACACAATATTGGCCGAGAATAACATATACGGGTACAAATTACCACATGGTGTTGTGCAAAAACGCACATTATAAGGGTATTCTATAAGTGTACATATTACAACACGGTGTTGTGCAAAAACTCACGTTACTAGGGTAGTCTATAAGTGTTTGTTAGTGTACATATTATCACACGGTGTTGTGCAAAAACGCACATCATAAGGGTACCATAAAGGTATATATATTACTACATAGTGCTGTGCAACAACGCACGTTATTAAGGTGTCACATATTCGTACCTATTGCTACACGGCGTGGTGCTATAACGCACAATCTTATATCACGGTAGTGTGCTAAAACGCACATTGTATTATCACATATTTGTTACATGCTAGTGTTATACTAGTATATAAGATTACACGGTGGTATACCATAACGCACATCTTTATTAGATCACAAGGGTATTTGACAATAAGATTTTTTACATAGTGTTGAGTTGGATATCCACTCAGTATTAACACAAGATGGCGCACTACATGTCTCATGAAGAGTTGGAACAACAGTCTAGGACAGCTGAGGAACTTATAGATAAAATGTCTGAAGTACTACATGTAAATAACTCCTTGAGATTTACTGATGAGGACATCAATAATGGTGTAACCAAGCGTCACTTAAAGGAAACAGAAAACAAACGTCTCAGGGAGAGTCTTGGCGATATCGAACGTGAAAACCAGAAGTTGTTGGCCTCCATTGATGACGTATATGCAGAATATGAAACCAGAAAATCCGAGCTGGAGCGCCTTATCAAAGAGAAAGAACAAGAACATACACAAAGGAAACAACACTATGCCAACTTATTGAATAGGGATCGAGATACAATATATGGAAATACAACTGAGAAACTTAAGCAACCAACAGGAATATCTGCAAATGCCACCCTCTTAGACATATCACGAGTCAGAAAAAACAATGATGTCCTTCCTACAGTTGGAAATTTCAATACATCCACTCCAACAACCAAACCAGTTGCACCTGTGAAACAATACTACAAAGAGCCAAAGATCAACAAATTCATTGGAAAAGAACAAAATATATATGACTGGGTAGATGATTGTAAACGGGCCTTGAAGAAGATTCCTGAAGAAGACCAGTATGATTATCTACTCTCACACTTAGAAGGAATGCCTCGGAAAGAAGCTAAGCTTCTTGGTGAAATAGCAAAGCCTGATGAGATATTCACCACCCTTCAAAGAGTTTATGGCAGTAGACAGACTAAACATTCTGCTCTTCAACTATTCCTCAACACAAAGCAGAACAAGGATGAGAACATAAAAGCCTACAGTCAAAGACTAATGACACAGCTGGAACTGCTGCAGAACTCCCACGACGAGTTTTTGTGTATTGACAACACAGATAGACTTATCAAAACTCAGTTTGCCAATGGAGTTTCATCAGAAGTGATGCGTCTAATGTTGTATGATAAACTTAAACAACAACCTGCTATATCATTCACAACTCTACGCGAAGAGGCATTCATAATGGAGGAGAAGCATGATAGGCAGTCCACTACTACTACAGATACATCAATTAGGGATATTATACAAGACCAAGTAAGGAAAACTCTACAAACTTCAAACTGTACCACTGCTGACTCAGCGCCTACTAGTATAACATCTGATCGTACTTTGTTGAAAGAATTAGTGAAGGAGGAAATCCAAAAGGAATTTCAGAAGGATGTTATGACAAATTACATCTCCCAGAAGCAAGGTTACAATCATCCAGAACATGGACCAGGATACTTTGATACAGACCCCCATGGCTACAGTAACAGAGGAGACTTCAGTAATAGAGGAGGCTTCAGTACCAGAGGAGGCTACAATAACAGAGGAGGCTACAGTAACAGAGGAGGCTACAGTAACAGAGGAGGCTACAGTAACAGAGGAGGCTACAGTAACAGAGGAGGCTTCAGTAACAGAGGAGGTTCCAGTAGCCAAGGAGGTTTCAATGATAGAGGATACTTCAGTGATAGTAGAGGGTTCAACAATCATGATGATACTCGCAACAACTATGACCAGAATAGGATCTATACAAATCAGCATTTTCCCCATAGAGACTTTGCTCAGAGAGGCTATGGTGACACAAGGGGTAGAGGTACATCACATGGAAACAGAACATATCCAGGTGGAAATGTTACAACTCGTTATCAGCAAAGAGATCAAGGTTATCAAGACTACCCTCAGAATAATGGAAATTCTGGTAACTGGAGGAACAGCAACCAAGAAAATACTTCCTCAAATGTTCAAAAAAACTAGCAAGTTCTCTGGACAGTGGCACCAGAGATGAAAGCTTAAAAGACCACAGTGTACAGAATAATGCAACCAATGTAAATCCTCATGAAATTCCTATTAAGACCAGTACAAGTAATGATAAAAACACACATATCAAGAATGTAGACATGAACAAATTAATAGGAGAAAGTCCAACAAGAGAAATAATGATTGACAATATTCCAGTCAATGTAACAATTGACAGTGGCAGTACTGTGACTTTGATGTCCAAGGAATTTTTCAATGAACACTTTTCTCATAAAACTTTACAACGTGACAAGTGGTGTAGAATAAGAGCTGCAAACAACCTGTTAATTCCTTATGATGGTTTTATGGTAGCAGATGTACAAATTGAAAATCAACTAATTAATGATGTTGGAATTATTATCCATGGACAGGATGGTGCCAAGCCCGATTGTCTAATTGGATGTAATATCTTACAACATGTGCAGCTGTACAGACTCCCAAAATCGGAAGAAAAACAGTCCGAAACCAGAACACAGACTGTGAGAGTTGACAAAGAAGTATTTATTCCTCCAGGAACATGTCTTCATGTACAAGTGAATACAGGACATTTTAGTGATGTAGGAATTGTCGAACCCACAGATAAACCATTACCTGGCAACGTACAAATAACACCTGGCGTTATAGATGGTACACACGATGAGAAATGGGTCAAAGTTGCTAACATTTCCAAGGTTGGAGTAAAACTGAACCAGCGAACTCCAATTGGGAAAATTGAAAGCTCCAAAGAAACTTGCAGCCCATATTCAGTCCATTATTCCCAGGCAGAAAATTGTTTCGAACTTACACACCAGGAAACAGAAAATACTTCAGAAAAGTTCATAAAACTGGTGGATGAAAGACTAGCTGAATTCCCTGGAACTGATGCTGAGAGAGAAATCGCAAGAGAAATGTTCTACAGAAACCAGTCTGTATTTGCCCAAGATGATGAAGACTTTGGACACACAGATGCAGTAGAACATGAGATACATTTAATCAATCCTAGTAAACAGGTCAAACAGCCATATAGGAGAATACCACCTCATTTGTGCCAAGAAGTAAAAGAGCATATACAGAAACTACTGGATAAGAAGATCATTCAACCCAGCAATAGTCCGTTCGCAAGTCCTATCGTGTTGGTTAGAAAAAAGAATGGAAGTCTTCGCCTTTGTGTCGATTATCGACAATTGAACAACAACACGATAAAAGACAGTTATCCACTTCCACGTATAGAAGAATCGATGGATGCTCTCATAGATGCCAAGATATTTTCCACCTGCGATTTAGATAATGCTTACCACCAGGTCAAGGTAGCTGAGAATGATGTGCCTAAGACTGCCTTCACGACACCGTTTGGATTATATGAATATCCAAGAATGGCATTTGGTTTGACAAATAGCCCTGCTACTTACCAAAGATTGATGCAAACAGTCTTCAAAAATGAAATTTTCAAAAGCGTACTAGTATATTTAGATGACATCATCTGTTACTCTAGCAGTGTTCATGATCATATTACCAAGCTGGAGAATGTTTTCCAAATATTGAGACAAAATTCCTTGAAGCTGAAATGGGAGAAATGCAATTTCTTCAAGGCTGAGGTCACTTACTTAGGCCATATGATCTCAAAGGATGGGATTAGACCAGATGAGACAAGAATAGAAGTACTGAAGAACTGGCCCGTTCCTGAAACAGTTAAAGATCTCCGAAGATTCCTTGGTCACACAAGCTACTCAAGAAGATTTGTGAAAGACTTCGCCAAGATTGTCCGTCCATTACATGAAATCCTTAACGGAAATGGTAAAGTTGGCAAAAGGAAATCCAAAAGTGTATCCATCAAGGAATTGTGGGACACAAAATGTCAGAGTGCATTCAACATTTTGAAAGATAAAATCATTAATGCACCCATACTGGCTTTTGCTGACTTCAAAAAGCCTTACATCCTAGAGGTAGACAGCAGTCATGTTGGGATTGGAGCTGTTCTCTATCAGATGCAACAAGGAACCAAGCGAATAATAGCATGTGCAAGCAGAGCTCTAAGGAAAGCTGAGAAGAACCTTAGAAATTATTCTAGCATGAAGCTCGAGCTTCTTGGACTGAAATGGGCCATGACAGAAAAGTTTCGTGATTATCTCCTTGGATCTTTTGTTACTGTTTATACAGACAACAATCCCCTTACACATATCATGACTGTGAAAAAGCTCCCAGCAGTGGAACAAAGGTGGGTTTCAGAGTTGGCTGCATTCAATTTTGAATTGAAATACAAGGCTGGTGTCATGAATAAGTCAGCAGATGCATTGTCGAGACTGAGAAACAACTCTACAGAAGAGGATAGGGATGAAGATTTCATAACAAGTGCAATGCAAGTCACAATAGAAAGATGCACAGATACTACATTTATTCCATCCGAAGTTAAAGAAGCTGACTTTATCCCAAATCTGGTGGATCCAGTTGTTGATGTATGCACTGCACAAACACCATGTCCAGTCTTAACTGTAGTTGACAGTGGTGAATATATTTCTTGCAAACATAGTGCTGAGGAAGATGTTTCAACCACGGGTAGTTTTACGCCATTCCCTACAATAACTGAATCTGGTTTTGGTGAACTACAAGATCAAGATGAAGAGATCAAAGTTATCAAAAAACTTGTGAGGAAGAAAAAGATGCCAAGTTCAGCTATGAAAAATCAGCTTTCAAAAGACCAGAAAAGCTTACTAAAACATTTCAGTCGACTAAGCTTGAAAAAAGGAATACTGATAAGAACCATAAAAAACAGTAATCAGTCTCCTATAACCCAAGTTGTAACGCCAAAATGTATACGAGAGAAAGTCCTGAGAGAAACACATGAAAATAGTGGACATCAAGGTTGCGAAAGAACATTTAGATTGATTGAAAATAAATACTTTTGGCCAAACATACAAAATGACATCAAAGAATGGATCAGGTCATGTGATCGCTGTGTTCATGGGAAGGTGCCATACAAGAACATTTACACATCAATGGGTAGACTTATGGCAAAACAACCCAATGAATTACTATGTACCGACTACACTCTATTGGACAAGGCATCGAATGGCATGGAGAATGTATTGATCTGTACTGATGTTTTTACAAAGTACACATTGGCGATACCTACAAGAGACCAAAAAGCTGTAACAACTGCAAAAGCCCTTGTTAAAAACTGGTTTAACCATTATGGGATACCATCTCGCATCCACTCTGACCAGGGCAGGAATTTTGAAAGTAAAATTGTCAGTGAACTCTGCAAAATATACTCTATTGACAAATCCCGCACAACACCTTATCACCCTGAAGGCAATGGCCAAGCAGAAAGATTTAACAGGACGTTACATAATCTTTTGAAAACTTTGTCAGCTGAACAGAAACTCAAGTGGCCAGAATATATAGATGCCGTAGTCGCAAGGTACAACTGCACGCCACATTCATCGACTGGATACAGTCCTTTCTTTTTAATGTTTGGACGTAACCCAAAGCTACCATTGGATATTATCTCTGGAACTGAGGGCATTGATGAAGATGAAGGTGAAGGTGATACAGGCGGAACCAGTAGTTGGATTAATAAACACAGGGACCACTTGAAACAGTCTTACAGATTGGCGTCACAAAAGATACACAAAGAAGCAGACAGGAGACAAAAGCTCCATGATACACATGCATATGAAAGTGATGAAATCCACTGCAATGATAAAGTCATTGTGAAACAGCATCCTCAAGGAAGAAATAAGATCCAAGATGGGTATGGTGATGAGGTTCATATTGTGAAAGACATTAAGGATTCCAAAACATTTGTTCTTCAATCAGAGAGTGGTCTGCTGAAAACTGTGCATAGAAGAGAGATCAAAAAGTTACCAGAGTACTTGCGGAAGATGGATACTATTGAAGAAGTTAGGGAGTTTGTTCCGAGACGTTCGCAAAGGTTGGCGAACAAAAGCTAAACGGTTCAAGTATTCTGTTATATTGTTATTATGAATAACAATTTGTTCTGCTGAGTACTATAAGTAATGCTATTTCGTTATGTACATTTGCTTATGTCATACTTATGACCAACAATTTAATACACGCCGCATCTGTGGTTCTTCCTTTAAATTATTTTATGGTCGTGGTTGTAGGGGAGGTATAATTCCATACCTTATATTTACAAGTAACAACTACACTTGCCTTGCAGTGTTTAAATTTCATATTTATGAGGTATAGCGGATTTTATATTTCGTATGAGCTACATGTATCATTATGTAAAGCATTGTATTTTGTATTACTATACCTGCTACTATTAGTGTGCAGATGATTGTATATTGTATTTTGTAAGTAACAGTCAGTCATGTTATATCAGTCAGAGTTTCAATTGTATTCTTTAATGCGGGACGCATTACCACGATGTGGGCGTGGATGTAACAGGCTTGTTAGACACCCTGTACTAAGGTTTAGCTTACAAGTTATTTAGTGAATTAAGTGAGCCATACAACTGTTCTCAACCTCACTTTAGGGTTCAATTTTCTATTTCAATAGGTACTTTCTATGTACAAGCTATTTTTAGCCCATTGTATTTTTGTATTGACTATGTATTTTCAAACCCTGCTGTGGCAGTGATTTGTAGTTTTCATCTGTAAAGCTCAGTTCACTGGCTGAGACTGTCCAAGCAGGACAACTGGGTAAATATTGTACTATTTTTTACATTTTTGTAATGTCATGGTCCAAAGTCTCCCACTTTGTAATATTTTATAGCATACATTTCTTACTTATTTCAACTATAATGACCATATTATAAACACTAGTTGAGAAGTAATAATTGTTAGCTTCATCTTCAATGTAAACCTGTTTGTAATATTTAGTCCATGTGTCACGCCCAATTTGTGTCCAGCTTTCATGGCTGTACATTTTGGTTTCTATTGATTGTAGAGTGACACGTTATCTACTGTACCATGCTTAGCCAGTGGGCTCATAACCTCATCCCCTAGGGACCATTAGTAAGTTTTTTATCATAGCCTTATCTTACTTAGTAAACTTGTAAGTTTGTAATAATTGGATGTGATGTAAATTCAAGATGTCAATGTCATATTCGCAAGAGCTCAAATACTTTTAGGCTTCATGTTTACTCTAATGGGACATTTTGTCTATGTGGTATTAGTGAATAGGATATCTGGTAATTTTGTTATTTGCTTTAGTGGCAAACATTACATTTTCCAATTTTGGCATTTGTTATATTTCTAGTACTGAGTGACCCACAATATTGTGACAACCTTCAGTCGCTGACTCGCTTAGTATAATAGTCCACGAGGGTATGTTGATGTATTTTATATGCCAGTTGCATGTATTTTAAATAGTGAATAATGTAAGGTTATAGCTTCAAAGCATCTGAACAATGTTAGTTTGTAGTATGAGTATTATAGTTCACACATATTTTGGTACCATTGTAGCTTATATGTATTGCGTGTATTACAGTTGATACACATTATGGTACCTTTTGTACTTTCAGGGAACTCCAACTCCCCGTTGTTGTGATGTGATTGAAATGAATATACCCATTTGACTGATAAACATATATACTGTTGCGTTTGTGCTTATTTTGCTAATATAAACCCACGTCGACCTTGCCCCCGGTCACATAAAGAACATCATTAAACTTACAATATCACTTTCAAAACAATTACAATCATGTGAGTCGATTAACATCTAGGTTGTCTCCATTTCATTATGTTATAATATTTCTAATTAGAAAGCTGGGTTGATGTTGAACAGTTGAACCTATGTTCTCTTGAAAATAACATCATTAAACATACAATATCACTTTCAAAACAATTACAATCATGTGAGTCGATTTAACATCTAGGTTGTCTCCATTTCATTATGTTATAATATTTCTAATTAGAAAGCTGGGTTGATGTTGAACAGTTGAACCTATGTTCTCTTGTAAAGAACATCATTAAACTTACAATATCACTTTCAAAACAATTACAATCATGTGAGTCAATTTAACATCTAGGTTTTCTCCATTTCATAATGTTATAATATTTCTAATTAGAAAGCAGGGTTGAACAGTTGAACCTATGTTCTTTCGTAAAGAGCATCATAAACTTACAATATCACTTTCAAAACAATTACAATCATGTGAGTCGATTTAACATCTAGGTTGTCTCCATTTCATTATGTTATAATATTTCTAATTAGAAAGCTGGGTTGATGTTGAACAGTTGAACCTATGTTCTCTTGTAAAGAACATCATTAAACATACAACATCACTTTCAAAACAATTACAGTCATGTGAGTCATTTAGACATTTTGCAGCTGATAAGCTGAAGCTGAATGGGTGATGTCACATGTGCATTACACCAGTTCCAAAACAAACACCAGTTTCAGATGTTAAAGATCAGGGTCTCTCACTTTGGAATGGTGCTCAAATGTTGACAATTGTGGAAAATGAAGTTATAGCATAATGGTTGAATACCCCCCATTTCCCAAATAACGAAAATTGATCTGTCTTTCACTTAATGCTAAAAAAATCAGAAATTTACTCAAATGAAATCTTCATTTACCCCCTCCCCTGAAATAATTTACTTTAAAATTCCACATTTGTTGACATTTGAACACGATACCTTACTCAAGCTGTGGACTTTCTATAGATGGGTGTGCTGTTAGGTGTCCTCTCAAGTTTCAGAGCGAAATCTCTGTAAATTAAACTGCCAAACCACACCATCTATCATTGATATCAAAATGTTTTGTTAATTCTATTTTGTTGTTGGAAAGGAATTTCAAATAAATTAATCTTACCATCCACTCAAGATGGCACCTTATGTGTGAACTTAAAATTTTGATATACATCATCTTCAGAAAGTCCATGGTTTTGTAGAAAAAAAGCTAAGTTGGAGTCCAATGGCAAGTTAAGTTATGCTACCTTAAATCTGCTATAATAATTAGAACACTAATAAGATATGTAACGACCATGAGGTTAGAGTATACATTTAGTCTTGTAGCCTCCCCAGTACTCTCATCATAAGTGGTCTCCTGGGGCTCTACAACATTTGCTTTGACCTTCGGATCACATTCTGGCCCAAGCAACCTCAGACTATAATCTATAGAAGTGGACATTATAGATGGCGCATTGTCATTACACCAATTGTCTGTTTCTATATCTACTATGGCACCACTCCTTCTATGTTTTAAACTCTGAAAAGAAAAGAGCAATATGTATAGTACATAGAACTAAACAGGATAAAACTGGTAAAACATATGAGTATAGCAGTTACAGAAATCGTCATTATTTTTTTAACATAAGGTTGGCTTAATATCATCTTGGTCCCTATATAATCAAGTATATTATACGTAAATTCAAAACATTTTTTCAACTTATGAAGATGCATTTAATAGTGAAATGAAATTGTGAGATTTTATAAATATGAATTAAGGACAATTAACCACCGTGATGAAATTTCACAGAACAACATTAGAGAGGTTTCATGTTATGCTTTTGGTGAAATGTTTCCAAATTGTCTACATGAGAGTAATTGTTCATTTTGCAGAATATGTGTTTTGCTGCGACTTACTAAACAATTAGCCAGCTGCCCCTGGTGCTTCAAGCCCTCATTGGTAACTATAAAGTATTGATGTTTCTTGTGGTGCCAATGTGCTAAACACTGCCAATGCACATCTGGAACATGAAATATATAAAACGTTATCTCACAATCTCTTGTAAATATTCAATACTGACAATTAACCAATAACACTGCCAATTACAAGTTCCCAATAGGATGAGTTGAAAAATCATGGCTTAAAAAAACATGAAACATGACTATGAATATATTTGCTAAAAATGAAATTTTGAGCTTCTTGGTGAGTAATTTATAGCCAAACAAACACAAATAATTTTCTCTCAAATTTTTGGCCAAAATAATGATGGGTGACCCTGGATCTGATAGTCTGGTTGTTAGAATTGACTTTTATTCTGTCCTTAATCCTGAATCATTATGACAAAGCCTGCTCACAACAATACTTAATTTTTACCTTCTTTTCCAAGACAATCGGTATCTATGGAAATGCTGTCATTCTTAGGGCATCTTCCCTTCACTGTTGTTGAACAAAATATATTCTCTTCATCAAAGCGACCAATCAATGGACAGGGAGAGCCATGGGAGGTTGCTAAAAATACACATTGGTTCATCAATATTCCAATTCAAGTACAAGGCATCAACATGCAAAATGTCACCACCTGCCATTTGTTACAGCTGCTAAACACCAACCGCTGAATACTGAACACCAACACCATCCATAAAAAGTTGGAGAAAAACTTAACTATAAGATGTCTGAACTATCTCACTGGATTTGCTCTCATGGTATGCAATTTATGATATACAACTTATGGACAATATTATGGGTAAATAAGAGGAATATAAACCATACATTTACTTACCATTGAATATGATAGTCCGTTCCTGTGGAGTGAAGTGTAAACAGCCATGTACTGCCTCTTCTCTCGTGTTATACAAATCACCTGCAATTAAAATATGTGATATTAGCTTATGGTAGCCCGTATTCATAATCTGACTTTGTATTAAAGAACCTAAAGAACTATAGAACTCATTAAATTGTTTAATAATAGAACACACACCTTTAGATTTATCAAGCTAGGTTGTTGATTAATTCTATCTCAACAAGGGATCAAAATAATATGATCACTAAATACATCAATAAAATATTTGATTGTAGGAGGTACATACTTTTCTCGACCTCCAACACATGGTGATTTCTTCTGTGGATCACAATACATTGAAACTTTGACACGCTGCAACAAATAATAAGAAATTATTTTAGGTAACCATTTTAATATATCTAATTGGATTTTGATTCTGCAAATCAAATACTTTTCTATGTGCATTAATTTATTATAATTCACTGAAAAGTGAAATCATGCAATAATTTGTGGTAATGCACTACTACATTAAAATGTGCAATAAAGCACACAAATCTGATTGGCAAAAACACAATTAGTACATGTATATTGGAATTAAATATAGCCTATTTCATCTACTACACAATTGGTCAACTTTTGTTGACAAAGGAAATGTTAAAGATATAAGAAATTCTATCCCCTACAAAAAACTAGCCATAGGAATGTATTTTCTTGGAGGATGTAAGGTTTTGTAACTTGAATTGTGACAACTTACCATCCAGTTGTGGTAAAACTAACAAACTTGAAGAGTCTTTCATGCTCTTCAAAACTACTGATGCACTTCATTTTCCCGATGACATCATCGAGGGTGCCATCCGGCTTGACCAAGTGGTACACTTCTAGAGATGAATGGCTTCCATCAGATTGCAGTATTTTGGTGCCAGCAATATTGCGCCAGATTTTCCTATGAATCCACTGTGGATATTCACACTGAGCCGATGGCCAGATGTGATCTGAAAATGAAGGAAAATTGGATATACTTTTGGCAAGGCCTCGTTTGAAAATATCCACTTTTCATTCAAATACTTTTTCTCTCGACTTAAAAGGGTTATTAAGACATTCTAAGATTCTTTGGAAAAAAGTAAAATTTCAAAAAAAATTTTTTCTAAATATTTGAATTTCCCACCATTTTAAATAACAACAAAGATTTGCAAATAAATACAATGACCAACTTTACAGGTGTAAAATGCATTATTTTATTCATATACAAGCGAGTTTAGTTCAGTGTTTTATGCAAAATCTTCAAATAAAATGCAAAGCAAAAAATGTATACAGAATGATACTATAATAGGAAATCAGGTCATACAACATATTTTTAAGAACATGTTTGCATATAATGAACATGCATATAAATTAGCATTTCTTTGTGAATGAAAAGTGAAACCTACTTCTTGTTAGATCAAACTCTAAATCCTCCATATACTCATCAGTTGGATCATTCATGTTGAAACATGTTGAGTCTGAAGACATTGCTAGTCTCATAGCACTGGTGCCTAGATCATGGAACCTCTGGAATGGAGAAAGTACAAAGGTCATAGAATCTATGGAATAAAGTGTGCATAGATCATGGAATCTCTGGAACAGAATATCTAGAATAGAAAGGATGCATAGGTCGTGGAATTTCTGGAATAAAGATGGTACATAGGTCACATAATCTCTGGAATAGAGATGGTACATAGGTCACATAATCTCTGGAATAGAGATGGTACATAGGTCACATAATCTCTGGAATAGAGATGGTACATAGGTCACATAATCTCTGGAATAGAGATGGTACATAGGTCACATAATCTCTGGAATAGAAATGGTACATAGGTCACATAATCTCTGGAATAGAGATGGTACATAGGTCACATAATCTCTGGAATAGAGATGGTACATAGGTCACATAATCTCTGGAATAGAAATGGTACATAGGTCACATAATCTCTGGAATAGAGATGGTACATAGGTCACATAATCTCTGGAATAGAGATGGTACATAGGTCACATAATCTCTGGAATAGAAATGGTACATAGGTCACATAATCTCTGGAATAGAAATGGTACATAGGTCACATAATCTCTGGAATAGAGATGGTACATAGGTCACATAATCTCTGGAATGGACAGGGTGCCTAAATCATGAAGTCTAGAATAGAGATGGAGTATAGGTCACAGAATTTCTGGAATGGAGATGGTACATAGGTCACATAATCTCTGGAATAGAGATGGTACATAGGTCACATAATCTCTGGAATAGAAATGGTACATAGGTCACATAATCTCTGGAATAGAGATGGTACATAGGTCACATAATCTCTGGAATAGAAATGGTACATAGGTCACATAATCTCTGGAATAGAGATGGTACATAGGTCACATAATCTCTGGAATGGACAGGGTGCCTAAATCATGAAGTCTAGAATAGAGATGGAGTATAGGTCACAGAATTTCTGGAATGGAGAGGGTCACCGAATCTCTGAAATAAAAAGGGTACATTATGAGGCAAATAGGTCATAAGATCTCAGGAATAGAAGGAATAGAAAGGATGTAAAGGTCAAGTGATCTCTGTAATTCAGAGAAGGAAACAAGTACCGAAGTCATTGACATTCCTAGAATATAGTTCATCTAGGTCATGGGCTACCTGAAATATAGCAACTTGAATCTAGATTATAGAATAATTACAATAGAGAGTGTTTCTGTTATCTAGGTCACGGCTTGCATCAAAAAAGGTAAAACAAAACATGACACTTAAAAATGATATACAGTGTACAGTGTGTGTATATTTGAAATCACAAGCACAACCATCTGATGCATGTTATATATATAACAAGGCATTGACATGCAAAATATCACCACCTGCCATTTGTTACAAATGCTAAACACCAACTGCCGTTTGCTGGCAATCAAACACGAACCGCCAAATGCTGACCACAGAACACCATCCAAAAAAAGGTTGGAGACAAAAACAATATGTCACAACTTCTGGTGGTGACATAATAATCATGGACATTCAAATGAATCTGATATAGATATCTTAAAACATTCTTATAGTAAAGGACAAGAATACCAATAATGACCAATTAAAACAACAAGCATTACATGCAACAATAACAAATATAGATTGTAACAGCAAATTGCTTAACCAAACATTAAAAAGATGTCACTTCTATGAGCACATTCACAATTAAAAACAGCAATATAAATATCATAAATTCTTATGAGCTGTTTGATTTGCAGACTTGTAATAAAGCATAAACTAGCATTGTAATGTGTTATAAGATCCAATATCTACACGATAAAACTACTAACTCAATTGTCTCTAGATTATCTAACTCCTCGCGAGATGATTACTATGCCTAGCATGCCTAAGAAAATGACCTTAGTGGCGGTAGTTGCAAATTATATTTTAAGCCTGAATCCCTTGAGAAGATGGTTTATTTCATTAGAACCAATCCATCGATTGACATTATGGGGCCTTAAGGACCAGTCGAGATGAAATAAGAGCCTCGCTGGTATTCATCTACCTAGCCTGCATGCAAATAGGACGAGGGACCGAAAAGGGGAGAAAATTATGTTCATATAATCTGTATTTGACAAGTGTTTGTGATGCAATTGCAATGTGAGATGTTAAGATCTATGTGATGTTGGATTGAATAATCTGACTTAACTAAGATGAGCTTTTTACATGTTGGTTAGCACAATGACGATATAATAGACAAGAGTCCAAATGGTCATCCATTTGGCCCAAATTAAATAGCAATAATTCATGTGTTACAATAGTGATTCTCAGCTCTATTCTCCAAATTAATACTCACTTACAATTTACAACATTAAGCTAAGTTCACACCAACGGCGCTTTGATAGCACTTTAAAGCGCCGCGCAAATGGCTTTACACGGTGCTTTAAAGCGCCGTTGGTGTGAATTTAGTTTTACAATTTAAAACATCAAGAAGATTATTGAATAATTACAGACATTTTGATGTACAGTAAATAAGATTGGATGTAGTGAACACTGAACAGGCACTATAATCACATTAGTGCTGGATACTGACCAGAGCCCACAACACAGTATAACAATGAGTGCAGATAGTAATGATAAGATCTGTCCAAAAACCTCTCACCATTTGAAACAATGGATATGTGCAATGTACAACATTCAAAGCCATTAAAACACAAAATACAACAAAACTGTAATGATGAAGCATATTCATTTCACTGAATTAGTTCAAACAGAAACAAATAAACGATGCAATGTTAAGAAACTGTAGAATACTAAAATATAAGGGAATCTGAACTTCTCGTAAAACAGGACCCGAAAGCACAAGATGATGACTGCTAGTACAAACTGGGCAAACATGTATGACATATAGTCATATCACACCCAGCTTACTAAAACCAAAAGTTTGGACAAATTATGTGAAAACTAATGATTCAAACCGTGTTACTGAAAAATGACCCACTTATAACATCATTAAAAACACCATTATCAATAACGTGTATATTGTACATGGTGTTATACTAACGTGGTTCAGTGGTTTGTAATTCAGTTTGGGGTTTAAGCTGCTAACAGTATGGGTATACAGGCTCGTAGCCAGGATTTGCCAAGGGGGGTTCAGTTTTCAAAAATTTCCAGGGGGGTTCACATTTGACAATTTTGGCCCAAATATGGCTAAAAGTGCTCAAAATGGTGAAAAACTGCAGGATTTTGAAAGAATTTTTGGCCAGGGGGGGGGTTTGCCTGAACCCTGCGAACCTCCCCCCCTGGCTACGGGCCTGGTATATTTGTCCACACTATCAGTTTGCATTCTATGTACTAGCAGTGATCCATTCATACTCCAAGTTCTCGTATGTACAAAGTCAGTTCAGACTCCCTGGAGATTCAAGATTAACTACAAAAAGAAATTCTGGTGATCCTTACCGAATCTTTTGTTACAAATTTCTAAAATAAAAAGAAACAATTGGGATAATCGTAATGAGGTACTGCAGCTGGCATCCAATTAGCTAAGTAACTCAGGAGATTAGGAGGTATGGGAAATAGCAAATTATTCTACTGGAACAACTATAATCATGAACGTATTATGAAGAAGCTTATTCTATAATGATTTATTCATTCATGACTATCATTTTTTCAAATGCTATCAATCAACGCAAAAAATTCACACTAAGCACATATAACAATGATAAATTTTGATGATAATTTGATTAACTAAACAGTATCTTGATATCACCATATATATGTTGGATCCGTACTTAAACTGTACAGCATCTGTATGTATTATCTCAATTTATAATGTATGTATGCATTATATGTACTTGTAATGTACAGTATATGTATGTGTTATCTGTACTTACAATGTATGTATATGTTATCTGTTCTTGCAATATACATTATATGAACGTGTTATATGTACTTTTAATGTACAGTATCTATTGGATATGTTATCTGTACTTAGAATAGAATGCACATTACATGAACGTGTTATATGTACTTATAATGCACAATACCTGTATGTGTTAGCTGTACTTACAATTTACATTATATGAATATTTTATCTGTATTTCAATGCACATCATCTGCATCTGTTATCTGTACTCATATCAATACTTACAATACATCTGTGTGTGTTATTTGTACTCATATCAGTACTTACAATGGATTTGTATGTGTTAGCTGTACTCATATCAGAACTTACAATGCATCCGTATGAGTTATCTGTACTCATGTCAGTACTTACAATGCATCTGTATGAGTTATCTCTACTCATATCAGCAGTTACAACTGTATTTGTATGTGTTATCTGTACTCATATCAGTACTTACAATGCATCTGTATGAGTTATCTGTACTCATATCAGCAGTTACAACTGTATTTGTATGTGTTGTCTGCACTCATATCAGAACTTACAATGCATCTGTATGAGTTATCTGTACTCATGTCAGCAGTTACAATGCATCTGTATGTGTTATCTGTACTCATGTCAGTACTTACAATGCATCTGTATGTGTTATCTGTGTCAGTGAAGCCAGGACCATGCATCTTGGTGTACATGTAGTCATCAGTGCCATCTTTCCATGTAGCCAGACATTGTAATCCAGCAACTACAAATAGTATAATAATGTAACAATATCTCACACAAAGTAGACCAACTCAAAACAGAAAGTGCAAAAAAGGATGATAGAGGCCAGTTGAGGGTTGTTTGAATTTGCAATTGTTTAGGCTCATAGCATTCCTCATTTTGTAGATTTTCTTAAAATCCAGGAGATCTAACCTTACATGTTGGAAATTTCTGCATCTATAAGCATGTGAACATTTCCCTTACAATCCACTTTTTGGAAAAATAAATTGAGATATCTCATCAAATATAGAAATCGGCAGATATGTCCAAATTGATTAGAATTGAAAAGGGAGATATCACCTTTTGAAAACCATTGCCAGATATTGAAAGAAAGTCAGAACTAAAAGGTAAGCCATGAACTGAGAGCAAACAAACTTTTAGCAGCCCATGGAGACAATACTGCGACTGTGAAATAGAATAACTGTGACAAACCTCTATCATAGGTATCATCTATGCCATAACAATGCTTGAACTCAATCTGGAACTGAGATCTACTGCTACACTCCATCATTGATGAGAGAGGGTCCTGACACCTGCCAGAGTTATTGTTGTAGCTGAACAGGAATGCCCCTTCAAACGGACATGGCACTGGGAGACCACCATCTACAAAGAAAACACAATTGTTACTTTATAGCCAAATAAAGTACATGCATGTATATTCAGGTAGACATAAATAGTAATATAATTCAATCATTTAAATACACAGAAAATATCAGTATTTGTTTTTTGTTCTTCCAATTGGCATTTCATCTGCACTAAATTAAGTTTGGATCCACCCAATATCATACAGCACAAATTTGTCTGCAACATTCATTTCAAATCAAATTCCCAAGTCATAAGAGACCATAAAATTGTTGTTATTATCCTCAAAACTGTAAAACCATTTGTAATAATCAGAGGGCAGTGTGACTAACCAATGGACCAACCAAGGGTATTATACAGTCGCAACAATTTGCATAGGAATTACAAAATTGTGAAGAGCGTAGTTGCAACTTGCTTCTAGCTTGCAAGAATAGCACAAAGGGTTATTCGATTTTTCCTGATCTTAATTTTATTGTTGAAATTCCTATTAGTGTCTCCTCATGAATGAGACCCCTGGGTGTCATAATGGCAACCAGTAGAATAGGGAGCAAAACACTTCCATTATAGACATCGATAGTAGGCTTTTAAGCTTGCTATAAAACTTTTTAACATGGGATTTACTCTCATGTAGTAAGAGCAGAAAAGTGAAGAGTTTAGTGAAAAATTGCTACTGATAAGGGATCATGTCTGAAGATGTATCATGGGACAACTACTTTATCACTGTAATTTTACTTAATATTCAACATATTCCTTGGAAGGGGATTGAAGGGGCCTCTTCCATTATACTAGGTAGCATTATACTTCATGTTTATTCAAGATCTGAGATTCAAAACTTGTGAAGGTTTATGTAAGTAAAAAACAATCCACAACCCATTCTGATACTCAAATCATCTTTCTGTTTCACCTGAAACCCATCACCCATCTTAGGGCTGAGAAGAAATGAGATGCCATGTTTATCATGATGTCCACAACCATAGTTATGAGAATATGTACAAGTCATACTGTGAAACCAGTGTATTCCTTCAGTGAAATACCTTGATGGATCAAGATGGTATTTAGTAAGATCAAGGTGAAAAGCATGTCATTCAATCTGATACTCATCACACCTTTTCTTTCTCATGCAATATACATTAATGCTTCTTCTTTGATCTGAACTCATCCAATGCAATGTCATGACATCTCAGAACAGACTAGAAATGAAAAGACATGTTTATCAACATGCATGTCACTCAGTCTCCTGTTACCCTTTGCATTAGTTAGCTTCATATACTCTTTAAGTTCAAGAGAAACCTCTGAACTTGCCGAGCCAACCAGAGCTTGTCATCACCAGAAGGATGATTTTCTATATATGGCCATTTCCTCTGATGTCATCGTTGACCCAGTATTGACCATCATTGACACATTATCTAGACATGTTTCTTTCTGCTTGCTGATTGGTTGAGAAAATGTCAGCGTGGTGAATTTGAATTGATTTATGACCTGGGGTGTGATATCAACAAGCAGGGGAGGTGGGGCTACTGTGTTTCAGGTATACTGAAACTATTGTGTATACTTACCTCTGACTAATGTTTGGAGATGGCTTGTTGGGTCTATGTCAGCATAACACAAGTCATGGAATGTTTTTCTACCTGGATGACAATAACCTAGAAAAAAAAGAGTACATGTATTACAATATAATATGTGTAGCTACCCTCTGCAAGACCATGGGGTTTCAACTAGACTCTAACTAGACTCTAATTGAAAGCCAATGGCAAGACTTACTTTGTCTCATATGCTCAACTGACAAACATCAAGCATGGTTCTGTATATTTGTAAACATATTAGTTTGATTCTGTAAGGCTCTCTGATTGGTTGTATGCTTAACTCTTAATTAACTGATCTTAGTAAATAGGTAATTAGTGAATTATCCAATAAGCCCAGGGTAATAATTCATATCAAGTATGAGAAATCATAAATGTTAGAACTCGAAAAACAGACAGAAAACCATTTTAAAGAATAACTTTTGCCCTGTCAGGGCAACACTTTGTGGACAAGATATATCAATTATTTCTTATTTCTGAGAAGACATCTTTAATCAACGAGTATCCGCCCTGTTATTAGAGAAAATGGGAAGGACATGATGAGAATGTGGGAGTTTGAGTTCAAACATTGGGGCTTTGTGACAAAGCAATTACAAATCCTATGCTCATTTAGTTTTTATCCATTAGAACATTAATCACTCAAAGTTTTTTCATTCAGTCTCGATCGACATTTTACGAATTTCAGGCATCAATAATTCAACATGATCTCTGAGAAAAACTAAAACTCATTAATTTTTTATATAAATTACAGCCATAAAAAGCCGTAAATGATAGAGGGAAATAGTTACATGTTGAGTATTGCAAACATTGGAAAAATAATCTCTAATCATCATCATTGCGCTTAATATGACAATACATATTCAGTTCTATTTTCCTAGATAAGGATTCAAAAGAAGTCAATTATCAAAGATAAATAAAAGAAATAGGCAATAAGATAGAAATGCAAGCTTACTTTGTTTATATTGAAGAACATTTGCATGTCTTGGAGTTACATGGATGCATTTCCAACAATTTGGCTGATCACTGAAATTAGAGAACAAGAAAATTAAATAATGGAATTTACACTCCCCTCCATAAGTTATTCAGCAAGAAGACCCCAATGGATTGCATGTTGTGAAAACATTTTTAAATATGAAGCTTAACCTAACTGCTGAATAACAAGAAGTTTGAAATCAATCATGAGATGAATTTTGTAAAATCTCCAAAAAGCCTGTTACAGGGTCAAAGGGGGGACTTCTGATTCCCAAACTTTTGAGGGAGAGTGTGCCGGGGTACAAAATGCATATCAATCCCAAAAGCACATAAATCTAAATGCACATCAATCTGAGGTGCACAGCAATCTATTAGCGTATCAATAAAACCAGCAATAAATTACAATTTCTATTCAATAACCTTTATAAAAAAACAGGAGCGCTGCAATTAACAGACAAGACAATGCTATAATCCACAGGGGATAATGGTTTCATCTCATTTAGTAATGCAACTCAATTAAGTGAAGTATATTCCACCATCCATGGGTCATATGGGGAAATAAGGGTGTCAAGTTGCTGAAAGTCAAAAGCTTACAGGCTATATATCAATTTGTTGATAAAATATTTGAGAAATTAGGCTGAAATTTACAGGTGTACATAGTTACTTTCTGACCTTTGCCCTACTAGACATCTGCCTAATTTATCAAACACCAAACTTCATATTTTCTATGTGTTTATCATAAATTTATTTCACCTTTCGAGTAGTGTTCTCAACACGTTTTTTAATATGATATATGATGTATATTATAAGTGTGTGAGAATGAGTTAGTCTGCATTCAACATTTGAATCCAAGTGATAAATTCATTTTAGGAGAATTTTGTAACAAACAGGACGCTTCTGTTCATTTAATTAAACAACAAAAATGTCTTTAGAAATATGAGCATACACATATAAACATGGGCTTTCAATATGCCCATGATATAAACAAGGGCTCAGCAATGCAAAATATCACCTGGTTGCAATTACGAAGGTGCAATCATTTGTTATGAATCCTGAATTCAAAATACCAGTCACAAAAATGCCGCAAAATGGTGGCTATGCAAAGGATACACTCACCACATATTGGTAGTGACATAAATTCTTAATTTCAGAGTAATAATTGAATACTCCCTACTAGACAATATCTGCCTAATTTATATGAAAAAATTAAGGTAGTATCTGGCAGAGAGATGCAAAAACAAGGTGTTTCTCTCCTCTCTTGCTAAAAAGGAAAACCTGACCTTAAAAACAAACAAGAAAATTAGAGAATTATTTCTGGAATTCTGATTGCATATAAATGATTCCGTCTGAGAAATGCCTCAATCTGTTTGTAATTCTAAGTGGCCTAAATGTAGCCCGATGGTGCTGTCATTTATCAACATGGCAAATGAGCTGTCTGCTGTAATGTAGAATGGAAGAGCCAAATCTTGCCTCATCAGAACTATACAAAGATTATAATAAGTCACATTAGACTATGAGCTCTAGGAGCCTACATATATACATTGTATTTCATGTATCCAGTAAAAAATATTAGCTGAAAATATTTCTTCCAACTGGTACCATTTTCTATTTACTGTCTGTCTGTTCATTTATTTTCTGTTCCAGCAACACCCCTACCCCTAAACTAATTATCACCAAAAGAGGGCTGGAAATTTTGAGCTTGATCCAAGAAAATCTACAATTGCTTCACAGAACATAAGCTTTATAAGGATTGCTAGTTCATTTCTCTTACATCCAAATTCAGGGCTGCTCAGTGAAACAGAAGCTTTGCTACATGGATGGCCTAATAAACCAGAAGAAAGAAGAATAATGAGAAAGATACTGAAGATCAAAGCCTGATTAGTTACCAGATTCTGCAAGTATCTAGCTCTTTTAAAACCTAACTGTCTCTTTAACAGTATCTTACATCAACATTACCTAATTTGACATAAAGTGTTAAGATAATATAAAGTCTGTTTCTAAATTTGGCATTGGGACTCAATTTTGAAGAGATCTTTACTTTTAAACTTCCCTGAAGCCAAAATGCTAGTATTAATCAGATGAAGCCAAAATGCTAGTATTAATCAGATGAAGCCAAAATGCTAGTATTAATCAGATGAAGCTCTCTTTTAATGAAGTGAAAACAAACTATTGGAATGGGTCAATTTACCCTTGACCAGAATATTTTTCTTTTTTGTTCTGGTATTCTACTGAAGTCCAAAGTGATGTTCTCTGGGCACTTTCACAATAAATATTTGGGATTATCCTAATCCTGGATATATCCACCCGTATTATATTGTGAGGGAAAATGAGACTACTGGAATAATTCTCATTTGAGTAGAATAATTCAATTATCTCATTGAAAATACTTGATCTCTCCAGAACTGCTACATCGAAGTACCACTTCCCATCTATTGAAGTTCAAATTAAATGTTGAAAAGTTAATTCTAAAAGCGATTGACTAATTATATTATAAACTGACTGGTTTTCCAACTGTCAGAGTTCATCATGGGGAACTCTAAACATTCACAAAAAATGTTTGGAAATCTGACGTTTTGAGGTGATTGGAGGAGAGCAAGCAGTGCAAAACATCAGTTGAATGTAAGACTATATTGATGATATCATTGATGCATGGAAGTTCTGTTAGTCCACTAATCAAAATAACAAAAAGTTTTTTTTAGATCAATAGAATGTAATATTTGGTTAATCAGTCAATTTATACTACATTGGCTTAATAGTAGGATCATCTTCACTTGTGATCTTTCTTGATACAGTGACTTAATAACACCAGTGTTCCAAGATGAGCTTATTGCATGATCATTCCTGATGGTACCTTCCTGGTCTATAATATGGTCAGAGGACAAAGACCATTATAATGCAATAACCAATATTTATAGTAATAGCTAAATAAGTGATGGAGAATGTTTGCAGAACATAAACAGGAGACAAATCCAAAGAGAACATCATTAAGGAAAGCACTGGCAGCGGAACAATATGCAAATAAATGTCCCAGCAGGCCATACTTTGAGGCAACCTAAGCAAATGCCCAGTCAGAATTCTAAATTTCTCTGTTTTCGTATTTCTCTGTTTTCTTTTCCTCATAGATTTCCAAAATGATGTGAAGTGGCCTTGTGGGTTGGCATATTTTACAACTGCCATTTAAAGGCATCTCTCCAAGAGGGGAATACCATCTTTACTCCCCCGTGCCCGTAGCCAGCTTTTGCCAAGGGTGGTCACTATTCAACAGGGGGTTCACATTTGACAACTTTGGTCCAAAATTACTTGAAAAGTGCCCAGAATGGTGAAAAAAATTTTATTGTTTTATTTCCATTTATTAAATCATGTTACAAATACATTTTTTCTTATAGCTATTTCCTTCCTTAAAGAGTGTAATATAACATCTAAAATTCTATCCTTATTGTCATTTATCTGTCCTAGGTAAACCTTAAAAATAGTATATGTTATTACACTGATTAAATAGTTGAGAAATTTTGTGAAATCATCATTGGTGAAAAACTGCATGATTTTGAAAGAATTTTGCCCCCCTCCTCCTTTGTTAGGGGCCTTTCCCCCATGTCCATACATCTTGGCCTTAGATAACTTTCAACTCAGTAAATTCATACCAGGCTTGACTGGTGTAACATGTTAAGCTATAAGGTACATCTGCATAAGACTTAATCATTATTCCATTAGTTTCATAAAGTGATTTGCTTCATAATATTCATGTAATGCAATCTTAATTCATATACTGACATAATTTCTTAATCCCATTTGCAAATAAAGTTATTGTTTTGTCTCAAAGAAACCAATTTCTTGATTGGCTCAACAAGGATCAATTTCATTCATACAATTATTGATATCATTGAACGTACTTTGGTTCATTACATCACACTTTGTAACAAATGAATAATTATAGCACAAGAAACTCACTGACCCAGAATAATATCTGGCAAATTCAACCCTAAGGCACCTGTCATGGTATAACACACACCATGTAATATTATCAAATAATAATATCATTTAATTCCATAAAGAAAATTAACATAATAATCGAACATGTGATCAAAGGGACATAATTGAAGCATGAATATTTCCTAATTAAGGGCTAGCACAGGAACAAAGCTCTTGTAATTGTGTTAAAAAACCAATCACATGTTGCGAAAGATAAAACGTCTCATGTGAATTGTATCGATCCTTTAAGACAGATGGGAGTTTGGAACTAAGAAAGGCAATTTTGTAATCGAGAACAAAACCCAAATCACAATGAACCTAGAGGAAAGGGGAGTAATGTAATGGGCCTGAAGTTAAAGTGATTGTTTAGCTTATAAATTATCTATTTTTCTCCAGAAATACTACGAACATTTTACTATACAAGGCATGAACATGCAAAATGTCACAACCAGCCATTTGTTACAGATGCCAAACGTCAATTGCCGAATGAAATCACAAAAGATTGGGGACCTATGTCACTATGTCACCACTTTTGGTGGTGACATAAAAAGTGTTTTTTTAATGCAGAACTAATGTGGATTTCAGTTTGTGAGAGACTGATAGTATAACTTCAAGAACCAAAAACGGAGAGAAAAGCAGACCTGTTGTTTGGCTAATAAAATTTTCTCAATAAATCTTTCCTATTCAAAATACATTTTTCAAGCACTGGAGATGAAATTTCTCATTGTTGTATACTACTATACATCTGTTTTAGATGCAGAACTAATATAGATTATACTTCCCAACCCCAACTTGAGGGAACATATGAGAAAAGAGAGATGGCTAAAAACATATTGTCTAGTTTGTGGATGATACGAATCCCTTGTAATAATCTCAATGCAAATCTCAAATATTCACATTATTAAACATATATATATATTGCTTATATACTGGGAGGTTAAGATAAACAATTCACCTTGGGTCTCATGAGAACTTGACTATTATTTCACATAAGACCCAAGGCTCATTGTTTATCCTTTACATAAAACACTACTAGATCATTATAATTTCAAATTCAGAGCCAAAGTAGAATTATCCAATTATTAAAACATTATTCCAGCAACCATTTTTTTATTTCTATATTATACTGACACTTATTTGATAATACTGCAATTCTGAATGCGATGAGCACATTTTGAAGTCTCCAAGTTCTACTTTATCTGCATACTCAACATTATGATGGCCCTCATGTGTGGTTGTCACAAAAGTAATTTGGCAATGATCTCATACAGGATCTGTTAATGCAATAACATGTATGGTAATTCACTCTTGATTGTATTTATTAACTCTAGGATCTCTTGTGTCTATGGAGTCTATGCTGAATGTATTCTATGTGGACTTATGACTAACAAAAAGCTAAACTAACATGAATTCAAATAAAAATCAACACGACAGGAAACAGTGATAAATACTACACTCGAAGAGCAAAACAGTCAGAGAAAGAAAAGGAAGGGTCAAGTTCGTAAATAGGGTGATGCGGGACCAAGAGAAAAAATATGACTATGAAAACAAGGCTTAACATGCAAAATGTCACCACCTGTCATTTATCACTGACACCAAACACCAACCACCAAATACCAACCACCACCACAAAAAAATGGAAACATAAAAATTAACTACAAAATTCTCAAGTAATACATTTTCCTGGCACAAGAAATGAATTCCATTGAGCAATCGTACTTGTATGTTTCATTTTTACAAATGTACAATGATTACATCCTCACTTACTAATTTGATTTTTAATGAAAATGTCAAGCCTTGGGAACTTAAGATGCATTGATTATAGGTCATCAATATTACACCTCAGAAATAATATGTATAGATTTGCATTGTATTCATCCAGAAACTTTTGTACACAAAATCAACTACAACATTTTCTGACAACAATTTTTTCTATTGATTAGGGAGATTATTTAGAACCATGTGAATCGATGCAATCACCATTTATATCATATTGCATGGCTAAAGACCAATTTAAAGGATGAGAAAATCACTTTAACCTTGTAGATAATTCTAAACCCTCCCTATTCTTGGCACTGAAAAATGAATCTGCTTCTTTCATGCTTTTTATGAACTAAAACTAATTTATATAACATAATTTATGTGTTTTAGTTGATTGCATATTAAGGGCATTTTGCTAAGTTAGGTCTCATGCAGTACCCTGTACAAAAGCTTGATGCCAACCAGCACTCTTTAAGTAAGAGATTCTTTGGTGAATCCTATATCCAATCAGAATGCTTTGTCAGAAAATCAATACAGCTATATTTTCTGCAGATAAATAGCTAACATTCATTCAAATCCTGAATTAAATTCAACCTCCATAACAGGCCATGAAAGTTACATTTGAGATTGTTAAGATGAAATCATCTATTCTAGTCAGAGGAAAGTATTACAAGCTGAGGGAGATTCAGAGTAAAGACAAAGTTTCATATTGTGATCTAAAGGCCTACTTCCATTCTAAATCCTGATCCAATCGATAGCATTCTAATTCGTAAGCAATAATTAAAGGGAGACTGTTTGCAATTTCTATATTTTACTATCATGCTACTGCACCATGGGTCAGTAAAAAACATCCATTAACATGCTGATAATATTGATCATCAGGTAATACATTGGGTCTTAAAAACAAATTAATACCAGGAAAGTTATGATTAAAATGCAATTAAGCCAGGGAATATAAGATATGAAATCCTCTTAAATTATGTTTTAAGCTATCTATTGGCTTGTGATACAGCAGGATCATTACAGTTTCATTCTTGCTAATTTCAGCCAGATATTTTAGCCAATTTTTTAAAATTCTAGATGCGAAGTACCTATTCAGGAGACAATCAAAGACACAATGTATAGGCAAGCCAGGTAGCAAGAGATGGGTGCATAAGAAATATTAATGAGGTTCATGAGCCCTAAGAATAGGCAAGACAAATCATAAGCTAAACAGGATACCATTTCATAGATTTCGTTTTTACAGTTTCAGTCTGAATAAATAATCTCTGTAAAAGTTTCCTTCTTCGCCTCATATCAGGCTGGGCCTCTTTGAATAAGCCAAAGAGTATATTATATTGAACATAACAACACTATAATACAATACATATTGTGCACCCAATAGGTACCATTCTAAAGGGAGGGGAAATTACAATTAAAAATTTCCTCAAATAAAATACACACTCTAGAATGTAATTTTCGACCGATTGTTGATCAAAATATACCAAATTTTATTTTTCTCATTTTCATATAGATTTTCAGGTGAGTGCAACACCATTTTCAAAATCTCAAGTTGGTACTTGCTTCAATGCTGCAGAGAACTGCTTCTGAACAAATTTTAAAATTAGCATATTACCTTCTCTTCTGCTCTAACAGGTAGTAAGGGCCCTCTGTCTTGCGACACTTGGCCTGTGAGTCTTCCTGTTGGGACGCTGCTAGCCCCCATGTGTGTTGACGTATGTACACAGGCTGGGACTGGAGGAACCACAACCCCTGCCATTCTACTGGGAAATCACAGAGTTGCTCTGAAAATATAAGACAACAGATCTGATATTCTTATCTATATTATTACATTATTTTCAAAACCATGGATATAGATAATAACTCAAATGAGCTGCTCTCAAAACAATTGGGAGATTATAGACAATTTGTAGAACAGCTCACAGTTGCTCTTGAAAGAACAGTACAGACAGTCTGTGACTAGAAACAACAATGGTTCAGTACAATCAGAACAAAAGCAAAATACTTCCAACTGTTTACCATTGTAATAAAATTATATACATATACATAATTAAAGCATGTATCATAGGATATACGTGGAAGTTCTCCATATACTCTTATCAAATTGTGTTTTTTGCATGACATAATTAAATGATATTCTAGCTCTACTACTAGAACTTGGAGGATCAATAATATTTAGATTTATAATTGAATAGATTGTGTTCTCTTCATTAATTGTCATGCAACCCAGCAGCTTGCTATGGTAATCATGGGAGCAATCAAATACAGGGTGGGCACTTGCTATGGTAATCATAGGAGCAATCAAATACAGGGTGGACACATGCTATGGTAATCATAGGAGCAATCAAATACAGGGTGGGCACATGCTATGGTAATAATACAAACAACCAAATACAGGGTGAGCACAAGCTATGGTAATAATATGAACAACCAAATACAGGATGAGCACTTGCTCTGGCAATAATAAGAACAATCAAATACAGGATGGGTACTTGGTATGGCAACTATGACAATATTTCAAATACAAGGTGAGAACTTGCTGCAGTAATCAATGCAAACAAGGCATTAACATGCAAAATGTCACCACCTGTCATTTGTTACAGACACCATGTCATTAATATTACAGATGCAAACCACCGAACTCAAAATGCCATCCATAAAAAAGTTGGAGACTATAACAATAGTGGCGACATAAAAACCAATTGCAATATTTGTACTTGCTAATGTATTATATGAAGACAATCAGCTAAATCTTTATTAATCAAAGACAGAAAATGTTCTGATTTCAAAATTGAGAAATGAAAAGTAAGATGTTTTTAAACCACATTATCAATTTACCAAAACACAAATAAGCATCAATATGCATGATTACATTGTAAATACTTCTACCCTTTTAGGTTCATATCTCCACGCTTTGTGAAATGAATCTAATCTTATAATGTTTGTCTTTACATTTTCTACTCTGAAGGTGTCATTGAGGTTAGATTTGATACACTACATGGATTACTCAATGGTGCCAGAAAACTTCCTGCATAACAAGTCGCTAATCTCATTGCATTATAAGACAGAGCCTTGTGACTGTCATGCTGTCAATATTAGAGATAATGAACAAATGAAGATGGTCTCCCACAGGATATGATATCAGTACTGATATATCTCTATGAAACCATCTGTCTTAAAGATGAACTCATCTTAGGTTATTTAAGTCTCACTTCATCCATATACCTACCCTTTTCAATAATTTGATTCAGCTTATCTAAAGAGTTTCAACAACTGCACAATTACAATACATGTAATTACTTCTACCCTCTTAGGTTCAGAATACTATATATTATTCCATAATACTACTGTTTTCCCAGGGAAATATGAAGGAATAAAAATCGTATTGAATCGTATTACATGAAAAAATCGTATTGTCCCCGGGAAAAAAATCGTATTGGAGCGTATTACATGAAAAAATCGTATTGTCCCCGGGAAGAAAATCGTATTGGAATGTATTAACCTATTTTGGGTTTCCTGTTATTTTTAACCTTGGCTAATTGGTAAAATCATTTTCAAAATGTAACATTTTAGAGGAATGTATTATGGAATAAATAGGTTATTTCTGGTCGGAATTGAATATGGGTTTCATTCCTCGGAAAATATGATATTGACCTTGGGAAATATGATATTGACACTCGGTCGCTGCACTCCCTCGGTCAATATCATATTACCCTTCGGTCAATATCATATTGTCCCTCGGAATAAAACCCATATTCATTATTCAATCCCTCTCAGTAAATAACCTATATGTCTTACAATCGTATGAACAAAATGAACCAATCATTAATCTGTGTTTTAATTGGATTCTTGTGGTTATATTCTACATCAAATTTGAATTATTTTTAGATTAAATAAATTGCATTTGATAAAACCAGAGTGTAAATTATCTTTACATCCCCCTCACCACATTAATTTAAACTTCAGATTACTCCATCATACTACGACCACAAAATCTTCAATAATTTTGATACAAATTGTTGTAATTGAGTCTTAATAATTTCATTTAGCAGATTGCATGCAAGATGTTAATAAGATTTTACTCTATTTGCTACAATACCAATATTTATCCAATACCAGCCCAGAGTATATGTACCTACATTTCCTCTACTACTTACATCAAGCAGAATTAGAATGACAGTTTAATTGGAACTGGAATATAACAAAAGGTGTATTTAGATTTCTGCAGACCTCTAAAAGGTTACAATTTCCCCCAAGAATTCTATAAACTAGAGAGTGTTATAATCAGGGAAATTGCGCTGGAGAGTAATACATCACTGTCAGGTTGGGAAAAATCTGATTGAATCTTTCAATATTGAATATTATAGTCTAATAATGAGGCTTCCACACAATGATCTCCCATTGATTTTATACTCTACTATTTCTTATGGAGCTGAATACAATCATTTTTATTAAATGAATAATCTATTGCATCCGTGGGATACTGTTCTACAACTTCTTTTACTCCATTATCTTATCTCCTTATAGGTATATCATAAAGAAAGTAATCATTTCTTATCAGATAGAAAATACCAGGATTTTCTATAATTTAAATGTCAAATACAGGGTTCTTTCTTTAAGCAGGCAATTGGATGCTATAAGCCAAAATCAATAAATTGATCCAATATTTCTATGATTGAATTACAAGGCTTCATCAACTAACAAACAGACAGACAAACAAACAAGCAAAGAAACAAATAAGCAAACAAGTAATGAAACAGTGCCTAATTTTAATCAACTCGAAAGTTGATGCGCATTTGTCATAGGAAAAGTAAAAATCCATGTAAAATAAGAGGAGGAAACAGTAAAGAGGTGGCTGTATAATCATATGGCAAATAAGTCTAGACACATTATATACATTAGATGAAACAATATGGGATGGCGTACAAATTTCAATTTCAAGATTGAAGCTATTTCTTTTAAACATTTTCAAATTTTATCATATGTAGGAGACAGGGGGAGGGGTAAACCTTAATGAAATTAACTTTACCACAACTGTCAACCGTTAGACACAATCTCAAAAAGAATGATTTCCTCTTTATAAATATAGTATAGTATGAGGAAATACAAATAGACTATCTATAAACAAAAAATGTAAAATAAAATCCTAAGATCCATCAAAAATGTGAAATAACTGGAATAAGAAGGAAAACATTTTTAATAAAATTAGGGTTGTCCAAAAAGTTTTGCTCTTATATCAGTAAATTCATATTTCAATATCATATTTCATCAGGTTGATCTTTATCATTAGTCTTGCCCTTGTGACACATTTGTTAAAGTATAGGGTCTTGAAGCAAGACTATTCAATCATTTGTTGTTTCCTTTGTTGGAATTATTTAATGCGCATTGCAATGGCGATGTAGTACTTCACAATTTAAACACACGAGAAAACAAAAAATGGGATACTTTCTTTATGGAAGAAAAAATTCGATGAATGTGAAACTACCTGCTCTGGGATGATCTCAATTTCTCATAGAGACTACAGCATCATAGAACCACTTTGATATGACGCTGTATACATGAATAATTAACATGCATGCAGTAACACAGTAAACGAATGCATGTGATGACACCATAAATCATTACATGGTAAAAGACACACGATAGATACAATATTTATGAGGCTGAATCATCAATCCAATGAGACCTAAATAACCAAGAACAAAAGAAAATAGAAAAATTATTTCTAATTAAGACAGCCTGGCATCAATCAACAACAATGATAGCCCATCTGGGAGTGCTTCCAACAGAATTGACAATGTAGCTACAGAGCTTATTGGCAATCCTTGATAAGGTTTCCCCATTGTGGAATGCTGTCTTGGTAATTATAGAAATGACAATGCAGTAAATTGATGGCTTAAAATCCCAGGAGAATTGAAAGTGTTTTGATAAAGTAGAATCCCATTAAACCGGCTACAAAACTAAAACTGATGAGTTGGTATTTTTGAACAAGGTAGAATGTATCTTCTCAATCTCTGACATTGCTATAAAAGAAATGAACTATTTCTCATTCAGACCTCTCATTGCCTTTCCTTGGAAAGATATAAATGGATGTAGACTAAGTCAAGATGCACTATTTCTGTCATTTTTAAATTTATGTACTTTTCTTTTGTATGTAATTAGTAGAAAAATAAACCTATTTGTGATATTTGAGCCTGGCCATAGGAAAACTGGTCTTATCACAAAAATGAAAATTGTGCTATACAGAGCCAAAAATGTACCCAAGATTAAGAGGAAAATGTGCTAAATTCAAATCCGACTTTTTGGTCTATGTATGCAAGGAAAAATTGTAAAGACAAAAGCCATGGCTCATTTGAAAGGTCTCTTTGTGCTTTATAAGATAAACAAAAAATCAGAATATTGAATAAATCTGTGATAAGACCCCTTTTCCTGTGGCCTGGCTGATTTAATGAGGTATTGTCTCATTTATTTGATCAGATATCACAAAAATAAAAGTAATACACAAATAAGGAATACACAAATAGACTGAGAAGGCATTAACATAAATCAATGTATTATATGTACTCATGTGGTAGGAAAAAAACCGTTGTTCTGAATTAAAAAAATTGTATGCATTTTTGGATCTTGTTAACACAAACTATATCAAGGAGAGAAAATTCTGCATGATTGTGTCGAACAATACAGACAGCACATAGGCATAGCCAGGGCGGGGGTGCTACCGGTCCATTAAATAAAAGAAGAAAAGAGCTTTAAAATGCTTTTTTTATTTTAATCTTCTAGCTCA